GTGTCAAAAAATTGCCCACGTGCAATGACAATTTGTTCTTATTTTTCAGGTACTTACCCCTGTAATCTTATTCAACAAATTAACTCGGATAAACGAGCGATTCATATCAATTTTTTTTGTCTTACAAAGAAATGAGAAAATAAAACAGTACCGAAAACCGAAGACTAATCAATACCATAAATCAATGTCAAGAAAATTGTCCAAGTGCAATGACAAGTTGTTTTCATCTTGCAGGTACTTACCCCACTAATTTACTCAACAAATTAAGTCGGATAAAAGAACGACTCGTATTCAATTTTTATTCTGTTATAAAGAAATTAAAGAATCAGTCAGTACCGAAAATTGAAGACCGATCAATATTTAATTTATTCATCAAATTAACGCGGATAAACGAACGATTCGTATAATTTTCTTTTCTTATAGAGAAATGAAAGAGTAAATCAGTACCGAAAATCGAATATCGATCAATATCGTAAATCAGTGTCAGAAAATTGTCCAAGTATAATAACAATTTGTTCTCATTTTTAAGGTATTTATCTCTCTAATTTACTCAACAAATTAACCCGAATAAACGAATGATTCGTATCAATTTTTTGTCTTATAAAGAAATGAGAGAATAAATCAGTACCAAAAATTGAAGACCGATCAATACTTAATTTATTCATCAAATTAACGCGGGTAAATGAACGAGTCGTATCAATTTTTTTTTTTGTTGAAAAATGACTGAGTAAATCAGTACCGAAAATCGAATATCGCGATCAATACCATAAATCAGTGTCAGAAGATTGTCCAAGTGCAATGACAATTCGTTCTCATTTTTCAGGTACTTACTTCTACAAGTTTGGATTTGGTAAAAAAAAAGTCTTTCCCGAGTCGAAATATTAATTCTACATTAATCCTGCAAATTGCATCAAATTTGAAAAATCAATGCAGAATATCCAGATGCGCAATAGTGAACATGCTTTGTCCTACCTGAACGTTACATCTGGCTACTCTCGCAGGCTCGCCCATGATGAGTCTTCAACAGCGACGTATTCCGCACTTATTTAATACTCGTTTATATCGATAATGTATATGTACTTAATCCTTATATTCTTAATTAATAAATGAGCAATTTTTGTTGATATTGATTATATATTCGCTTAACAGCGCAAGGAAGAGAACAAAGATAAAAACGTAAATAGAACTGCCTGTGTTAAAACTGCGCGTGAGATAAATATATAAGGATTAAATAATCATATAAGAATTAGAGGAAATGGGAGATGAAAAACACTTTTTATTCTCATCATTCTTAAAGTTCTTTTTTCCTTTTTTCTTCTCTTTTTTTTCTTTTCTTTTTTCTAATAAGAATGATGAGAATTGTAGCTCTCAAAAGAGCTGAAGCTGCAAAGGCAAAGACAACGGTTATGTCTAATAATGCTGTTTCACTAATAGAGATTTTAATTCAGATTCGGTACAATAAGAAAGATAAATAAGAATGAGAAACGGACATTCTAGCAGATTCTAAACGAAAACAGCAATCTGAGCATTATTAGACGAATAAAAATCAACACTTGTAAAATTTATATCAGATTGTAAGATCATTATTCATAGTTTTCTAAATTATGTGCAACTTTTTATTGAGAACATAATTAAAAATTTGTATTCATAAACCTTAGCTTGCCTCAGCAACCTTGCTTAAATAGACATTCATATTTTATGAGAAAAGAAAAGTAGAACTCATGTTACGTGAAATTAGGTTAACGAATAATCAAATCTCAAGCTATTTTATCATTTTTCAGATGATAAACTATGAATGCTGATCTAATTTCGACTCGGGTATGTCCTTACTTCGAGTAAGGTCCGTTAAAATCAGAAAAATCCTGCGTAATAATAATGACTCGAGGTACCTCGAATATTACACATGATATATCGCTGTCCACGTCTCTCGGCGCGCTCCAAGTCCTCTCTCCATCCTGGCTTCTCGATCCGACGTCCTCCTTCTGGTTACTCCGTCGCAGCACCCCCGGATACTCCATCGTAGCACTGGCGACGACACTGACTCTAGCTCTAACACTCGCGCAAGTAAGATTCGGGGGCAAAGAAACGCGTATTAACCGACACTCGTACTATTCTATGTCGCGGTATGCGCGTCGTTCGTCGGCCCGAGGCGCAATGTCCTTTCCGCAATCACGGAGTCATATATAAACGTACGAAACCAAACAATCGGGAAGGCACGGTTATCCCCCACCTTGCCGATCAGTGTTGATGCCTGCGTCGTCCGTTAGCTGAAAATGAAAACAACTCATGTTTTCAAAGCATGCAAAGCTGTGAGAGACTCGCTTCAAACTTCACAATACTTATTTACGTCTGTTCCAAGAATCATATTAAGCCGAATTCAAACTGTCTCTATTGACATGACATACACGAGATCTGCGATCGCATCATTGATCTTTCTTTGGACAAGAAAATCCTGAGAGGAACGCTGTTCAAGAATATCACATTTTATGTTTCAGGTGCCTTGCAGATTATCGAATCCGATGTAACAGATCAGGGAAAGTATGAATGCGTCGCTATGAATAACACGCGTGGGCACGGAGTACTCCAAGTCAATTACGTTATACGTGAAACGTACGTATATTTAATATTATATAAAACTTACCTTTTTAAACAAAAAGGTAAAAAAAAGGCGCCAAGTACAAGCGCAACACGTATTGTGTTATTTTTAGAAGTATCAAACTCAAATTATTTTTTTTTATTGTATATATGTGTACATAAGTTTTTACAAGTAAAACTTATAATTATAATAAAACTCTGCAACACTTTTCTACTGTACAAAAGAAGTGATATATCAGAACAGTAGCGCCAACTGAGAAACCTAACATATATATATGATTATTGTATACTTAACTTAATATTTTTAGAAATCTCAAATTCAAATTATTTTCTTTTTTAAGATATATATTATGTACATAAGTTTTTATAATATATGTACATAAACTTTTAAAAGTAAAAATTATATCGTGTTATAAAAATTTAACACGTTTGTTAATAGTGTCCAATATTTAAAAAAATATATTTTTAAAGGTTATGTTATTCAAAATATTCAAGAAAACCTAGCTACAAAAAATGTCCATAACATACATTTTTACATAAGTAAAATTTATTACTATTTATTAGAACACTGAGTTATATGGTTGTTTTACTTGTTATTGTAACAAATTAATTATTATAAAATGCAATAAAAAATATTTAATACAAAAAATCTTGGCGCGGCTGCACCAAAAACTATATCGAACTAAAATTGTTTAATACATATATGACAGCATTTTTATTATAATATATTCTATAATGAAGGTTTATAATTTATTTATTATAATACTATATAAACTTAAATAAAACATTATACCGTATATGCACAAAGAGAATTTACAAGAACATTTTATTATAATAAAAATGCTGTCATGTATGTATTAATCAAGTTTTAGTTCGATATAGTTTTTTAAAGTCAAATTAGATATCATTGACATTTCGTCAATTATAATAAGAATAACACCATTGAATAAAAAAATATCAAAATATGTAGAATATATACACATTCGATATGTATATTCTATAGTGAAGGTTTATCATTTATTATAATACTATATAAACTTAAATAAAACATTATACCGTATATATATATAGAGAGAATTTACAAGTACATTTTATTATAATTACATAATATTATAATTATAATTTATTATTATTATATATACGAGAGTAATTGCAGATTCATAAAGTGTCTATGATTACTAGTCGGATGATGACGGATCGTGAATGCCGAGCGCGAAATTCCAACTTCTTATTCCCGGAAAATTCGTTAAAAGGTCAAACGAAGAGCAAAAAGTGTCGTCGCTCGCGAGCCGATCAACACAATCGGCGCGATATAAACATTGCGGGCCTCAGCGGCGGTTGAAGCAAGAGAGTCTTGCCCTTGGGCATCTTTTCTTTTCTCGAAGGTTCCGGGATAACGAGGGGAATGCGAGGAGGTCTTTCAACTGTACGCGACTTTGATTTACTACTTATTGATTACTGAAAATAAAGAAAATTATTCTGTCGAAGTATCGGATATTTGTTAGCTTTATGTTAATTAAAGAGGAGTGTGTACGATTAGAAAATATGTTAGCAACTAATTGTACAGAATGTCAAAGTTGTTGTGACGCCGTTTGCGGAGAATAATTAAAGATCATGGTAGCGTTAAAGAGTAGAATTTCATCTCATGCGAATTTTGTCTCGTTCTTATTAAATGTTAGATTATCCGCTGCGGACAATAACTCTTCTCCTTTTCATCTAATATTCAATGATAATAAATAACATTTAATTGCATTCGTTTGGCTTTTTTTTTTTCGAAAAGAAAAAAATATATACCAGGGTGAGATTTCACCCATGACAACATCAACGTGATTTTCTTTGATGCTTTTTTTAAAAGTTCAAATATTTCGTCGACTCGCGGGATATTTATAATCAGAGTCTCGTCGCGTTAATTAACATGTGCTCCTCCGAGCGGATCGAATGCTCACCGACGGCCACTGTCAATGCCACGAGCGAATGTCCGGAGCGGACGGGATGTTGAATTGAGAAGCAGGACGAAGGGAACGGGACGCGGGCAACGATACATCATGCGTCTCCAGACGTATCAAATCGTTTATTATACAGGAGACTTTGATACGGCAACATGTATGTAGAGGATTTAATATTTAATATGTACTTTTATTTTTCCTGCTCCCCCCCCCGCCCCCCGCTCTTTTTAGACCTTCGGGTATAGTCTGGCATAGAGATAGTAACTATGGTTGCAGCACGGACATAAACCGCCTGAAAGTGGATGTAGCACGGACTTCCACCACATGTAGATTTTACCAGCAAGACCTAAAAGTGGAGTGTAGCATCGTAGTTCTCCTGTCAAAATGGACGCAGATGGCGGCCATTTCCAGCGCGAGAAATCGGTGTCGCCGAAAACGCCGTGTTGGCCGCTCTCTCAGCTTCCTCTCTGGTCGCATAGGGTTTTTCTCGCTCGGCAGTGCCGCTCCGCAGTGGCCGCAAATCAAATGTCCGTAGAATAGTGCGGCGGGTGTGTTGGACGTTTGAAAATTCGAATTCCTCGAGACGATCGGCCGCGCGCTACTCGAGGAAGCGTGCGTGTGTTCCGCCCGTCGAGCGATGTCCGGCGATGTGCAGCCAAGAAAGCGAAAGGACAAGCGGCGCAAAAAAGGTAAAAACGGGGAGCGACGGTGCGCGTACGTGCGCGCGAGCGAGCGAGCGAGCGCAATTCACATCGCCGCTTTCGTAACACCGATCCCACGGTACGGTATTTTTAGCGACACGTTTGTTTTCTTTATTTTTATCCTCGACAATGATACTCGCGCTCCTACTGTTTTCACCGCGACGTCTCACCGCTCTCTCCGCTCCCTCCCCCCTTCTCCTCCTTCTATCTCTCTCTCTGTCTCTCGTTTTTGGGAAATGTCAATCGGCATTTTTCGCCCCTACGGCTCTTTTCTTTCGCTCCTCAGGATCACATCGCGATGTCGCATCGTCACATGTTTACAGGTGTGAATGCCGTTGCCGTATCTCGAAGAGCGGGCCACGTCCCGTCGCGAGATTATGATATTACGAGCGCATAACACAATTTTACACTCGCTCCGTTCGGTGCGCCAAAAATATCCGCGCACTGTTGCTTGTTCGCCGCTCGAGTATGCGTTCCATCGGAATTTTTAAGTCGGTCTTTTCGTACATAAATTCTCTGGGCCTTTCGACAACGGATTCACACCCGTCGCGTCGCGAGAAAATTGTTATTTTTAATTTTTCAATTAATCGGAGGTGTCCGTCGCTTGGACAAAAAATGCCACTGAAAGTTTCCGAAATCCGCTATATATATATATATATATATAGGACGCTTTATTTTGGGCGATGACCGTTTTCGAGGTGTTTCGTGTGCTTTAACGAATTAACATGGGACGATATTTGACGTGCGACTGGTGCAAAATCGGATTCACCGATAAAATAGTTGGATATGGAATTCCGATCGATCCACGGAAGCTTGGCAAAGCTGCTCAAGTGCAGAAAATGCGGGTTTCAGATGCTCGAGCCAACCTACCTTTTAGCTTTCAAAAATAGATTAAACTGTATTATCTAGCCCAAAAGCATTTCTCCTTGAGTCGCTTATGAGTTCCGCTCGATTGTCCTTACGCGTTTTTTCTTTTTCAACTTTTGTCAACTAATTTTCCACATTTCCACTTGGACGCCTAACGAATCGTACGTCTCATATACAGGGTGTCCGGGATCGTTTGGAAACGAAAAATTGTGAAGATTGATCAGACGAAACTGAGAAGAAAAATCAACTAGCATTTTGCAAAAATCGCCATAATTATTAAGTTATTAGCAATTGAAAATGACCGCGTCCAGAAGCTCTTTTAATTGATTGCTCGAAAATTTGCCTACTTATCCGCGAAATGGTAAAGGACTTTTTTCTTCAGAACGACTTAATTTGCAATTATATGACAGCTATTATGCCCAGCGACAGGTTCAAGATTCAGGATTCAAAGTTCAATATACTAACATCCAGAATTGGGAAGTAACTCGTTACTTGTAACGAAGTTACAGTTACAGTTATTTCTTTTTGGTAACTATAACTTAACTTTATTCCGTTTATTCCGTCTATAACTTATTCCATCTGTAACTTGACTTAGTTACATTTATTTGATAACTAGTGACTAATTTAATAGTCACTTTAATAGTTACTTTATATATTTCAATCTTAAGTTTCTGGCAGATCAGCACAATAACGCGACGTGCGATGTCCAATAAGTATAACAATTATACCGGCTGCATTTGGAAAACGCGCTATTGCGTCATCTATCTTTATCGTTCATTAGATGCGAAACAAGGATAAAGTGACACAATAGCGCTGATAGTCTTCTCTTTGAACGCAACCTATATTTCTTTCAAAAATATTGTACGTCTATTAGATATTTTCGTCGCGCGTCGCCAGTCCTTATTTGTTAACATAAAGTGCGTTCAGCATGAAGTGTGCTGCATGGTTTCAGTTACATAAAAAATTCAAGCAATGGATAAAACATTTCAATCTTCGGAGAAGGATTGTAAAATGCTATAGCTAGCATATGCAGAAATATTCGAGTTACAGCAAAAACTTGGAAACGAGAATAACTGGGCACTTCTCTGCAAAATTTGCGCTGGCAAAAAGTTACTTATGCAAATAGAACTTCAACTGCAAATTTAAGAAAACATATGAGCCTAAGTCTTTATTTATAAAATATCAATATATTTTTGAGTGAAAAAATCTAATTTTTTATGTCAAAATTACTCTTGGTAATTTTAGTATTTATTATCTCCATCAAATTCATTCACTTTCTTATAATTGTTATTAATAGTTATTAATTGTTATTAGTTATTAATTGTTGATAGTCTTAAAGAATAAATATGAATTACTTATTTAAATTAATGAATCTAATTTGTAAAAGTTACAATTACAATAAGAGTAATATAATAATCAACAAACCATTCTTATATAAAATTGAAGGAATTTACGCAATTACGAAATTTAAAATAATAGCTCAATTATTGTAAAAAAGTAATTGAGAAGTAACGACTCGTTACTTTCCAAATAACACTATAACCGTAACATGTTATTTTTGAAGGTCAGTAACTTGTAACTGTAACCAGTTACTTTTTCAGTGAGAAAAATTCTAACTGTAACTAAATATTTTTACGAAGCACCTTTCCGAACCCTGCCTTTACCATTTTGCAAATAAGCAGGCAAATTTTTAAGTTGTCGATTAAAACAGCCTCTAGACGTGGTCATTTTCAATCACAACTATTGCGATTTTTGCAAAATGATACATGACTTTTCTCTTCAGTTTGATCTGATCAATCTTCACAATGTTTTCTTCCCAAAAGATCCCGGACACTTGCTGCATGTCGTCGCGTATCCCTAAGAACCTCCCATAAATTAGAGTATATGCTATATTTAGTATCACCTACTTTCCGTACATTTTTAGCAGACGGGGTATACACTATTCAAAGGATACGTGGTGCGAGTATCGGTACGGCATAATTTTTTCTTAGTCGTAGGTATTTCATCATCCCTATTCTTTTCCTGCGCTTTTCTTTCAATTTCTATTAAACGGCCCTTGTGTGCGCGAGGTAAGACTTGAAGTAAATTTTCCGCAGCATGACTTAAAGTTCAGACATCACGTCACAATGTGGCGCACATTTAACACATGTGCCTCGAGTAATTGGAGCAAATTTCTAGATTTCGATTTCTTAACGTTGACCTAAAAGAACCTCCGCAAAAAGGGTCGATTTTTTGTCCGTTTTTCGGTCCTCGATTTTGGAATCGAATTTTATGCCAAAAGATAGTTCATGATGAGACATTAATTACAGAAAAGTTTTACGTTGAGCATACGATTGGTTCCAAAGATGTACCAGGTGTGGCGGTTAATAATTCTTAATTTTTTTAAGAGATGGCGCTGGAAACAAGGATCGGTTCACAGTCTAACCTCTTGTGTCATTTTGTTGCTATGACAGTACCTTTGCCATTGATGTTTAAACCATTGAGTTTAAACCATTTAAGCCATTGATGTTTAAACGACTTCGGGTTAGCGTCATATTTTTTTATTTTTTTATTTTTTGTGGTAAACATGTCGAGTTTCAAGCCAAACAAAGAGCATTTGCGGCACGTACTGCTTTTCTTGTTCAATCAAAAGAAAAACGCGAGTGAAAGCCGTCGTATACTTGTGGAAACTTACGGTGACAATGTCCTAACGCAAGACTTGCTTGTGTGCGTTGGTTTAGACGATTCAAAAGTGGTGATTTTGACTTGAAAGACAAAGAACGCCCAGGTCAACCGAAAAATTTCAAGATGCCGAATTGCAAGCATTGTTGGACGAAGACGATATGCAAACTCAACAACAAATGGCAGAGAGGTTAAATGTTGCTCGCCGAACTATTTGTAATCGTCTGCATGCCATGGGAAAAATTCAGAAAGCAGGAAAATGGGTACTACATCAGTTAAACGACAGACAGATGGAAAAGCGAAAAACGGTGTGCGAAGTTTTGCTTTCTCGGCATAAAAGAAAGACTTTTAGAGGGTCAATGTGGTCACTATCTACTAAGAAAGTATGACACTAATAACGCATTATCGTACGAATTTTTGCAAAATTCGGTATCTATGGGTTCTTTGAGTTCTTGCTGATTATGAATCTGATGTCAGATTTTAAAAATTCAAGATGGCAGGTGCAACATGGCGGACGCACATAGTGAAACAATCATTTACTTTTATTGGAACTGTTATGTTGTGGTTTTTTGGCTAGCAGATTGCGAATTTTCTATTAGGTTTCCATTAGGTTTTCTATTAGTTTTCGAAAGTAATTTTTCCAACGACAATTTTTGAGTGGAAAAAATACTTTTTTTATTGATTTTTCATAAAAAAAAATATCAATTTCAAATTGATACGTTACATGACGCATAAAGGATAACGTGACAGTTTTATTTGTTATATTTAAAAGCTTATTTTGCCTCCATTGGCTGGATAACTTTTTCATCTTGCCTTCACTGGCTGGATAACATTTTTATCTCGCCTTCATTGGTTGGATAACTTTTTCATCTTGCCTACACTGAAGGTAAATGTTGTAAATCTGATAAAAAATTCGTAATCAGCTAGCCGAAAAAACCACAACATAACAGTTCTAATAAAAGTAAATAATTGTTTCACTATTTGTCCGCTATATTACATCCGCCATCTTGAATTTTTTGAATCTGACATCGAATTCGTAATAAGCAACTAAAAGAACCCATAGATACTGAATTTCGCAAAAATTCGTGCGATAAAACGTTATTAGTGTCAAACTTCCTTAGTATAGGTAGTAGTTACCACTTTGACCCTCTATATCTCTGAAACCAATCGTATGCTCAATGTAAAACTTTTTTGTGATTAATGTCTAATCATGAGCTATCATTTCGCATAAAATTTAATTTAAAAATCGAGGACTGAAAAACGGGCACTTTTTACGGAGGTTCTTTCCGTTACTAAGTGTCAGATATATATCAAGGGTGTGCAAAAAGAAACGAGTTTGTTCACATAGCGCTCTCTTTCATTTGTTACATCACGACGTTTAGACGACGAAGATACCGGGACACCACCGCCTACGTTGATCAGTTCAGCCGACACTTCTGCGGAAAATGTCTCGATCCATATCTATAAGGAAAGCAGCACAGGCGGCCATTGGTGTGCTCGTATCGTGTTCTTTGCTTTACTGGCCGTTCTCGTCGGACTGATCGGCGTAATAATCTTTGAACACAGAGGGACTACGGACGGTAAGTAACAGGATAAAACATCATCACTACCGTGTCCTTTAAACAAAGAGGCGGAAGGCTTCTCTCTTTACAAGTGGAAAGGAAACGCGCAAGCTTCATGTCTTCTGATTGATCTGTTCTGCATTTTAAGTTGACACGCCACTAACATCGTCACGCTGGGCGAGTATATTTGAGGGCTGGGTAGATGATTCACTACTTAGCCATGCTGACGAATCGCACGGTCAGGACGAAGCGGCGGAAGCAAGCGAGGAAGCCTTAGAGGAGGGGACAAAAGAGGAACATGACGAGGAAGAATCTGCAGAAGCTGAGAAGGAAGAGGAAGAAGGTAAAGAAGGAAGTATAAAACAGGATGAGGAAGATGAAGGAATCGGAGAAGAAGAGGAAGAAGAGGAGGAGGAGGAGGAAGAGGAAGAAGAAGTGGCTGAGGGAGCAGAAAGAAGAGACGTAGAAGAAGAAGACGAAGAAGAAGGGAGCGAACAAGAAGGAGAAGAAGAAGAAGACGAAGAGGAGGCAGACGAGGACAATGCGGAATCTGAGGAGGCAGTAGATGGTACATGAAACGAGAAAAATATTGATCCTTTTTTTTATAGTAATCATTTCCTCTTTTTGTCTCTAGACAAAGACAGCAAAGAGGATCAAGAGGAAGACGAAGGTATCGACGAAGGGGACGCCGATGAGGATGAAGACGATGACGCACAGCGAGAGTTCGATGATAATGGTATACTGGAAGAGGTTGATGATACAGATGAGAATGACGACGCGGATGAGGAAGATGATACACCGGACAATTTCGATGCGGAACTTGACGCCAGTACTGAAGACGACAGCTTGGAGGAGAAGGATAACGATGAGGACTCTGAGGAATTCACGGGCATACCTGGTGTTAATGATATCGACGACAATAGCGCCGAGCCTCTGGAAGAGGTACGTTTTGTCGCCTTTATTTCTCTTCTGCACCTGTCACCCTCGTCATTAAGGATTAATGCTTGATGCCTTTTTATCAGATAGAAAGCGAAGAATCTGAAGATGTAAATGACGGAGACAGTGAGCCTGAGGAGGAGGAGGAGATCGAGGAAGAATCTGCCAGCGGTGAGTAGCCTGTGGCCTGAGAGACAGCGAATGCATTAGAAAACGCCTTTGAACGACATGATGAAAACTAGTAACGTGATCCTCCATGCTCTTACTTGGTTTCATTCTTTGGCGCCAGCACCGCGAGTTCAGGCTGGCAGGCCAAAATGTCGCTGCTACTATATATATATTACTTATAACACTCTTCTGTGGCAAAGGGGTAATATTATCGGAAATAACGTATGGTGGTTGCAGTGGCTGTGAAGTTCGGGGTCGGTGTCGCGCTTGTCGTTGCTGCACATTTCGTTCTTGTTAGACGGTGGAACAACGGTAAATTTTATATTACACTATCTCACACTTTGACGCATTTCCTGCTGGTTAGGATTATTTGTATTATTTATCAGAGACGTGTAGTAGGTTTCAGGTATAATTACAAAATCAAATCGAAATTTCACAGGTAAGTAATTTTTGATACAGATCAACTTATCGTAGACATTCAGTAACTGTATTGTGTATCTCCGGATATTTATTCGCGACAAACAACACTGTGTGTGTGTGTGTGATCTGATTTTTCAGTCGACATTCCTCCGCGGGATACAGATGACACGCCTGACTTTGCAAGACGCAACACGATAGTTCCACCTCCTCACATTAAACAACTGATCAAATCAGCCGAAAACGTTGAAAGTAAAGTACGTGCGCAAGCGCAAGCAGAAAGTTACGAAGCTTTAAGATCCAAGTACAGTAATCTGCAAGAAGAAGATATTCCAATCGACATAGGGAAACTAATCCCACAAGGTGGAGCGAAAGAGAAAGATACACGGTCGACCAAAGAAGGTATGGTTAACGTGTTGCTTTTCCTTAAGGTTTTCTTATGTTTTCCGTTGATGAACTGTATATCTGATAAATTTATTCACTTATGTTTCTCAATTATAGAAATTGGTGCAAATCGGGATCAACCTAAAGCAGTATCATCCGAAGAGGAGGAGGAGGAAGAAGACGATTATGAAGGCGAGGAATTAGAGACATCAGAAGGTGAGCATGTTTCTGGTGCGGAAGAGTACGAGGAAGAACAGGCAGAAGAAGAGGAAGAAGAGGAAGAGGAAGAGGAAGATGAAGAAATTGAAACTGTCGACGATTCCGAGTTAATAGCTAAGCTTGAAGCAAAGTATGGAAAATTACCCACCCCTCAAGATAGCGAGGAGGAACAGGAAGAAGAAGAGGAAGAAGAGGAGGAGGGGGAAGAAGAAGAAGAAGAAGAGGGAAATGACGAATTGCCAGAATGGAAACGTAAATAAAAAATTATTAAGTAATATACATTTTGATTGCGTATACATTTTAATAGTATGGTTTTATCTGTACTTATTTTTTAAGTGGCAGGTGTTTATTACAGGTTGTCCCAATAGTTCTTTTCGTTTTCTTACAAGAAATTAAGCGCGCGAAGCTTCATGGACGACATAATTTATTAAATTACGTACGAACGAATTTTGCGAATTTTGTTGTCATTCGAGGAACCGAATTTTTTATGGCAAAGAGAATTTGTTAAAGAAAAAGACAAGTTATCCATCTTTCAGAATCTTCAGCAAGAGAACGGAGCATTTTTCGAGCGAATAAACGCACCATTGGAAAAAGCAAAGTCGAGCAAACACGAAGATATCAGCAAAAACTAACCAGGTCTGCCTTTTCGTTAGCCAGCAATGCGCGAATTGCAAAAAGAATTTTTGGGACAAACAATCTAATATATATGTATTATAATTTTATTAAATACATTGTTGTACTAATTAGATTAAAAATAACATGACGATTTCATGAGCACCTCGCAAGCTTTTCGATGCATATGGACATTGTGCAAATTATCTTTTAGCTAGGTACAAGTGGAAAATCAAAATTTGGCATTTGCGAAATAATCAAAACGAGCATGGAGGATTATTGTACTGAAGCGATCTTACGCTAGATTAAGAATAACTTTTTATCCTTAACTGCTTAGAAGGATATACACCGTATAAAAATCTAGTAGAATTACTCGTAAAAAATGATAAAACAGTTGGATATAATTTGGTGTAATTTTTGCAAAATTATCACTTTGCAAACAGGTGCTAAAATGCCGAAGGACCCTCGCCTCCAGTCTCAAACGAGAAAACCTACTCAACAATCGACAGGAATAAGAAGAAAAGAAGCAGATACTAGCGGAGCCAAAAGCGAAGGAAGAGCTTATAATTTTAACAACGTGTCGAGTGCTGATGACGTAACTGTTCATGAAGAAAATGATTCTGTGGTGCTCCAAGTTGGAGAATTTCTCGATTAGAATATATGCGTTCCTGTAAGATAATTTTGATATAAACTTACTTGTTTTCTCAAGCACAGAGAGATGTCACTGTCTTCTCTATAAACAATCCTACGTTTGTATCGTTATTAATCGTTATTAACTTAAATTTATATCGTTATTAACACGATGTATGATTTGCAGTTTTCAAATGTTAGAGTATCGATCAGTGTCATGTATATAGGAAAATGATAATCTCTTCATTCGTCTCTTATTCTTCGTGTATAATTTATTATCTAACTGCTTCTACTTTTTTTTGTTTGTTGTACATAAGGTTATCTCGACTTGAAATGTTTTAACTTTGTTAAGGTCTAACCACTGACATACAACATATATAAAAATGGTACACCAAAGACATTAGATCTTTACAAAAGTGACTGATGTAGTATTAAAATCAAACGAATTTGGAGGGAAAAAAAAAAAAGAGATAAAAGATATCTCTTTTACGTCGTAATTATTTAAAAATCAATAAATTACGAAAATGTAGCAAGAAAAATGAATGTATTCCCCTGCCTTCTTTTCGACAAGTCAACGCACACGTAAAAGTAAGACACATTATTTTTCATGTATATAAAGTGATTTATTTGAAATGTTTACAATGCAACGTAATAGTCTTGTTACATGTACAAGAAACACATTACTTCACTCAAATCTGAATTACTTCTTGCAGCACTTCCAGGATATTTAACAAATATTTAATTTGTTAAATTTAATAAATTTACATGCTTCTCTTCATGAATTCAAAAGAAGAAAATTATTTTCTATCTTTATATTTTATCGTCGGTATATATATTTTCCTGTCGACTGCTTTTCAAACAAGCATATATCTGAGAGGTATTGAATGTGTGAGCGCGTGCTGTATAAAATAAATTTCAGCCTATAATAAAATATTTTACGTGTTCTTCAACGCTTAAGCGTCACTCACGCAAAAAAAAAAATATATAGAACATAATGTGTTGAATATTTAAAATTAAAGAATTTAAGCAATAGAATGTAACAAACAGCGCTTTTTCCTTTCATTCGTATGTTCCGTATAAGAAAAATATATAACAAGATACATATGTACGATAAAACTCGGTCGAATCAAATCAATCGACACTCACTCGTAGTGAATACTTAAGTGTTCATGAAACGTGCAACGTACGAATTATTCTGTTATTATTCTGCACAAAATATAATACGCGAAATTTCGTGACGTAAAAATAAGATTTTTTTATTTTAAAATAATTAAATATTGAAAAAATACTATTAAATACATCTTTTATGATATATGTGGGAAAATAACTGCATAAAAACAATTACGGTAAGATCAATCATGTCTGTTCAGTGTTCCATCATAAAGTCTACCTTATTTAATACCTACAAACATAAAATGAGATAATAAATGTTACATGACCTAGAAAATAAAGTTCGGATTTGCCTGCGAAGAGGATAATTCCTTAAACGACGTTCAGTACTTATGCTTGTGTCTGTGTTTACGCGGGGAAGGAGAAGGTGGACTACAAGCTCTATGTTTCGAGGAAGAAGTACGCGGAGGAGGCGGTGGCGACAGAGATAGAGGCGATCTACGTCTTTTCCTGTCGCAACGTTCATTAATGGGAGATCTGCGTGAGGATCCTCTGCACGAGGAGAAGGAAGGCGATGGTGTACGTCTGATGCGAGGTGGCGATGGCGTAACCGGTATACGTTTCTTATATGGTGACCTGGATCTGCGTTTGCAGCGCGGCGATCTGCTGCGAGACCTGTGCGAAAGTTGTAATTACATTAGAATTTTGCCTTTGTCTCTCTCTAAGACAGAGGTCAGAGTTACATTTAAAGATTTTTTTATTTATATTTTAATATTCTAATATTACAATATTTTAGTTATATCTCAATATATATTTTTTTTATTTATAATTCAATATTATAATTTATAATTTAATATTGGAATATATAATTAATATTATAATATAATTTTATATTGGACCTTGATAACATAAAATATATACAGAGTACCTGGCGATGACACACAAACTTTCCGTGTGCGTATAGATTGAATGAAACTGAACGAAAAATTCCTCTACTATTTTGCGAACAACCGCGTAGAATTTTGAGTTATTAATTGAAGAATCGTGTCAACCCAAAATTTTACATCTTTGTCGAAAGAGTAGAGGAATTTATCGTATCGTCAGACATCCTGTATATGAGAGAGAGAGAGAGAGAGAGAGAGAGAGAGAGAGAGAGAGAGAGAGGGGGGGGGGGGGGGAGAAATGAGCACACATATAAATATTGAACATGTTTACCTGTATCTTGTGCTCTTAGTTGATGGACTCGTTGATCGTCTCCGATCTCTATAGTGACTAGGGGATTCCGGCGTCGTGCTCCGTTTCTTCTCTCTTCGCTTATCGTCGTCACGCTCCTCGCTCTTCAAATCTTTCATTTCTCTCTCGCTCTGTCAGTATCAATCGTGATGTATGAACATCAGGATGAACATAACTACCTTGTACATTACAAATTACCTTTCTTATAAGTTTCTTCCTATAGTGCTCCACTTGCCCTTGTATCGTCATGCCAGACTTCAGCGTTCTTCTGCCGCTCTCTAACTCGTCTTGGTATTGCATAATTTTTACTTCGATCTCGCGCAATCTGTTTCGCCTCTCCTCGTTATAGTCTCTGCCGCTGTTGAAGTAATTTTATGTAAACACACATTCCAACGTTTGGTTTATATGAATTACGGAGCAACGTAATCACCTGGAATCCATGCTATTATCTTGCGAATTAGAATCTTCATTCTGACCCAACTCTTCCCACTTACTGGTGGTCATAGCCTGTGCCTCCACCTGATAACAAAACAGGTGTTACATATCGGCTTTCTACGGAAAAAGATCAACGTTATTTGCCGAAAGTATCTCGAAACCTGGTCAGGATCGACGGTTTCCCATCGCGAAGGAACAAATCCAGCCGGCATCGACGATTTCTTCTCGTCCTCTCTATTTCGTACGTTCGTACTGTCGTCGTCGTCCATTGGCACTCCGTCGATGTCTTCATCCACTGTTGCAAATAAACGCGACAATTCATTAACGTATAAATGTTACATCACGTATTTATTCTGTGCTACAGAGATGCGCGGATCAAGGATTTCCCATGTCGAGTCGAATCGAATTCTCAAAAAAAAAAAAAGTTAACTTTTAATTAAAAACATAATTAGCAGCACGAGGACTCAGGAACTAGTCGCTGATCAATTAACGCAGAAATCAAACATGACTCTTCAAGAGATTTGTATTTAAATTTCCCTCCGCAGTTCCAAATTTTCGAGCAATTTGAACTTGAACAGCAAGGGTTTAGATTCGAATCGAATTCAAGTGCTTCGCACATCTCTGCTATACTGCGCATTTATTTCAGGAAGCGGATGCTTACTGGGAATCCCGTCAATATCGTCATAGTTTGAAGTCGTTTGTGGCGTAAGGCCATGTTTCATAGCACCTTTCAACAAGGCGGCACCGTCGAGTGGTACTCCGTCCAGATCTTCGGCACCGTCCCCGTCAACATCCGACAATGGTGCGCCATCGATATCTTCATCATTTTCTGGCTCAGGCTCGTCCATCTTAAAGAGAGATCGCTCATGTGGTCAATTGTTTATACGGAGTAACGTAGCTGTAGACGCGTGATTTACCAAGACAAGTCCTAGGAAAGTGTTCTGTAATTTAACTAAGAAATCTCTCGGGTACACTGCCCAATCTTCCCATGCTCTGAACATTCGCATAACACGCACTTTGAATCCTTCCGCCTTCAGTCTACTGTCAAACTGTTTGTACGCCTGGTGGACCTCGTTAAAGATATCTAGAAGACGTGTCTCAAATCTACAGAACGAGCAGATACGAGATGTTGTAGTATGATGCGCGTGTAATTATAATAATTATAACATACGTCGCAGTTAACACAGTAAGTTATATACAGGGTGTTTCAAAACGGGTGGACTGGTCATATATTTCTCATCGAGACAAACAAGGTTTCTACAAATGTAGCTTGTTTTGCGCTTATTTAAAAGATCAATGTCGACTAACTTTTCGAGTCGAATTAACTTTTGACATTAAACGTTTTAATTATGTGTACCACATAATGTTTCGTTTGTCCGGATGAGAATTTAATTATATAGCTCGCCCTTCTTGGAACACCCTATATATATATATATCTGTTTCAACGTATGCCGAGCTGAATATCACACTCACGCTTTTCTATAAATAGTGGCGTTAGTCACTTTAACACCACAGTTGTGCAATATATCAGATATCAAGTACAATCTTGCAATTTTCTTATTTACTGGAGTTTGCAGTATTGATAGCGACTCTGAAATACAATCACAAATCTCCTCTGCCGCTTCTGCATGTTCTATACAAAATACCATAGCTTCTGCAACTTTTATTCGTTCGGGTGATATGTTTCGCAATAAATCTTCTAAACGATCTCGCTGACTATGAAGAAATAGAACAGGTTTAAAAAGCTTGTCACATTGTATCCTTCGCAGGAAGGTAACATTTGATCGAGTTCGAGCAATGTATATACCACAAGGTGAGCAACTCCTTATCATTGTGCTCTGTGTTACCTGTTCGAAAGGCTACCCCTCCTAGGCTCCTGCCTCTCCTCCATTTCTATGAGCTCTTCCGGCATGCCTTGTGTCCAAGGATTGATCGGTGGTGGTCTCCATACACTCCCACCCTTGAACATTCTGAAATCTTCCGTATGCCATTCCTTTTGTCCGTCTCCTTGCAAAATGGAATACAGTTTCCAGCGGTAATAAGTGTGCGCGGCGGAATAATTGTCAAACAGAAATCTGCAAACAGTCGAGTCACCTTGTCAGTTTAGCCGAGAGATCATGAAGGGAATGGAAAGGGCGTGTCTCCGCGCTTATCGGCACGTCTCCTCACCTGAACATTGGATTATTCAGTTCCCTGTTCATAATCATCGCTTCGAACATCGGTCCCTCTCGTATGACAAATTCCACCATTCTATGTATTAACATGACTAAGTTCCTATAACGCACAACTTCATTAAGTACACGCTCACATCAACATCCCCGTTCGACACGAATTATCACGAATATCACGACAGAAACTCATAGACTCATTCCTCGTAGGTATACGTACTTACAGATCTCTCATGTTATATTATTAAAGTGAACAAATACCTTTCTGTTGGTATAACCACTTTGACAACAGCATTCTGCAAAACCTGATAGTCCAGATCATAGTTCAACAGTGACAGACAGACAGAGAGAGACGACAGGGCGTTCCGATCCAGATCGCCAAAATTGTGTTGTACCCCAAGAACGGTCGCCGACAAATTAACACAACACAATTCGTAAGCGCAAATTAGAGTGTCTTTTTGAAAAAAAAATGTTTTTTTTTCTTTCTTACAAAGATACTCATGTTCCAAACAAAGATACGTCATCATTCTTATCTCGTTACTAAGAGTCTTTGTATTGCAAAATGCTCTTACGCTCTATAGAGAACTTACCAATTTTACCCACTTAGAACATTACCTTCTTTAAGTTCTCTTTTACGTACAGATTTTATGTATGCGAATTTGCGCGCGTTTATATAATGACTCTTAAAGGTAACGGTAAGAGGAATTTTATAAACGGAACAAGCACCAATCGATCGAGATTAAATATTATCTAACTGAGACTATCAAATCGCTGGAGTTGTACAGAATTTGTTATCGTCAACGTAACATACACTACTGTACCGAAGACAGAATAAATTGTTCTAACATAGGGATAATGTTACCTTTTCAAAGTTTTCCTTTTCCTGCGGGTCCGCGGTCTGGATGTTGCGGATACGTGGTATCTGAGATTATGTTTCAAAAATGGTTATACGATTCCAATGTAAATTAGCAAGAAAAAAAAGTAAATAATGACAATTCGTTATCAATCATCTTGGAGTGTCATTTTTATCGGTGTCGCGCGGAAAGTATGAATGCGAATTATCGTACAGAGCCGTTTTTTACGTTTTCGTTAAGTTACTACGAGTGCAATTTATTCGGCATGTGCGTTGTTAGGTGCAACAAAACTTCGAGTTGAAACTCGAACATGCTGAATCAAACGAGATCAAACGAAAGATGTCTCTCGTGAGACCTTTCTTACTACTTTTAGCAAAGAGACGCCTTTTCAAATCCTGCGACAATTGACACACGTACTTATGTAATAGAAAAAGAAGTATATATATATATATAGATATATATATAGAAAGAGAGAGAGAAAGAGAGAGAGAGAGAGAGAGAAAAAGAGAGAGAAAGAGAGAGAAAGAGAGAGATATATATGCACTATACATAAATTACAGATATTCGGAACGTGATTATTCTCGAGGGTAATATCAAGTAAGAAGAAAACGAAATCGTTTAAACGTATACTTGATCATTTTATTAACTGCGCCCCTCAATTGCTTTATTTCGTGTACCTTGTGTCTGTCGCGACGATGCGGTTGAGCATTAAACGGAAGACCAGACTGAGGCGGTGGCTGCGTGATGTCCATCAAAGCGGGCGGAATATAAATAGGGTAAGGCGGAATCGGTACACTCTTTCCCCAGCCTAACTTCATCTCATACTGCATTATGTCGCGACCTACCTCATCATATTGTGGTAACATGTCTTTAATGTTCTCATAGTCAAACGTGATCGTAAAGTATTGCTCAATAGAAAGGAATAGCGAATAAACTGATAGACGAATTAAAAATAATATACATAAATGAGTGAACTTGTGTCCGTTACACACAATTTATGTCTTTTTCGCAAAACGCTCTTGCCATATTCTCACCATTGAGGTTCTTCAGCGCCCGCTCCCCGTCTTTGCGGCTCATGAATGCAACGAAACCACAGTTCCTTTGTCTGGCCTTCTCCTCGTCACTGCGTGGCCACATTATCTTTATACTGGCTAGTGGACCGTACTTTCCAAATATCTCCATCAGCTGTTGCTCTGTGATCTGCCATAAGAAAAAAACACACATGCAACAAGTATGATACAATATTTTACATATATAACAACAATTTAATAGAGAAGCAGCATCTCTTACTTTAGGATTTAAATTTCCCAGATACAAGTTTGTAGTGTTTGGATCACCATTGTCGAATGAACCATCTGTAAAGTAATGGCAACTTTCAGTTCTTATCATAATTGCAAAATAGGGAGAGATGGCAAGGATAAAGGTAAGGAAGGACGATGGTTACCCTCATATATCAGGGCTAAGAGACGGGCATCATCAACGAAGTTATGCAGATTAGCCTTTCGCGGATCCGGATATGAGGATATACTACCTACTGAAGTTACAATTATGCTAGAAATGTAGATGCTATGATGCATGATAAAAGTATACTGGGACAATCCCATTCTACCACAAGGTGAATCTGACTATTTCACTCAAGAGTTTAGGACCCCAATTATTACCAAAATTAAAATAAGGATGGGGAACTTTCGGCAAGAACTTGTGATGCACATACCTTCCACACATTTCAAAGCAGCCATCATTGGATCTTCAGATTGTGCGGATATTACAGTCTTTACCACGCCCTTATACTTATGTCTCTCTTCACGTTCCTCTTGTATCATTTTCAGTTCTTCCTTGAACAACTCAAGGTTGCTTTTCTTCTTCTCACCTTCCTTCTTCTTTTTGCCCAATCTATCCATTTTCCTTTCATTTGAACCAAGCAATCGTGCATATTCTTGAGCTTGTTCAGCTGATGATCTATTGTCGAGTAACTCTGAAATTTTTGACTGTGGCTTATAAAGCTTCCCCTTTTCCCTCGTATCTTCCTCTGTAAAGTAGATCACTTGTAAGTCCGACAAATCTGTATGAAAGTAACTCTTGGAAGTGTATAAGACTGCAACTGTATTTACGTCTTTTGCCAGCATCATATGTTCCTGCTTTAACCCAGACTTTATTGGTAGTTTTACTGGGTGTTTCTTGAAATGTTGCCACAAATTCCTCAAACGCCTGCATATAACACAATAATTTATGTAAGACAGCCGGGCAAAATATGAAAGTCAAGTTACACATAGCACTATTCACCTGAGCCGCAGCTTGTTCCTGCTCCTTCTTGCGCTGTTCTTCCAATTCCTTCTTACTCAATGGACGTTTACCCATTGTGCCGATAGAAAAAGCTTTGAGCTTTTGCTCAGCAATTTGCTACAAATATAAAGAGATTCGCAGTTACGCAACTAGAAAACACAAGCCCAACGTGTGAGACTCTACCTTCATTATAGCCTTATCCGCCATTTGCTCGGATATGTTATAACCTAGAAGAGATTAACATGTTAAGTTGAGTCGTGTCTGCGTAAGCCGCTTCCCAAATTGCAGCGAATAAGATCGAGCGTGTGCAGTCGCAATATTGCGAACGTTCGCAGGGGAATCTTACTTGTACTCAACGAAATGTATAACGTCGAACGGTAGCAAACTCAAATCACTCGCACTCGTTGGAAACACTAAGCCGAAACACGAGTGAATATCACTGCACGTCCTGATGGCACGGTCACAAACTTTTATCGATTCAAAGAAAACTCCGCAGCACTGATTGACAAGAACGAAAAATGTGCATTTTTATTTATTTACATGACTTACTAGTAAGCTAGAAGCCTCAAGACGACATTGCAAAAAGTGAAACCGAAATCCACAGACGGAGCATAGAGTGCACGTTCAACAGAAAGATGGAGAACGATAAGAGAGAAGAATTTTTCGATTCTCCTGGCTGGAGACCCTCTGATAAAAGTCTGGGCGTGAGAGCGCCGGTTCTGATTGGTCCAGCATGTTTCGTCAACTCCCGCTCATATTTGAGTCACAATAATCCTGCTATTGACATAAACGTTGTGTTTGAATATAACACGACATAACTTCATTATAATAATATACATATTTTAATAATGGCCATCATTGCTATCACATTTATGGCTGCATATTTTATTATACAGGGTGTTCGGGATTGTTTGGAAACGGAAAATTATGAAGATTAATCAGATCAAACTGAGAAGAAAAGTCATGTATTTACCATTTTGCAAAAATCGCTTATAATTGTAGATTAGATGATTTTAAACAATAAAGCCCTTTACCCTTTGCAAATAAGTGCGCAAATTTTAAAGTTACCGTTACAATTAAAAGAGCTTCTAGATCTGGTGATTCTCAATCATTAATAACTTAATAACTAATGCGATTTTTGCAAAATGGTACATGACTTTTCTTCTCAGTTTAATCTGATTAATCTTCACAATTTTTCGTTTCCAAAAGGTTCCAGACGCTTTGTATCTCTGATTGGACCAAAAATTGATAATGAACATTTTTAAAATGTTAAAAATAATTTTAAACTATTATAAAAAATAATGTTAATAATGTAAAATAAATATCAAATAAATATTAAATAAACGTTAAATAAATATTTCTTAATCATTATTTTAAATAAAGAATTAATGTAAAATAAACGTTAAGTAAATATAATTTTTAAAACATCATTTTAAATGAAGAATTGATGTAATAAAATATACATTAAATAGATGTTAAATAAATATTTTTGTGCAATGAATGGAAGAAATGTGAAAAAAAATGTAAAATAAATATTTGGAAAATGTTAAAAAATATTGTTTGCTGATTGAGATCCCAGGCAGAACAGAAAATTATGATGACATCAAAATGACGTCAAAATGATGAGGAAAATTCATTTCTTCATCATGATTCGATCATTTTCTCGTCATTTTGATGTCATTATGATTTTCTGTTCTCCCTGAGAATTATAGATTTCCTTTTGTACTTTTGCAATATATAGTACACTTGTTGCTTCATCTGTTGATTTTAAATCAATTAATTTTTTGAAATTCACTAATTTTTTGGAATTAATTAATATTTTTAAATCAATTATTTGTAATCAGCTGCTTACTGACTTTACGAAACGCAACGCCAGTAATTTTCACTGCTGTCAACTTTATTCTTCTTCACTGGCGGCGGCTATTTTCAAACACGTCCCTGGGCTATGTCCCAAAATTCACTGCCAACGCTGAAAAGTTACAGTTTACGTGACACAAACTATATATTTTCAGTACTGGCAGTGAATTTTGGAACACGGCCCTGGCGAGTCACCAGCGACCAAAAGTCCCCGCACCGAGGATCACCCGACGGATACTCTTGCTCAAGGAGAGGAGCTCCCATCTGTGTGTACTCATCGCCATGACCGTTAATTCGTCGATTACGAAGAGCTTTACGTTATCGACGAAAGCACCAATTTGTCACTGCCGCCGCATGCGATCGACGCGCGGCGTGCGCGTTCGCCAATCGAGCGGACGATATGAAAAACTCGATATCGATATTATTTTGTCTCCCACCTCCGCCCGACTTCCATCGAAACGGTCGCAATATGAAGCAACATGGGCGACGCGGTAAAAACGCGTACGAACCCCTCGGCGGGGGATGAAGCGCAATGCAACATTGCGGGCGACGCGATGCATTCCGTGGCGCAAATAATGAAGCAGGTATTGTCGCTTTTCCGTATTACTCGGAGTTTCGCGGATGAAGAGCACGGGTAATAAGCGCGTGCATTACGCGGAACGCGAATGGCTCCAAATAACAGGCTGCCGCGGCGGCGGCAAAATGGCGAGCTGGAAAGTACCACGGAGACGAGAGTGAGTCCGTTACTTTGCCATTAGCGAGCTATTTACAAACACGCGAAGCCTTGAAGAGCACGGCGTAGGGTAGCCCCCGTCGGTGACGCGCGCTGCTCCGTCATTGCCGTCGGGGGAAGCCCGACGCGCAAAGTTGACTCTTTTTTTTACACGCCATTTTGCGCCCGACAGCGGCCGGTGTGTCTAAGCTAAGGACGCTCCGAGGATGTTCAGTAGTCGCGGGACGTCCACGGGACAGCCTCGGCGTAATCGAGCGCGTCGGTAATCGAGTGCGATTTCGTCTGCTCCCTTTCCCTCGAAACCCCCTTCGGAGGCCGGAGCGAAGCCACAGGCAGGACATTCACGGAGATATTTCGGCGCTTCCACCACCGGGCTGGCCAGAGGCGCGAGGATGTGGTGGTGATTCCACCCCCTACTCCCGGTCGCGATACAGCGACGCCTCCGCACGGCGTCGATCAATAACACCGCCGCCGGACGACGCCGACATCGAGAGCGTCGTCGCGCTTGCGAGGGATCGGCGCGAGGCGACGCGAACGGAACGGAACGGGACGGGACGGGACGCGACGCGACGCCAGGCGTCGTGTCATCATCATCGTCGTCGCGAGAGTCGTCGCACGACCACGCACGCCGTAGCAGGGATTCGCCAGAGAGATACGCAGAGTGCGCGCAGGGGACGACGACGACGACGACGACGACGACGACGAGGAGTCCAGAGCGCCGCCGGCGACGTGGGAATGTGAGTGACGACCTCGCGCTTTTCCACGAGGACGGAGGAACGCGGCGCGAGCCGTCCACCGCCGAGTCTCCGAGGTCCCACCCACGACATGGCCAAGGTGAGTCTCTCGCCAAGGTGCAACGCCGGCGGCTGTACGGTGACGGTGTGAGGGTCGTCGCGGTCGACTCGCGACGATCGCGCGAGGTCGTTCCGACACCTCCCGGTTCGTCGCCGATGATACCGGCGCGACGTCCGCGCAGACGATCGCCGACGCGACACGACGCGACGCGCCAACGGGGTGAGGCGAAAGGTTGCACGTACGATGAACACCTAATAATAACTGTGCGGTAAAAACAATAGTTATTAATAACTAGACTTTTATTTACATTTACTCTCGCATGTTGCGGGAAGCTCGAAGAGTCGCCTGAGGAGAGAGAGAGGGAGAGGGGCAGTCTGTCGATTTTGAGACGACTCGATCGAGCTTGCACGATTGAGCTGTGCCGAGTTCTGTGCGACCGTTTGGCTCCGATGTGATTAGGCTGTATCAATTTCAACGTCGGCGATCCGCACGCACTCACGCATGCATGCAGAGATTCCGCTGATTCCTCGGCGAGAGAAAAGGAAGGGAGCGCGACAATAGGATGTATAACAATACTAGGAAATAGAGCCACAGTTGGTTAGCATGCACGGGAGTACGGAGTATGATGCTGCTTTTACATAATTTAGAGCACGCTCCACCGCGCGACGGCGCAGACGCGGACGGGTAATCTGGACACTGGCGAATTTCCCAGTGTCCCGGTTAGACGAGCCACGAATACGCATGTGGACGTGCGAATTCGCAATTTTCCGATTGAAACAAGGCCGCGCACGCCGCGGCATGGGTGGTGTCGAGTAACGGATGAGCAAGTTTTACAAATGCAACTAACGGAATCTCGCTTTCAGCCGAGCATATGGGCCGACCCGACGAAGTTTCACAGCTCGAGTCGTCGCCGTCGTGCGTTAATAAACTCAGCCGCGCGCGCACACACACTCGCAACATTTGTGTAATCGTACATCGGTACAAACGTTACTGAATAAATACACAACTACAGATACACATGATTGACATACAACTACATAAATAAGGCAGATATGTATACAGAGTGTCCGGGGTCTATTGGAAACGAGAAATCGTGAAGATTGATCAGATCAGACTGAGAAGAAAGGTCCGTCAAGTCACCGTCAAGTACCGTTTTGCAAAAATCGCGTCATTAAATTATCAATGATTAAAAATGATCGCATTTAAAGGCTCTTTTAATTGATAATTTGCGTAAATGGTAAAGGACTGTTTTGTTCGAAGTGACCTAATCTACAATTGTGTGGCTGTTATTGTGCCTAGTGACAGGTTCAAGGTTCAAAGTTCAATATATCTATCGCTATCTTATACCATTTTGCAAATAAGTACGCAAATTTTCAAGTTGTCAATTAAAAGAGCTTCTAGATATGGTCATTTTCAATCATTAATAATTATTACAATTTTTGCAAAACGGCATTTGACCTTTTTTCTCAGTTTGATCTGATTAATCTTCACAATTTTTCGTTTCCAAAAGATCCCGGATACTCTACATATATATATATATATATAACATACAGTTTTACATACATTTTTTACATAATTAAAATGAACATGTTGCATTATTACATTAGTTTAAACATTATTAAATAAATACATAGTTACACATATATATAACACACATATATATACATTATATACAACTATATAAATATAATAATTATATACATACACAACTGCATAATTAAAACAAACATCTTGCATCATTAAAACAAACATCTTACATAATTAATACATCGGTATAAACGTTACTAACAAATACACAACTACATATATACATAGTTACATATATAAACATAGTTACATAAATAAATATAAATATATATATATATAAAACATATACAGATGTATACAACTATATAAATATAACAATTACATACACAACTGCATAATTAAACCAAACATTCTACATCACTGATATATCAATATAAATATTATTAAATAAATACATAACTACATACACATACATAGTTACATATGACTAGATAAACAAATGAATATATATATGCATAACATACATATAGTTACATTATATAAAACTATATATTAACCTATAATGTAACATACATATAGTTACATTACATACATTACATATATGTATATCACAACTATATCACACGCATACAAACAACCACATTGTTACAATACCGGTACAGGGGGACGCACGGCGGCCGCTTACGCAGGCGATTACGCGACCGTCGCACCGCATCGTACACCGCCGGCATACGGATTCACGGATTGGTGAATGCAAAAGCCGCGTGTCCCGACAGAATGAAGCAATTGTCATGTCGTCGTCATCGACATTACGCTCGGCAGCTCGCTAGCTCAGCAGCTCGCACGCTCGCCTGCGAGTCCTCTCCATGTGACGAGCACTCCCGCTCGCGAGGCTGCGGATACGTGGCGGCGGCAGCGGCGACGGCGGTGGTGGCACCGGGCCCAGCAGGTGTAGAGTCGGGGATCGCGAAGCGAATCCGGAACGTTTCACGTATTGTCGTGCACACGTCGGCCGCAACAACACGATCGCCCGTGGCCTGTCGTCGTCGTCGTCGTCAGTCGTTATCGATCCTTCGCGCTTTTACGAGCTTACGTCGCGCGCGCGAAAGCGAGAGATTCCCCTCTCTCTCTCTCTCTCTCTCTCTCTCTCTCTCTCTCTCTTTGTTTCTTCCAGTTTTTTCTGTCCCTCCGTCGTCGCGTGCCCCGCCGGGGAAAAACCGCCGATCCTATCCGATCCGGCCGACCGGCCGGAGGCGCGTCACGGTGGTGCTGTGGTGTGTCAGTGGAAAATTTTCGCGATCGATCCATCCGTCGCGGCGTGCGATCCATCGTGCGAGCGATGCCGATAAGAGGACGGGGTACGTCCTCTCCGCGGCTATTGCCGCGTTTCCCGCGGCTTTCCCGTCCCGGCTGAACGCCGCCGCCGAGCGGAAGAGTAAACAATAGCTTCCGCTCGCTCGACGCGCGCTCGACTCATTCAGGGAGAACCTCGCGGTCTGAAAAACGTAGTCTGATGGCGTTAATCGCCGTTTCCCAGCGACGGTGTAGATCTCGCCGATAGAGGCCCGTGAGTATCCCCGCGAGATCCAAAGGAGCGATAACGCTGAGTTCTCTCGTGAGAATGCACGAAGATAACGAAGAAACCGCAGCGCGTCGTCGATTGTGTGACGCGATTGCGATAACTTATCGTGTGCCGAAGATCGGATTCCGATGCTTGTCCGCGCGCGAGCACGTCGTCGTCGTCGCTAGCGGCTTGTTGACATTGGCGATGATAACGGCGCCAACTGCGCGTCTTATGTAACGCTAGATAAGCGAAACGTCGCTAACGGCGGGGCGGCAAATAGCGCGAGCGTTATTTCGCGGCTCCGAGCACCTCCGCGAGCCGCCGCGATCGGCCGGAGATCGCGTCGACCACGTCGACGACGGGGCACCGAGCGGACGCCAGCGGTGCATTCCGCTGAAATTATAATCAATTGAAGGTACACGCGCCGCTCGACAGCGCGCCGATAGGCCGAGCGTGAGCCACGAGCTCAAAACGCGCAATAAGCGGCGAGACGTGGACGGAGCGACAGCGCGAGTGAATCGCAAGGAGGATCCGATCGGCTACGCTTGTGGTCGCTTGTTTCTTGTGTCGCGTGTGTGTGTGTGTGAGTGAGTGAGTGAGTGAGTGAGTGTGTCATAGGTTGTCTCATACGCGCATCACTCGAGCGCGCCGCGTAAAATTCCGCGACGACGGCAGTCTGTTCTCTTTCGGGGAACTTGTCAACCGGTAAGTTGGAGCGAGACGGACTCTCGTATCTTGGCTCACTCTAATTTATCGCCAAGAGAAAAAGAGCAGAGCCATTGTATGGCAATTGGACGCGGTGACCGACTGTCCGGTTTCTCTGCGATCCGATCGCCCTCGGGCAATCTGGAGAAAGGGGACAAAGTGTGCGTACGAGATTGAACGGACTCGCGCGAGCGCGCCGCGCTAATTAGATTCCATTATTATTCATCCGAGAAGCGAGCGCACGCGGAGGATTTATCGCGAGCGCGTATACGCGGTTAGCGCGGTTTTCTACCTACGTACTATCTACTCTCTCTCTCTCTCTCTCTTTTTCATCTCAGGAGGCAACAAAGCGTGACTGGACACGCGCCGGCGCAAATTGGCGCGAATTAAGCACTGAGGATCAAACTTATGCTCGATTTGGCCTTTTAGCCGCTCGTTCGCTCGCTCGCTCGTCCATCCACCGCCGCCGCCGTCGTCGTCGTTCGGTCTTTCCGGCATGCAAAATTTATTCTGTCTCTTAATTCAACTCACGTTCCCTTTCCACGATCGGTCTCACGATCGCGCGCGCGGCTCTGTCCGCTGACTCGCCGGTTTTTTCACCTTGGCATTTTATTACGGCGACTACGACGACGACGGCGGCGGCGGCGTTTACGCATTTGCGCATTTGCATGACTAGATAGCTGCGTAAAGGACAGAAAAAGAGCCGCGCGCGCGCGCGGAGAAAATGAATTTCAATGACGCGAGAGTGCGAGCGCGCGGATCAAATCCCGCGGAGATGTGAAAGGCGCGCGCGAGCAGGAAACTGATGTGACCGTGATGATTGCTGACCCATCGCATTACCGTTTCGCCTGGCTTCTGTCGGTTCGGGAAATGTACGCGGTAGCTAAGACGTCCGCGGAGGAGAAATATTACGCTCAGTGGCGCCGGTTCCACGGTTCAGAAACACGTCTCTCTCCCTCTCTCTGTCCTTCCACTTATCTCGCGAAAGCCATGTAACAGCGACGAGACTTAAATTACACGTGTTTACGTCCTAGACGCCGCCGAACGAGCGCCGTCGAGATGATCGCCGCGGTGTAAATGGGACGGCGGATTTTGTTGGCGCGCGGCGCACTTTTCGCGGCCGAGGATTTCTCGGCGGGACGGGACGGGAAACTCGGGCTGGCGCGGCGCGGCACTCTTGGCGCTTCCTGGCGGGAAGCAGGGATCCCGCCGGTGATTTACGCCGAGGATACGGGCCCGGCGCGTAGCGGTTCGCAGTAACCTAGTTCTCAGTCCCGACGCCGCCACCACGTCTCCGTCGGTGAACGCACTTGGTTACGCGATATCCCGTTCCCCGCATCGAGAAGAGACCATCGATGATATCTGCCATTGTTCGTAGACACGCTAGCACAGTTCTCCGCGTCGCTTCGGCCGCCCGGGGAGCAGGTATCGACGAGAAGGGCTACCTGGCAGCCGCGTCCGCCTCTCGCGAGCGCCGTCGCAGAATTTCTCCTCCGTAGATTCGGTCAGACCCCAGGTAGAATAGAAAATTATAATGACATTAAGATGAGGAGAAAATCATGATGAAAAAAATGAGTTTTCTTCGTTATTTTGGCGTCATCATGATTTTCTGTTCTGCTTGGGAATGTGGCGGCCGAGGCGAGGGAGCGCAATTGTATCGGCCGTGGCTTACCTTGTACTATCGATTGATTGTACCGCGGGAAGCTGTCTGCTGTGTGTCCGGTAGGCTCTCCTTGGACCGGCCTGTACACCCGCTGTGGGCCTGAAAAGGCAGGTGCTAATTAGCGGTAATTGTTGTCACGAGTTACGTGCGCGGTTACGTGACGAAAAGGGAGAAGCGTACGAAATTGCGTTTGCGTGTATTTTGAAGAAGAATATACGCGAGCGGGCGAGCGAGAGAAAGAGGGGAGGGAGGGGCGTATAGTCATGAACTAAAATTAAATTAACCAACTGAGAGAAACGCTTCTCACTGATTCATCGAGGGCGAGGGGTGGAGCTGTTATTTGGAGGTGGGCCAAGGGCAACGGACTCCGCTCGGGTCGAAAGTTCTGGCTGGCCTTGAAAAAAATAACTACCTTCGAGCTACGCCCACCCATTAGTCCTCCGCTCGTGTAATAGAGCGGTAATTAAGCTCGCTCGTTCGCTACTCGCGTTATCTACCGTCGATGTCACGCGCACTCGCGAGAAACCGAGACCGCCCCTGCTCTCGCGCGACACACGCGAGAAATCTCTCCAGGACGTGCTAGGGTCTATGACGAGGAGTAGCATGAGAAGAAGGCATTTACATGTTTACGAGCGTGTCTCCGGGTAAAAAGTCCCCGCTCGCTCACACTCACTTGTTTCGGTTGCAGAACGTAGGGGAGAGCCGGATACCTGTTCCACGGCCAACTCGTCCGTCGTTCTTCCCGAAATCGAGAGTACTCGAGGCCTCGAGACTCTTGTCGGGAGGTCGTCGGTCCACGATCTTCTCGGGATGCTTTCAGTTCGTTAACACCGAGGACGAGCCTCCGACTCCGAGGGAGAAGTTCACGGGATTCGTGTCGTCGACGCCTACTATTAAGAGTAACTCTTGCGCTTTTCTCATCCGAAGGGTTCGGCTCGATTTCTTTGCTTTCCTTGACGACGAGAGCCGGTGGTCCCCCGCGATAAAGGATATGGGAACGTTGGTGCGAAATAGGATTACTCTCGGTAGATGAGTAATTTATTTCCATTGCATCCGAGAAAAAGTAATTTCAGAACGGAATCATCTCAATTTTAGAGAATTTTGTTCTTATATATGGCCTCAAGAGGAGATTCCTCTAGGATTAAGAGGGAAATATTATAAACACATTATTCTAAAGTTAGAGGGATGATATGTTATATGTATAATGCAAATCTTATTGACTTTAATAGAAATTTCCTCTCATACACAGATTATTTAATCTTTTTTTAAGAGGATTATTATTTACTATTACCGGTTATACTAATTAATTTGAAAAAAATTATAAGGTACAGCGAAAAGTAATAAAGGGTGTCCCAAAATTCATCACAAAATTCTATCAAAATTACAAGAAGTAATTTTGATAGAAAACACAGGTTTATAATTAAAAATTCTAAATTTTTTATTGATTCATAAAGTATACAATATAGGGTTATGTATGGAATAGCATATCGGGTAAATGGCCTCCACGGCTTTGCTGGCACATATGCACTCTTGTTGAAATTTTCCATGACCGTTTTGCATAAATGTGGCTGAATTTCGTTGATACAGCGCTCAATTTCCTCCTTCAAGGCGTGGATGGTCGTGGGTTTGTTGGCATAAACCTTAGACTTCAAAAAACCCCAAAGAAAAAAGCCCAACGGCGTTAAATCGCATGATCTGGTCGGCCAAATCTGATCACCAAAACGGGAAATTACATGATCAGGAAATGATTCATACAGTAATTGAATTGTTTCTCGGGCTGTATGGCATGTGGCACCGTCTTGTTGAAACCACATGTCGTCCACATCCATATCTTGCAATTTAGGCACAAGAAACTGGATTATCATGTCGCGATAGCGAGCACCATTAACTGTTATTGCCTGACCAGCCGCATTTTCGAAAAAGAATGGTTCGATGATGCCTCCAGCCCAAAATGCGCACCAAACAGTGACACGTTGTGGATGCATTTGTTTCTCAACAATCATTCGTGAATTTTCTGAGCCCCAAATGCGACAATTTTGTCGATTAACCAAGCCATCAAGATGAAAATGAGCCTTATCGCTGAAGATGATTTTGTTCGAAAAATCAGCATCCATTTTAAAATATTGCTCAACAATGAAAACGCGTTGTTCTTTCGTGTAGCACTCCATTTTAAAAACCCTGAACTGTCAGCTGTCACGCTGTCTTTTTTTTTTCGTTGGCAACACTACTGCACAAATGGCGTAAAATTCAAATCTTGCGTGAATTTTGGGACACCCTTTATATATATAGATGTACTTTTCTGGCTTCAGTTCTACAATAAGTAGGCACGAATGAAATAAGATCATCATGACAAATAAATTTCCAATCAGTTTTATTATGAACTTTATAGCAATACAAAGATGTTCATCATAACCATTTGTATGAAACATAGTTAAAAGAAAGAATATATTATTCAACTTCTTGCGATAGATTATAAACTGTATTTGACCAAATATGGGTAAATTATCTTCGTTATGTGAGCAACACACACATATCTTTTTTAAAAAGCGTTCCAAATATTCTAATCCATGAGCATATGATTATTTTTTCGTTCATGTCTGGAGATAGAGCATGACTAAACAAAAGAAACCAGCATTCAAATCAATATATTCCTCTTCATATAAGAGAAAAATTGATTGATATAAGAGGAAATCCTCTTGAAATAAGAGAAAAAAGCAGTTAGAATAATATATAATAAATTTTAGATGAATGGTTCACTTTAATCGTTTGATCGAAAGAGGAATCCTTTTTCCGCAAAAAGCTTCGCTTGTAATATGAGACTATGGGAAAAATCACTTTACAAATAGAATACCTTTTTTGGATGTGAATGATGAAAAAAAATTATAATGTAACATGTACAAAACAATCATTTTTCCACTGAGTACGCAAAGTAAGAAATCGAACCAAACTTTCCGAGCTTTCAGCGCGTGCGATGCTGTCGCTCCAACACAATTGGACAAGTACAAAGGCAATTCCATGTTGCAGGCGACACGACGGATCAGACATTCTCGATATCACCCGTGTGGGACATAGACAAGAACGATGTGCAGCAATTGGTGCAGCTCAGCGAAGAGAAGAGCAACCTGTTCAGGTACGGATCTTCCCCCGATGTAGACCCGTTACGAGATTTACAATTGACGAGCTTCGTCTTGCTTCCACGATGTAGACTGCTCGAGGACTCCCAGCTGAGCATGATCGAGGATGTCGGCGACAGCTGCCTCGTAGAGAGCAATTTGAGCAATTACAATGAGGCGAATGCGACGCCGCATTATCTGATGCTCAACAAGCAGAACTCCTTCGAGCACGACGAGAGCCTAGGCATCCTGACCCCGGACCAGATGACTGATTTTACGGTCGCGCTGGAGTGCTCCAGGACACCATCCTGCGAGAATCTCACCGGCTCGGCCGGCTCGAAACTGGCGTTGACGCGAGCGTCCGCGTCGAGACCGCTGGCGGAGGAGGGTTGCAGCGAGAGGACGCCTTCCCCGGAAGAATTGCCGCTGGACCCGAAGCCGGTGGAGCCGATCAGGGGCAGTACGGTGCCCGTGAGCTTCGTCACGTCGGTCACGAGCATCACGAGTCTCGAGGCGGGCTATCAGGGCGACGGCGAGAACTCGAGGCCGGCTAGTCGTGGCGCGGATCCACCGTCCATAGTGCCGGCGGTCAATCTGCCCGCGCCGTGCCGGCAGGACCCGATGACCGATTCGGACTTCTTCACCGAGAGCGACGCGGACGCGCACGAGGAAATTGTGCGGGGCGACAGGAAGGCGCAGGTGATCGACGGCACGCTATTCTGCGCCCCGGGCGAGCGCAGATGCCCGAGCTTCACCGGCGAGGAGATGGACTCGAGCGGCATTTACTCGGACTTGGATAAGCTTCAGGTGCCCGAACAAGCACCGGAAGAGAACGACGATCACACACCCGACACGGGCGACACCGAGCTCTCCCAGAGGAGCCAGCCGTCGCCGGTCGCGGCGAACGTCATCATGGATTACTTGCAGGTGAGTGGACGCGAGAACGGGATCCGGGATTATGCATTATGCATGCGGCGACGGTTTTCCTCGTCGACTCGTGCGTCTCGTTATCATGTAAACACACATTGTAGATTCCTATAAAGACGACGGACGAGACGAACGGCTTGAACGACACCACGAGCTCCGCCGAAGTGCCGGTGACCAAGGCAGCCGAGACTAACGAGAACATTCGGTCTAAGACACCGAGCAAAACTGATTCGGTGCCCCTGAAGAAATACAAAATGCCAAAAAAGAACGTCGTCTCAAAGATCAAGGCGATGATCGAGTCGTCCGCGAAGGACGACGCGGAGAAAGAGGCGAGACGCTCGCAAAGGTCAACGAGGAAAGGCGGCCGCTGGGACGCGGTCATGAACAAGATAGAAGCTGGCAAGAACGAGCAGAGAACGAGGTCAGCCAGGAAGGAAGTTAAGTCGAGGGTGCTGCAGAACCTGGCACTGTCGCCGTCCACGAGGCCGACGTTGAAGAAAGCCGGCGACGCGAATAATTACAACAATAATAACAAGGACAAACGGTAAGCCCGAGAACGGAGGCTCGTATTTTATCAACGAGCAATCTGCGAAAGCAAAAGAGAAATATCGATTCGGTCGCGTGTCTTGCACGATATCATCGTCGCTCTGCGATCGCTTCTTCTTTACCATAAACCATGTTGGAAATATTCCCGAATCTCAGGAGGATGCGCGGCTGGCAAGAGATGAAATCGCCGACGCAGGAGACCGCCAGGAGTTCCGTTCGCAGTTCCATGAGCGACCTCAGCAGCGGCCCGAGTAAGGACATGCCAAGTAAGTGCGATGTATCAGTTTTGTACTCGATCAAACGGGCGAAACATGCCAAGTCACACATCGCCACAGAGACTTCTGATTTAAATGATAAATGAATCTACATCTAGCTGTTGCAAACTATAACAGCAGGAGTTGGTAATACAGTTTTGTGGCTTGCCGTGCAGTCGCTGAAAGTTTTTCGTCATTCTGCCTCAGCCGCGTTACACCGGCTGATCAATTATAATCGAGAGCGACGTCGCGAGTCGTTGAAAAAAGCGGCAAAATTCGAGACGGATCGGAAATGCGCGGAATCGCTACGTCATTATTCGATTTCACGAAAGGCCATAATCGAGAAACAATTCTTGACGTCTCGGAGGATTTTTCGAGTTAACTCGAGCGCAGCGCAAGACTGGAAGGATTGTTAGAACTTTCGCACTAAGCAAATTGACCAATCGCACGGTTGGATATTTTTGTGCCGTAAGAAGAATAATCAATTTTGATTAGGCAACACTTTACTATTGGGTAACGAAGAAGTTCGCGCCGTTTTAATTAATAGACATAAAAAAAATACACAAGGTGGGTCAAACGATACTTTATTCAGGAAAGTAGTCGCCTCCGGCTTCCATTACCTCTTCCTAACAATGTAACAAGTTTTCTATTCTTTTCTTCGTAAAAGTTTTCCTCTCTGCTGACAAAAGAACGCTTCAACTTCCCTTCGACGTCTCGTCGATTTTCTTAGCTTGGCAAATTTTTCAAACCACTTTCGGCCACAACGTTCGCTCACTGCGTCATCTTCGAATACGGAGGAATTTTTCGGCCTCTGAAACTCTGGTACTCAACCGGAAAAAATTCATGAGACAAACAAGTCCGAATGATTGACTTTGACATGGCCATACTGAGGTTACTTTTTCAAAACTATAAATAATTAACTTCTCTGTTAAATAAACTTTTATTTAAGAGGAGAATTATATGCGGAAGGCCGTTTTCAAGGCTATTTTTATGAATTTTTTTTAATAGAAACGGTAAGATGGACTTGAAATTCTCATAGTGTATTCATTAATGTTCAAAGTATATATATAAAATAAATTTTATTGAATCACAAGAACTGATCCAATTTGTAATTATAGATAAAAATGCAGTCATCCGTTTGCGAGCTCTATGTTTGCTGTTAACATAATTCCGGGTCACTCACTACTCTGAAATCGAAAAATGAGAAAGATTTTTAAAATACACGGTTATTATTATAGCTCGTATGAAAATGAAGGCAGTGAAGCCAAGTTTGGAAAAATAATGACTGTACAAAGAGAAGCATAAAAAATGAAACTTTTTTCAACTTGTAATCATGTTCAAAAAAATGAATAAAATAAAATATAACTGTGTTCGAAATAGAGGCGAAAACTACATGTCTACTGTATATTGTGTAAAAATTTCAAGTTATTCGGTTCAGTAGTTTGTGCGCAGTCGCGTCGACAGTTTAACAAAACGGTGTTTCCAGATAAACGCGTTTAAAGTTTTATATGCACTTTCCATATAGATAGTAATAAATTTATTTTATATTTTGAATATTAATGAATACGTTGCGAAAATTTCAAGTTTATCGATCCTACCGTTGAGAAAATTCGAAAAAATGACCTTGAAAACATGCTCCGCATGTAATTCCTCCCTTAAGCGTACACGACCAAGACCTAGAAACAAACTTTCTCGCTCACCTAATATAATCTTTACCAACAAATTTCCGAAATACAGAAAGAAAACTCCAGCAAACATAAGCGGTAAGGAAAGTGACCAACGAAGAGATTGATTATTCTTCTACGCACGGAGAAATACTCAACCGCGGTGATTGCAATTGACTTATTCGCTCACGCCCACAACTTCAGTTTTTCCGCGCGAAAACCGCCGATTCTTCAGGTTCGATGTTATTACCCACCGGAGAAAAAGACGGCGGTCTCTTTATCGACCCGCGACCGCACCGAGCGGCGGTAAAAAATATTCGCCGTCGAGAAGCGCCGAGGAACTCCCCGCTGTCCCTCTTACCGGCGCCACAGAGAGAGAGGGTGAGAGCGAGAACGAGAGAGAGAGAGAGAGAGAGAAAGAGAACCGGCGTCTCTCCTCTCCATTGTGTGTATACACGAAGTAGGGCTGCGTCGCGCAGCTTCGCCGTAGTCTCGCGTCCAGCCAGCATCCAGCCGGTCGGCGGTCCTCGGCGGATCTCGTGCTGGATCGTTCTCTCTTTCTCTCCGCTCCTCCTGCGCGCACTTACACGCACCACACGTACATATACGTGCACGCGCTATGCTACTACGGTGCACTCTCTCCGTCTTTCGTTCGTCCCTCTCTCTCTCTCTTTTTCTCTCCCGCTCGCTCCCGCCATCGTGGTATCGGGTCACCGGTGTGCACCGAGAGTAGTGCGTAGTGCAGGGCGACCTGCGCGCGAGGAAGGGCGAGAAGGGCGGCGTTGACAGGCAGCTTAGTGCGTCCGCTGTCAGTGGGTAAACTGGAGGGAGCGGAGTGACAGCGCGCATTCAGGCGGTGGCCCGGACGTGGACATTGATTGTCCTCTCTCTCTCTCTCCCCCCCCCCTCTTCCTCTCGACGTGGTGCTCGCGGTTACCGACGACGACTTCACCGCCGCGGTTACGTGCCCGTGCGAGGAACGTCGGGGCGGCCCCGAGAGAAACCCTCGTCCCGCCTCGCTCCGTCTCGCCTGCCTTCGACGTGACCTATTTCGCGTTCCTCCTCGCCCCTTCGCCGTGGTGCGCGCGCGCGCCCCGACGGAGACACGTGCGAATTACACACGCAGGCGGGCGCGACGTTCATCCCGAGGACAGCCGAGTGAGTGCCGCGCGCCATCCCCGTTGATCCCGCTTGCCTTCTTCCTGGGACCTTGAAGACGTTGCACGGGGAGGTCGGGAGGGACATCAGCGTCGGCGGGCTGCGAGTCATCGTCCTGCGGAGACGGCGCGCGCGCGCGCGCGAGCGAGCGAGCAAGCATCCATCTGCGCGCGGCGACGGGTATCCCCGGAGTATCGTGTCGCGTTAACGGCACCTCGGCGACGCCGAGGTAGCCGCTCTCGCTCGCTCGGCCGCTTGTGTACGGGTCAACGCCATTCGCGGTTTATTTCCGGCCTTAGCGAGGCCTCGTCGTGCTTTCTTTGCACCTCTCGCCTGTGCACCGCTATGCGTCGCGCACCTCCGTCGCTCGGCAACGATGCCTCCTCTTGGCCCGCGCCCCCACCATCGGCAGCAGCAACACCGGCCTCTCCGCAGGCAGGTGTACCCGACATGACCACGAGCACGTGCGTCGCCAAGGTCGACGACTATCGGTACGCGCCCGGCACCTCCACGGTCTACCTCGCACCTTCTTACGCAATCGCCGGCGGAATCGGCCGCCGTTGAGCCCACACGCCGCCGACGAGGAGCGTCGTCGTCGCCGCGTCTGCCGACGGCTGGATGATCGAGGCAGGCTGATCGCGGACACCCGGTGAAGACGACGGAGAGGACGAGTCGCGCGCTGTCGGGGGGTGTCCAGAAACGAGAGCCAGGTGTTGGTGGCCAGGCTTGGCGCTTGAGCGCGCTAAGCTCGTTGCTCAATCGCCGACCCACGCAGCCTGCGTCGACATGTGATCGCCTGTGATATATAACGAGACGTGCTACAGTTCCTGCCGTCCGGTCGGCTCGTCCAGTCGGGATACGCGATACGTGTGACGACGGCGAGGGCATTCGCGATGCGCAATCGGCGGTAACCGCTCGGAGGAAGACACCGAAGACGCGCTCGCCAAGGTGGAAGATGCTCGTGGCTGTTGTTGTTGTTGTTGCTGCTGCTGCTGTTGTTGCTGTTGCTGTTGCTATTGTTATCGTGCGTCGTGCCGGAGAACGTCGCCGTGAGGAGGTCAGCGTGAACACCGTTTGCGGATCGGCCGGCTCGATCGGCTCGCAGGACACGACAGGATGAGGGCTCACGCAGTCGCGTCCCGCGAGGATCACGCTACGATGAAGAGACGTTGACGAGGCAGAGAGCGGACTCGCGTCGTCATGGGTCAGCAAGGATCGAAGGAGAGACCGCTGCCGAGAAGGGCGGACTTTGTCCGCGACTCAGCAAAGATGCGTCTAGGCAGCTTCAAGCGAGGTAGAAGCCAGTGAATGAACGCTGGCCGTGTAACGGTGCTTCCGGTTTGCCGCTCGGCCCGACGGCGACGACGGCCGGCCGAGTCCTCCATCCGCTCTTCTCTTGATCCGCTTAATCGCTCGATCCTATTTGCTCGCGGAATTTACCGCGGGCTTTCTCGCGCTGACCAGTTTTTCTTCCCCCTCCCCCTTCTCCCTCTCTCTCTCTCTCTCTCTCTCTCTCTCTCTCTCTCTCTCTCTCTCTCTCTCTCTCTCTTTCTCTCTCTCTCTCTCTCTCTCTCTCTCTCTTTCTCAAGATTGATCCTTTCATTGTTTCACCAGGCGAAATCTGCGTGTGGTATATTTTCAGAGAGATCACCGACGTCCGCGAACCCACCCAGAAGATTCGTCTCGAACAGCCACGCCAATCACCAGGTCCGTTTGAATAATTTCGATGCGAAAAAGAACTGCATCGACGTGACGCCGGTCGTCCTCGGTAAATATGCATATGCACTTGATGAGACATAGTCCAAGTTTCGCCGCGCCATTCGGTAACCGTATACACACATACATACATACATATACACGCATGTATGTACACACACACGCACACACTGACCGACGCATTTGATAATCGGGCTAGGAGGAAGGAGAACAAGGAGAGATAGAACGAGGGCACCGTCGCGTACTTCCGCTTGGAGGCCCCATTGCCATAACGATGAGCGACGTGATGAGCAGAAAGAGAGGGAGAGAGAGGGCGGGAAATAGAAGAGAGAGAGAGAGAGAGAGAGAGAGAGAGAGAGAGAGAGAGAGAGAGAGAGAGAGAGAGAGAGAGAGAGAGAGAGAGAGAGAGAGAGAGAGAGCGCGTCTCCCGTCTTCGGGGCCGACTATCCGAACGCGGCTGCATCTGCGAACACGGTCCGCGAATCGCGAGGACGTTAATGAGAGAAGGCAGAATGAAGTGGAGAAAAGAGAAAGCTCTCCCCGGCCGAAAGCAAATGGCAGATGCGGGAATATTCTTGTATCTGCCATTAGTCACGTGCTGGATAGCAGAGCTAACAGGAATATTTCCGGGAATTCGCCTTGAGACCGGCCGCGTTATCTCTCTCCCTCCCCCTCTCTCTCTCTCTCTCTCTCTTTCTCATGCATGTACACGCGGATCAGATGAGGGGACCCGTCGAGATTGTCTTTCCGCGCGACTTCAAGTTCTCTAACGGTGCTTCGCGCGGCGCGATCCAGCTCACTATTTTCCTATCGGCAAGAGAGAGAAAGAGAGAGAGAGAGAGAGAGAGAGAGACCTTGAAATGCTAAACGCACCTCCTCCGCACTCTTCAAGAGCCTCTTATCTCGCGCGCACTCGGCGTACGGGCGACATGAAACGGTGGCTCGCGCCGTACGGTACCCGCACGCTGCCGGTACGCTGCGAGTTCTCGCGGGTAACTGCTACCGCTTTAGTGCTTAACATGCTCTCGTTAACGCAACACAATCTCTTTGCAGAGAAGAGCCCGCCGTCAGCGCGAAAGCCGGCGATAACAAGAAGATTAACGGCTAACACAGCCGTGAAACAGAAATCCTCCACACCGTCGATAAAAGGTATTTGTGCGAGTGTCCCTTCCCCCCGCCCCCGCTCCCCCCCCTCCCGGAGGAAGGGGATGGGGCGGGGGGCAATTAGCGGGCTAATTGGTCGGCAATTTCTTCGCGCTCTTCCTCGTCGTTCCAGCTGCATCTCGCTAACGACGGGCCGCGGAGTGAAAACAAGCGTTCGCACGTTGTGCTTTCCACGCCATTAGCCGCGTCGCCGCTGGATGATGCGTCGCGGCCGGTTCCCTCAAAAGTTCCCACGCTCTTCTCGCGGCACACATCGCCATCGCGCAGCCGTTCGCACGCACTCGCGCACGCAGGTACGCGGCGTCGGACGCGTTTTAATTCGCCCGCTGCGGCGACGCACCGCGCACGCACGCACGTACGCACGCACGCACGCACGCACGCACGTACGTACGTTTTCGCGCGTATACGCGTGTCGCGCTCTTGGAAGAAAGTCGCGGCGCTTTCACCCGGTGATCCCGAGCGCTCGGCTACAACCTGTTCAACCCGCGGTGCTTTCCATTCGAAACTCCTCGAAAAGATCCCGACCTAATCTGTCGGCGGCGCGGTCGCGGGGAGATCGTTATCGGAGAGGAGAGAGAGAGAGAGAGAGAGAGAGAGAGAGAGAGAGAGAGAGAGAGAGGAGAGAGAGAGAGAGAGAGAAACCGGCAGCGGCTCTCGAAATAATATGCGGGATAGCGAAAGCAGTTTCTGCGAGTTCAACGATCGGGATGATGGCGGCGGCGGCGGCGGCAGCGGCGGAGAAAGGAGGAACGCGCGGGAGATGCGTCGCAAAGGGGATCATCACCGTCGACGACGAGACGCCTTCATCACATTCGGCATTCATCGCGGGTCCTGACGTAAGAGGCGTTACATTATAACGACCGCGCGTCGCCCCGCGTCGCGATTCTTACGCTCGGCGAGCGTAAGTAAGCGCGAACACTCCCGTTCGCCTCCTCTCCTTCCATCTAAGGACGACGGCGGCCGAGTATGCGAGTATGGAAAAGCCGGGGCTTTGTTCGGCGCGCGCGTGATTCGCCGCCTCCGTTCGGGAACGGAAATGCAGGCGAATTTTTAAGCAGCGGCCAGTTCCGCCGCTGCGACCGAGACTGCAGATTGATGGGATTCACGTGCTTTCAGGTAGCCGTCGACGCCCGCCGCGCTAGCTTATCCGCCCTGACGGCGCCAGGCGGGTCTCCGCCGAGACGCTCTCCGATGCTTTCGCGTCGGAGTTTTCACGTCTCCTGTTGAAAACAACTTTCAACGGACGGCTGTCCGTCCAGACGGAGAGCGCTGGCGAACCCGGCCTGACGCGGCCCACTTTTTACCGGAGCTTTTACCGCCGCGACGGGATTCTGAAGAAGAAAAAAAGATACGTCATGCGAGGACAAAATAATTTTGTTCAAAGTCGTTGCTCGAGTAACTTTCGCGAGATCTTCGCAAGTTTTGCAATCACAAGCCAACCAGCCTGGGCCGCTTCTTCGCTGAAACGTCCTCCGCCGCCGCAAAACGCAGGAGCGATTAGAAACGCGCAAAGTCATCGGATCGATCAGAAAGAGAGACTCGTTATCAGGCCCGGGGACGGCTCTTATCGCGGAGAGGGCCCGCGCGAAAGCGCCATCCACTCGCGGCGAGTTTAGTCTTCGCGGTTCCACCTTGCGGTAAGAGTGTTTAGGAAGACAGCAGCGAGGCAGAGTCGCCAGGGAGTGGGGCAGGCGTGCGGCTCTCCGAGGTGGCCCGTGTTCGCTCGTGCTAATTCAGTCGAGGCGCGAACTCGGCCAGCGAGAGCGAATTGTTGCCGCTGGTGGTTCTGATTAGAGCCGCGCGCGATGTCTGTCATCGTCAGGACGACCTCGCTCTTCCTCTCTCCCTCTTCGCCTCCGCAGAGCTCGTCGTGAGTCGCGAGCGGTCGCGTGGATCGACGTTCTTCCGTCTGCCCGAATCCGCTCGTGATCGCCGTGACTGGTCGGTCAATCTTGAAGAAGACTCGCGCGTAACCGAGGAAGACCGACGTCGAGGAGCTGTTGACGTCTCGCGCGTCGCTGATAAATACCTGCCGCGCTACGTGAATCGGTTCCCGAAATACTCGCTTTCGTTTTTCGTGCCGCTTGACCGCGTGGTGACGGAAGAAGAAGAGGAGGAGGAGAAGGCGGCGGCAGCAGGTGCTGAAAGCCAGCGGCGTGTAGGAAGCGAATTTTCTTGGTCGGGTCACGGCGGCGACGGAGCATCCTCTGGCAGTAGCGCAGTTTTCGCCGCGCGTCGCACAGCGTTGACCTTAACCCGACGTCTCTCTTCATTGAGCGCCAGGGTCTGTCTGCCTGCCTGCCCGCCGCGGCAGGGAATCGTCGTGTGTTGCTGCCGCGTCGCACGTGAAGCTCGTTTCGTAAATCGAGCCGTGACGTAAACGCGCCCGCACCCGCGCCCGTCCGTACTCGCCAAGTCTTCCGTTCCGCTCGCGTCCAACAAGTCCCGATTTCTCTCGATTAGGCGCCTCTCTTCGTGTATGTGCGCGTGTGCCTGCGTGCGCGTCACGTGTCGACGGACCTGACACGGGTCAAGCTGGACGAAAGCGCGCGCAGTAACCCGACTTTCCAGCTCGACGGCTTCTCCGCCGAGCTCTCACCGATGCACCTAGGTCGCCGTGGTGCCAACCGCCGCGCGTCTGACCTCGACCTCGCGATCGGCGGACAGTGATGATGACATCGCGGTGACACCGGCCGCGATAATCGCGCCCTGGGCGGGGTGACAAGGTGCGGCGAGCGATCCGCGCATTATGCGCGATCGCGGCTCGCGTGGATTGAGAGGGAACGTGGGCTGATTGATTGACACGGCGAAGTGGCTGGCTGGCTGAACGGCCGGCCGAGACTCCGGCTGTCGAGAGACCTCAGCAGTTGCCCACTCGTGGTGATATGGGCCCGGTCACGCTGATTGCAGATCGCGAGTCCAAGGAGGCCCACCACAACATCAGCTATGCGGCGACCAGGGCGTCACCGGAGACGCGGGACCAGGCCGCGCAGACCACCGTGCCCTACGAGGCCTCCCGCGCCGAGCAACTGGAGCGGACCGCGCAGGCCCTCGCGGTCACGGTGCAGTACATGACGTGCGAGGTACGTTCGCTCCACGTGCGGGGGACACTCGGGCGATGTGTTCGAGCGCTGATCTGGCGGGAGATCCAGCGGTGAACGGGATGGTGGTGGGCGAAGGTCGTCTTCCTTCAAACGTTGACTTTGGGTAAAGGGTGAAGGCGTATCAGTAGGTCGACAGTCGGTTTGCATGGGAATCAGGTGGAAAAGGGTTGTCAGTCTGAGAAAGCAGCTTCTGGAGAAGAAGGATCGCCTGATCGACTTTCCGAAGGTCGCCCACTGCCGTCCCAGGGCGATGCTCATGGTCGGCTCTTGCGTTCAGGACGTCTCGAGTTTGTTTTGATTTCTCCTCGGATGCTCCGCGGTCCGAATAAAACGACCTGAAGCCTGAAGGGCTGGACTTCAGGCGATCCTGTGAACGCAGGAGCCGTGACTGTGAATCCTGCCGCGTAGAGCCGGAGACGCATTCTAACGAGACGTCTTTCAGCTGGACGCGTTCGCGACTCCGAAGCTGAAGAGAGACTTTGAGCAGCTGAAGGCCGACTACGAGAAGATGAGGAGCGAGCGGTCGGCAGTGCTTTCGGAAATCGACGATCTGCGCATGAGATACGTTAGCATCGAGGAGAGGCTCGAGGCGGAGAGGGAGGACCATCGTAAAGCTCTGGACGAGCTTCGCGACGATCGTAAGTTCTTACGTAATGTGTTTGTTTGTTTCCTCGACCGACGGCGCAGAGCTGTGCGCGTACATGCGTGTCGGCGACCGGCGCAAAAGTTTCGCACGGATCAACCACAAGCTCCCTCCCTCCTCTCCCCGCCCCCGTCCTCGGTGCGCACGCGCGCGCGACATGTAGAATAAAATCCGGCTACGGACCGTCACCGACCACACCGCCAGCATGGAGATATTATTCCTTGCGCCGTTCACGTGGTAACGAGCATAATCGTCCTAATGTCGGTGCGCGAGCCATGCCTGCGCAAAGTGGAACAATTGTTCATTAAAATAAACGATTCAGCAGTGCCTACGCGCAGCTGGATGCCTCGCAATTAGTCCTGAGAGCGTGTGTCCTCTCTCTCTCTCTCTTTCTCTCTCTCTCTCTCTCTCTCTCTCTCTCTCTCTCTCTCTCTCTCTCTCTCTCTCTCTCTCTTTCTCTTCTTGTTTCCGCTTAGAAGATATTTCGAACTCGCCGAGCGATTTAGTTCTCAATTTAGTTCCCACGTAACGTTCGACGTTTCGATAGCCGCTAATTATAGATTCAATGCGCGCGCTCTCCGCGCTTCAACTGCGTATATACTTTTGTTTTTAAAGCCGCTGCCAATATGGCAGCCGTGGCGGGTAGTTATTGTTATTATAGTTAATGTTAAAATCGTGACCGAAGGCTACGCATCGCGTGATAGCTATTGTCGTTGCAAGAGGGAGAGAATCTACGTGAGCTCTTCGCTGTTGTTTCCAGTGGAGGCTCATAGGGCGGAGCAAGTCGCCGCGCTCGTCGAGACCTTGAAGGAGGAGAGGCGCAAATACGACGTCAGACTGAATGACGCGACGAAGGAGCATCGCGCGACGATCGCGCGATTACGCGCCGAGCGGGACAGCGAGCTCGCCCGCAAGGACGCCGAGGTGATGCGGAGGTCCGTGGTCCACGACCAGGGTGCTGTGCTGAGGGCGGAGATCGAGTCGCTGCGGTCCGTGCTGGAGCTGAGGAGCCAGGAGAACGCGGCCCTCAGGTCGGAGCTGGACAGCTTCAAGCGCGACATCGAGGACAAGGACGCGCTGCAGCTGCGGCTCGACACGGTAGAGGCGAGGTGCGAGGACCTGAAGGCGCAGCTCCAGTGCAAGGACAACTTCGAGAGGCAGGTGTCACACGAGAACGAGATGCTGCACGAGTCGATCCACCAGATCTCGAAGCAGAACAAGCGACTGGCGCAGCGCAACGAGGAGCTGCAGTGGAGGCTGCGCCAGAAGAACGAGTGGGTGAGCGTCCTAGCGAACCAGCTGGCGGGCCCACGGCTCTCGCGCTCCGCGGGCCCGGAACACACAGAACACGCCCTCTCGCCGGACAAGAGCGAGCCGCACGCGTCGTCGTCGTCATCGTCGATGGTGAAATTTATGGTCGAGAAGAGTGACTCGGTCTCTTGGACCCTGGAGATCGACGACGAGTTGGCCAGTAAGGCGGCGACATCCGACTCGCTGAGCAGGCTACCGAAAGTCAGCAGATCCGAGAGCGACGCGACCGTGTCGAGGCAAGGCTCGCTCAGATTGACACCGAAGCGCTCCCCCGATGCCGACACCAGAGCGAGGTCGAAGAGTATCTCCGTGACGGACGCGGCGACGCGGGCGGAGGAGAGCGCGTGGTCACCGACGTTCAACTCCACACCGATCACCCGGCGACGTCCCAGGAACAACGACGCCTCGCCGTCTTCCTCCTCGTCCTCGTCGTCGTCCTCCGCGTCGTCCTCGGCGCCGGGCGCGAACCCCACCGTGGCGGCCGCGGTCGCGGCCGCCGCCGTGGCCGCCGCGGCCGCGGAGGACTGCAGCGTCGGGCAGAACCAACCCCAGGAGGCTGGCGGGGAAGCGATGATCTCCGAAGAGACGTCCGCGTCCAGCAGCGAGGACGAGTCATCCACCGGCAGCGACATACCGCGTCTACCGATGCAATTCGCCTGGGGCAAGCCGATCAAGTAACGCCCGAGTGAGCCGCGTTCAAATTCCGCCACCACCGCTGCTACCACCACCACCAACACCACCACCACCACCACCACCACCACCACCACCACCACCATCACCATCACCACCTCCCGCCTACGCGTTCGTTCTGTTGCGCGCAGTGCCGCTGTTTGCGTCGTGGAGCTATCGTAAAGAAAACGAAAAAAAGAAAAAGAGAGAAAAAAACGGCCGTTTATCCTCGCTCTTGCCTATCGCCGGCGGAGGGGGAGATGTCTCTCTCCGTCTTGAGAAGAATTTTCGTGAAATCCTCGTTGCACGCGTGATCATTCCCTCTTATTCCTGTTTCTTCGAGGACAGGTTGCGTTTCACTGTCGTTCAACGTCGGCACCTTGTTTCTTATTTTTCCAACTGATATACATATTATATATACATACGATACCATACGATGCATAACATATATACTCGCTCGAGAAAGCTCTCGCGTGCGATGAGCGCGTTTTAAGTTCTCCTTTTAATTGAGCGCCACGCGCCGCGCGTGTGTGTCTAACGATACGCCAGGCAATTCCGGAGTATAATGTTGTAAGTTAGTGAGAGACGTACGAGAATGAATTCCACGACGTGTTTTAAACGTTACGACTGTATAAACTAGACTTAGTGTACGGTTGTTTCCGTGTCCTTTCTTTCTTCTCTCTCTCTCTCTCTCTCGTTATTTTTCTTTCTTCCTCCTCCTTCTCCTCCTCCTTTACGCGATCACAGACACTTTACTTCCTGCACGTTTTACATTACGATTTCATGGCAGCGATTGACCGTGCGTGTGGATTCAAGATGTCTACCTTCGAAATCCCCATCTTTGAGAGATCCATCTTCGAAACCCATCGTGTGTGTAGTAATTTCTCGATACGTACAACGAAACCGCTTCGTTTGCTGTATCAAAGGCGACCGTGCCTTCTACCTCGCGGGCTTCTTCTCGCCTGTGAAAGGTCCGTGAGATGCGAGATCGCATAGCATTGTTTTCGTTTTTCTAAACCGTAGCAGGCATTGTGAGGATGAAATTAACATTTTTATTAACAACTAATATTAGGATCCTTTGGAGAATTTTTCACGTGTCCAAAACGTTGCCTCTCTTGACAACTTTTACATTTTGAATGAGCGAGTTTCGCAAGCGTGTTGCTCTACCTTTTTTTCCGCCTGTTTCTTTTTCTTCTCTTTTTTTTCATTTCTTCTTTTCTTCTCGGCACAGATACCTTGTAATATCGCGGCAGCTAAGTGTAAGAACATGACAAGGCGAACTGTTGCTTCGTTTGCGATCATACCGATTTCGTATTATCTTTAAGGGGTACTCGTTCGAATATATAATGTGCACATTGCTTTTGTTCCAAATTCGTTACATTTATCACGGATTTGAATGAATTGCGTAACTTTTGTCGCCAAATGCGGGGAGGAGTCACGCTGCCGCATTTGTAGATTCTTCTTTTTGTGTGTAACGACACGGATATTGCGGGTGTCTACCCGGAAAACACAGCAGAGCAGTGAATACTATTAGCGACTACCAGCACGTTGCTGCAAGTGTTAATTAATTTCACAGTCCGTTCCATAGAGAGACAAGCGGTAGTTTAGATTTAAAGGAAAGAAACGTCGCGCCGATATATATATATATAAAAGGTACCAAGTATTATTCTCACTGAGAAAGTACGTTTCTTTTTCTCATGTGTGCTGATAAAATCGATGTATTATATATATACTTCTCGAATAAATAATATATAAGTATAATCTGAATCGTAACGACCTGGAAGATCTGAATTGTAGCAATTTGAGCAGAGATTTCCGTTTATATATCCGCCGACCGTTATGATTGTCGAGTCAAGAGCTCATACTTCAAGTACCTTGCCCAAATTGATTACTCGCAATTTCAAAATTCCAATTTCGAAATTCGATATTCAATTTAACGGAGAGGGAAAATACAAGTGTGCTGAACGATCGTCTCTCGAGGTCGATCGCGAGAAACGATCGCGACGACGACGAGACACGTTGAGATGAGCCGACGAGATCTTTTCACGGTCGGAATATGAGAGCCTTCAAATCGCAGAATTCTCTATCTTTCTCTCTCTTTTAAATTGCCGCATGAGATTTCATTCGATCGATTTCAATCAAAATAAAGGGAAATATATTATGATTACTGTTATACTTATTACGGATTAGATTACTTGTTGGTTACACATCTGTGATGTCCTCTTTGTTTGAGCATTAATAAAACGTTTTATTATGTGATTCTTGTTTATTTATTTTCCTCCCGGATTTCTTAGAGGCACAACTTCCTCTTTTACTCCGACGAGAGAAGTGTATACGGGAAGGTGCGCGAGTGTCCGGCAAAATTACAAAAAAAAGAAAAGAGCATACTCAAAATCTCAATTCGTCGCTCGTGGCGCTCCCGCGCGGCACCGTCGCAGATTACTTTCCCCGCCGAAATTCCCTCCCTCGTTTTCATTCCCTCGCTCCGCGATATCCACGCACGCTCCGGAGTCCAAAAATGTCTTCCGTGTAAAACGGGCCTAAGGATATATATGCGTATTTTAATGCCTTCCCGAACCCTTCGTCAGCTGCACCATCTACGATGGCCGATAGTCGAAGGTTTCGATATTTCGGTTGTGGTTACTTTAATTTATTGACAAAAATGTAATACCCTCTATTTTTAATTGGCCATGTTACCTCCGCTCGCGGCATGATAATAAACACTCCGCTCGCGTTTATGTTGTTTCCAATATAAATAACCGCGCGTGCTTTTATTCAAGATTCCCCGATCTGACATCGACGCGAAGATGTCTTCGAAGAGGTATTCGATTGTTTTTACTTTATGTTTTTGCCCACGGCTGACTGCTCGCGCTCAGTGCCGCCGATTTATCTTTAGAGATTATTTATAGCTGCCACAGCGTGGAATTTCCAGGATGAAATGATCGACCCCGATATCCCGCTCCGAATCAATCCAGCCGACTCTTTGTCCCTTTGTTAACCTGCAATAATGATCGTTCAAAGATTATTTACCACATTGCAATCCTTTCTCTCGAGCTCTCTCTCTCGTATGCTGGCGTGATGCGCCTTACAAGGTCTTATATGCTTGTTAAAAACTAAAGTTGATCCGCTTATGGAATGTGAAACTAGAGATATAGTTGGGAGATAAACTTCAAATGATTCCACGAAAATCTAGACTCTTGCAAAAAATAAGTTGTACACAAAACGCACAGGGAAATTATTTTGTCACTTTCACAACAGGATGCGCACACATAGATGTGATATTACAGTTGAGAGAATGTATTCATGTTATTTCCAGTGAATTAAAAAAGCTATCAGAGGAAAGTCTGACGAGACAACCTGAGGAAGTGTTCGACATTATATGCAAACTAGGGGAAGGGTGAGTTCTTAGTATCTTTCTGCGATAGATAGAAAAATATTTTACATGAATGATTTCAAAATACCTATTTCTTCGCAGTTCTTATGGATCGGTTTACAAAGCTTTGCATAAGGAAAGTGGACAAGTGCTTGCTATTAAACAAGTACCAGTGGATACGGATTTGCAAGAGATCATTAAGGAAATCTCAATTATGCAACAATGTGACTCTCCTTATGTTGTTAAATATTATGGAAGTTACTTTAAGAATACAGATTTATGGGTAATTTGGCAAGTTTGGCTCTATTTATCGAGAGAGAGATGTTTCACAATTTATCCATACAATTCCAACTTTCAGATTGTAATGGAATATTGTGGAGCAGGGTCTGTTAGCGATATAATGAGGTTAAGGAAGAAAACTCTGCAAGAGGATGAGATTGCAACAATCCTGAGCGATACCCTGAAAGGACTGGAGTACTTGCACTTGAGAAGGAAAATCCACAGGGATATCAAGGCTGGAAATATTCTCCTGAACAATGAAGGCCACGCAAAACTGGCAGATTTTGGTGTGGCTGGTCAATTAACGGTGAGTTACGAGAAGGAGGTCTGAATAATATCTGGATCTAAGTTTTTTTTTTTTACATTTACAGGATACCATGGCTAAACGCAACACAGTTATCGGTACGCCATTCTGGATGGCACCAGAAGTGATACAAGAGATTGGTTACGATTGCGTCGCCGATATATGGTCACTCGGTATCACAGCCTTGGAAATGGCTGAGGGCAAGCCACCATACGGCGACATACATCCGATGAGGGCGATATTTATGATCCCGACTAAACCGCCGCCTAGTTTTAGAGAACCTGATCAGTGGAGTCCAGAATTCATCGACTTTGTCAGTGGGTGCCTTGTAAAAAATCCGGAAGAGAGAGCTACCGCGACCGAACTTTTACACCACGAATTCATAGGTGAGTCAAGAATTGCGTTGATCAATCGTTTGAATCTTTGCAGTGTTTTTATTAATGCATGATTGCAGGTAACGCTAAGCAGCCGAGTATCCTGAATCAAATGATCGCTGAGGCTCATGAGATACGAGAGAAGCAAAGTGCGCATAGAGCTGTTATAAACAACGTGGCGATTAAAAGTCAAAACCAGGCAGATGATTCGGTAGTTGTCATCTTCAAGTTTTCAAGGAGATGATATTCATAGTCTAATCTTACATTCAAGGTTGTCTCAAGTTTATCTTCAGATGCTGTTTCATTCATCACAAATTGTTTCATTGGCCATCTACGAATAAACTTGAGACGATATTAAATATAAAATCAGGCCATGAATATCAGTCTCGGTTCATTTGTAATGATCCGTAACGCTACTGTGTCTCCGTTGCAAGGATGAGGACGATTGCAGTGGAACGATGAAGCCGCTACCGGAGGACAGTAGAACTCTAGTGCCAAGTCACGATCTTCCAGACACGGGTACTTTAGTTTCGGCCATGTTGGACTTGGGTACGATGGTCATCAATAGCGACACCGATACCGAAGCTACCATGAAGAGTCAGTAGACCGTTTGGTTATAATTTTAGAACCTCGGGGAGGAAAATAACGTATAATTAACATAAGAACTGGTACTGCTTCCAGGACACAATACTGGCTCTGTGGAATCCGGCAAGAAATATCGACCCTTATTCTTAGATCATTTTGATAAGAAAGAAGCACCAGAAATCGGCAAGGTAAAAGCCTGCTTCGACACCTGATCGATTTTATGAGCATTGCTCTTATGAGCATTTAGATATCTTCATGTACCGTCTTTGTTTCTGCTGCTTTGATCGATATCGTTAATCTGTTTTTCTGTGTTAACTGTCCTGCATTGACAAATATCACAAGCATCTATCATGACTTTTTGCACCTGCGTCTGCCTACCGGAAATGTTGACATCATCACATTTTATGACACAGGGCAATGGACAGATATTGGGAGCGCATAATGCAGAGAACGCGAACAAATTGGAGCTGCAAAGTCCCACCGAATCTCAAAGATTTCAGAGTCATCTGCAACTACAGTTAAATCAGATATCCCATCCTGTGCCGGAGCAACCTCACAACAACATATCCAAGTTCCAAAACGTCTTCACGGAACGTGACTTCGATTTTGTAAGTAGCGCCTCTTACCTTAGCGCTTGTAGTTTACAGTAGTCACCCTGTGAGGACGAATAATTTTCTTGTGTGCCTCACAACGGGGGATATAGTCGGCTCGAATTATCCGGAGTGATGCCACTCTAGGCATGATAAAAAAGAAAACTTGATAATATAGATAAACAACCATGTCCTGCAGCTGAAGTTTCTCTCCTACGAGGAACTGCAGCAACGGATGGCTAGTCTGGACGCGGAGATGGAGCGGGAGATCGACGAGCTGAGAAAAAGGTATCAGACAAAGAGACAGCCTATTCTCGATGCCATGGACACCAAACGGAAGCGCCAGCAGAACTTCTAACAGTTCGGTTTCCTTCTCCACGCGAACGAGTGACGACGATAGATAAGAGAGAAAGAGAGAGAGAGAGAGAGAGAGAGAGAAAGAGAGAGAGAGAGAGAGAGAGAGAGGGTGTACAGTTGTATAAATGAATAGATTTTATTCACGTCATCCCTGGTTTCATCAAAGAGAAGAACATTGCTGCTCACACCGTGAATATCTTACCTCAAGTAACGGACAAGAGACGAGAGACGTAGCGAGATCGTGAATGTTTCCTGTTTATCCGTAAAATCAATGTTGCTTTTCTTTATGAATCTGGGGTGTTCTAGCTAGTAATAGCTAATAGCCTCACGTCACCAATGTAAATTATTTTACGCGATTTAGTGACGGAACAACCATTATACTTAATTTTTGTATTATGTTTACCTATTTACTGTTAAATATATCCTATTCTTGTAGAAATATTGCCGGGCCCGTTAGGGCCCGTTAGAAAGTGAAGGAAGAGGGATATGCAATTAGAGAGATATTGCAGAGAGCAAACGCATCATGATTACAATCGTTGAAATCGAAAGAGAGAGAGAGAGAGAGAAATTTTATATTCGCTTGAAATGAAATTGGTATCGTGTCGCATTGTATTGTCACGTTACGCGCGCTAGTCATCCATAATGCCATTTTACCCAGAGAATGTTGCGTTAACGGAATCGTCTCGTGCGAGAGAGGAGGAGTTCACGCGCTCACAAAGCGCACTTTTAAACGGTCAGGCATTTGAGCGGTTTTGAGTGTGCGAATGTCATGTTTGATTGTGGCAGTCTCAGACAAGCGAACAAGGCTGTATGATTTAATTAACTTTTTATTCTACTGCCATAGATAGACTCTCTATATATTCGTTCGTCTACTAATATTAACTTTAGTTTACGTCGATTCCGCGAGTGATCGGATTTACTTTCCCCGAGTTGCAAACACCAATATGGTCACACACAATTCTAAAGTAACGGGTAGTGTTCTTCGACACGCAGCAGCAACGGCGACGACGCTGCATTCTAATGAGAAATATTTCATGAACGAACGTACTAGTATTAGTCTTCCGTATTAGAAAATATTCCAGTATACCCTAATTTTACTCGATCGCAATGTCGAAAATTGTTGAAAACTGAAATCCATCAGATTCCACTGATGACGACGGTATTTTTAGAATCGTATAAAGGACAAATTCGTACATGGTAATGCCTTACAATAATCATCTTGTGTATAATAAAGCATCGAAATTTTTCATCGCATATTTTTTGCAATCGCGTCGCGAAATAGATATATTTGTACGGTGCCATTGACACGGAAAAATGGCAAGTAACCAGTAGTGGAGTAATTCTTTGCTGACGTTGGGCTATTTTGCAAGTAGCGGAAATAGAGCTGTAATACTTAAAACGCTATAGCCAGAACTGACCTTAATTTTCTTCTTTTAGGGAGTATAATAATACAGAATATATAACGACATATTTTTGATATAGAAAGTATGCACACTGTCAGTGAAATAAGGTCCGAACGACTCGAAGCGTATAATATTCATAGTCCTGATCCCCTGCGAACAAAGTGTAACACAGCATAATTGTCTCAGCATTTTAATGAGATTCCGAGCGAGAACACATTGCATTGCTCCACGTAACTACGTCGTTACGCTCCGAATATTGTTTTATAGCGCGAAGCGCGATCTGTATCATGTTACGGAGTCTTCTTTATACATTCTTTCTTTTTTTTTATTTTAATAATTTAGTTCGTACAAACGATCTTCTCAACGCATCGCTTTTTACGGTTTTATTGTACACGTTTCACACAATTCATAGCAATACATCGGGACACTGAGGCTCGCATTAACAGTCGGCCGATGCTATTAATGCGGGTCTAACATGTGTTTGTAAATTGCATATTTAGATAAAATTATAAAGATTTATAAATTATATATATATATATATATACATATATAGATTTTTTACAGTTTCCTCGCGCTATCACAAAGTCCTCCCGTTTAAAGTATTTATAATTTGTGATTTGTGTCTACTAACGAATACGAAACAAAGACTTGCAGTTCGTAAAAAGTATCACAAAAGAGCACACCGACGCATTTTTTTTTTTCTACGTAACTATCGGTCGTCTAGCGGTCACTTAGTGAGCGTGATCACGTCTCATGCGAGAATTTACATTTACGTATTTCGTACAACAACGGCATATTGTAAGTCCGTTTTTATTTTTTCACTTTTTGAGGTATGGCTTTGTATTCATATTTAATCACGTGATTCTCCTTTTTACGACGATATTATCTCATCTTACGTTCATCTTATTTGTGTATTGTACGATCTATTACAGTGTTTGGCTGAGAAATATAGAGACTGAAGGCAGAAGTATGTTTCCCGAGTGAATGATTTAGTGAAAGCAATAGTCTGATATAGGACACACATAACAACATATAGGATGATTGCTATTTAACATTAAAGCGAGATATATTGATAGTTCTGTTTAAGATAATTACGAGAGCAAATATTAACGTGCTGCCTTTTTGATCATTTTGTTTAACAATAATAAAACATTATGCAAACATCATGCGTTCTTTCCATCCTCTCTCTCAGACACGATTAATTCGTTAATATATCAATTTTATCAGTAAGTACCTTACACAGCACTGCATTTTTATTAAACGACATTTTCTGACTCGCGAATTTTTGGCAAGAGTTAATCTTTTCGTATATTTTTGGTACGAGTCGATATTTTAATAATTTTTAATAATTTACGATTAATTAATTAATTATTTTAATAATTTACGATTAATCAATATCCAATCATGACGATTCATTGTCATGATTTGACAACATTGTAAGATGTAATGCATTTATATACATAAATGCATTTTAATCACATGTACCATCACATGATGCGAAAGATACGTAACAACATACAACAATCTGAAAAAATTCTGATAAAATTACCGGTCATTAATTGTAAGTAGTCGGAAAATATTTCGTAGTGTCTCGCAATAAATCTCCTAAAATATATATCTTCTCCATATCGTTTAGATATACGTATAAGGCATACTTTGTTACTCTATATATCACTGTGCCCATTTGTCGCCCATGAAGCTCAATCGATAATTATAAATCGCTCTATAAATCATCATCACCTATCATACGAAAAGCGTTGTTCTCCATGACGTCAAGGTCCATCGTGTGCGTTTCTTGAATCCTCCTGGCGACGGTTGGCGAGTCGCTCGACTTTCTCAGCCTCACAGCTGACAACTTATTAGCCAGCTTCTTTATAATTGGCCCCGCTTTAGTCGAGTGCTCGTTATTGGCACGTTCTCGCGACGGCGAGCCCATAGTGATGCGACTCTGGCCGTCCCTCATAACGTACGTCCACGACTTCTGAGGCAGCGTCTGTAAATATCACGTATTAGCGGTCGGAGCCGGTTTGACTGTCCAAGGATAGGTTGTTCCAATTCCTTGATAAGTTAACTGATAGTTAAATCATATGTTTGTCTTTGTCTAAATTGAAGAAAAAACAAAGATAAACATATGATTTAACTATCAGAGTTAACTTACTCCGAGTAGAAATTGGAACAACCGGCCTTAAGTGTACCGAAGCGTTTCATCTAGCAACCTGAGTCTTGCTCCCCACCACGCATTTCTGCAGCAGCTCGTCGATCATGGCCTGCAGGCAAACGGACATTAAGATCGCCTGCTCCGAAGCGATCGTAATCCATTGCAATTCGTTTCTGGCGACTAGATACTCGAAAGACAACTCCAAACTGCACTCGTTATCCTCGCAATGCTCCATCCCCTGTGTTCAATTGCCGCGTCAATTTGAGATCCAAGTGTCTCTCCTTAAAGGATACTCACATTTTGCATGGTGGTGATGCGCCAACATCGCATTCGCGACACTTTGAACGCAACCTCGTGCTCTTCCTCCGACGACAGAATGCGTAAATTCAATTCGTTTCTACCTATAGCAAGTAACACTCTCGAACCGTGCTGGGGATAATCGCAAAAGCATGGTGCAAACTGTATGTAGCCATAATATTTTAAAGTACGAGCTACATTCAAATACTGAAATAATAATAACGTGCGCAAAACAAATCACTCAAACATTTCGGTCAAACGGTCTCACACGGTAAACGTACTTCCTCCTTGTTCCCGGATTTCTGCGAGTTCTCCAGATGTTGCTGCAGTTCCCTGCTCACCGGGATCCAACCACCGCGAATCTCCGCGGCTGTCTGAATGTACAAGAGATTCAGAGCTATCGGGTCGTTCAGTAACTCAATGTCATACGCCGTGTCCCAATAACTCTTTTTGAGAACGACTTTTGTATCCATGGAACGTATATTTTTGTATGTTATATACGGTGACTCAAAATCTTGTAATTTCCGTAATACTAGAGAAACAATGCACGTGTCAGAAGGAAATTTTTAATCAGTCATCATAAAGAAGTAGACATACTCACTTCTGATGTTGCCATTGTCTTCTTGCATAATGATAAATAATGCAAAGTGGGAATGATATTTATCCATTAGCTTTACATGTTTGCACAAAGCCTGCAGAGAAGCAAAAATGCTTTAACAGTTATCGTTCACTTCATATTACAAATATCGAATATTGTTGTCTTGCATAGAGTAAAAAGTATACTCTGGCAGAAAAAAATGGATCATGTGTATACCTTTAAGATTTGACCAGAATGTTCTCCAGTAGAAACATTTAGCGAAATCTTTGAGCCATTCATGAGAAATATATCCAAGGTTTCATTTTTGGACAGACCACCTACAGTCTCTTGTTGAGCATTTAATAAAAATCCATTTAATATCTCAGAATTGTTTATGGCTACATTCTGACCGATTGACTGAACATATTTCTCCAAAGCCAATCGCCGTTCTTCCTGCTGATTGATAGTCAAGGGAAAGAATTTTTTCGGTGGGAATATCGGTAATGATATGTCTAGATCCTTGGACAACTGCTCGTGCAAATTGTGCAGCTGTTTGTATCTCACTGTGCAATGGAATAATCCATTGATATGAATATTATATCCCTGTAATGGGAAAAAGGACTTTATATACAAATATAAATCTTATTATTTACATAAATCTACAAATATTTATAAATATATATAACTTGTATAAACAAATTCTTTTTCATATAAAATACACAGTCTACCATACAGATACTCACAAGATACTCACAACATATGCATTCCCACCTTCGTCCACAAATTCCTCAGTATCCGGTATTGAAAAGTGCATCTTTGCGAAATAAGATTCTAATGGAAGATACAACTGCATAAACTATTATCAAATTGCATTATATGCAGCAAAGTTTATTATCTTTTTGATATCTTCACCGACATAACAGCATCTGTACGGAAATACAAAACACTAAACGCGAGAAAATACAATATTTTTCAAATTTCTCACTTTTCTATAGTATGTATTAAATTAAATATCGATTTAAGAAATTCTTTGAATCACACTATTGAATAATATTGGCCGGAGGAAGAATTTGCTTCTGGATGCGAAGTAGAAAGTACTGAATCGATCGGACGATCAAACTCATCTCTGTCGCGATTCGCGATACATTGCCGCAAAAGGAAATGATTGGAAACTTCTGATTAACATGAGAAGAGAAAAAAGACGAGTAGAAAGCGATGTTCCAATATATAATCGCCGGATCATATAAGCGTCGATATATTTTTCCTCTTTAACGACCTTTCACTCGAGTTTGCTCCTGTCGTTGCGGATATTCATACTCACATATTGTTGAAAAACTTTGGTGGTTTGTGATCTCGCATACGTGACAGTGATTTTAATCGCTCGCACACACCCACTCGCCACGCGTTACGTTTCACGCGATTACAGATGAGCGAATGTAGGACTGACGAATTGGTGTTTGATTCCTTTCTAAGAATCGACTACCTTTCGTTCCACTTTCAACATTTAAATAGTTTCCACGTTCGACAGTTTTTTTAAATTCCATGTTACCTGCAACTTGTTGTTGTTTACTTAAGTCTTATCGTTGAGTTGCATTACTTGAAAATTAAAGAGCGTTTAACCAGTCGTTGAGTGCTACTACTAAAAGATACAAAATCCTACGTTGCGCTTGAATCGATTGAATTGCAACCGCAAGTCCAATTAAAAAAAAGAATTTGTTTCCAATTGACTCCTAAAAATGAAATTCTTTTATTGGATCTATAGATATATTATATATAAATAAATTATCGTGATCCGGCTTGCGCCAACATGTGTGGGGCAAGGGGTAAATTTCCTCCCTTGCGCATGCGTAATTGTAAAATCATCATGGCGATTGTCGGCGTGACAAAAGGATTGTTCCGAAATCGGTCTCGAAAACTTTTTGGTTTTAGTTATAAAGTTAGTAGGCCTTAAACTGACTTAGTGCGTTCTGTAATTGACCAGCCGATTCGTACGATCGGCTTTACAATCGGCAGATTCGGTATAATCAAGATATAGTCATAAAAAATCGTGATCCATTTCTCTATCTAATATTGCAAATTAGTAACTAAAATCAGGTTTGTGAGCAGAAATAGTATATGGTTGTCAACGTTCAAGCGTGATTAACTGATCAATTACGGAACGTATCTAAAATTAATTTAAAGCCTACTAATCTTATAATTAAAACCAAAATTTCCAAAACCGATTTATCTGAAGTTATCTTGGCATTTGGAGGTCCCTACAATTTAGCGCAATGCTCTATCTATATATAATATTCTATAATTGGATCATAAGTCCAAATTCTATCAAAATCAAAATGCTCAAATCGTTTTGAAACCAAAGGTCTGTTCCTTTTAGTGAATTAATGAATACACTACGCATTGTAGCTTCGATATTTTTTTTCTTTTCAACGCTAGATTATATATTTCTTTCTTTGTAATTGCTAAAAGTGTAATCAAATTTGGGTTCACAGAAATTTCTGGAGACGCACGAATTCTGTAGACTCCTAATTAAAACGAATAAACCTAAAATGTTATTGCGTATTCCTATACTTTCTGAAACAATTTTGATGCGCATGCGCGGAGGCTATTTAACATGTTGGATCTGTTCTTTATAGCTGCACTGTTGAACTAGTGCAATAAGTTAGAGTGAGAAAAAATATAGTTATCTCATTTTAACTTATTGCACTAGTTCAGCAGTGCAGCTATAAAGAACAGACCTACCGCTACCAAGTTCTCAACGTCGCTTTGGTTAAGTTGTCCATTTCTGTCGAAGGCACAGGATAGAAGGATCAAGTATGTACATTTTCTGATAATATCCATTTTAATCCTATTTGTTTATGAAAATTACAAAGAAGCAAGAAATTTATTAAAATTCTGGATGTTTTCTAGATTGATCGTAGTCGGTTATATTTGATATTTTCACTTGTTATTGCGTTTTCTTATTAATATACAGTACATAACTGGCTTTTTTGTGCCGTGATTTAATAAGTTTTTGATATATCTAACCATTTGTGATTCACAATTAAAACTCCGCGAAATGTAATTTCGAGACATCGTAGTAAATTTTTTAATATAACTGTGATATTAAAATCGTTGTATTGAACATAACCTTAAAGTAAACATGTGTATCAATCTATACTGTTATTTTATCGAGTATTTAGAAAAAAGGAACAGGGGAATTGACAAATCTATGCTTTCTATTTGCTAATAAGTCCTATATAATGCTTATTAATTCGCACAATTGAACGATTTTCATTACAGAATGTTGATGCCCAAGAAGAATCGTGTTTCAATTTATGAGTATCTTTTCAAGGAAGGTGTTATGGTAGCAAAGAAAGACTACCATGCACCAAAACATCCAGAGTTAGAAACTATTCCAAATCTCCAAGTTATTAAAGCCATGCAGGTAAAAATAAATTCTTTCTCGGACAAAATATGGAAAAAGCTATAGCTGTGAAATGTTTATATTATTTTTGTTATATCTCAAATTTGTATCCATATACATGTATAATTTTGTTCTGTATGTGATTATTCTTTCAGTCCTTAAAGTCAAGAGGGTATGTTAAGGAACAGTTTGCATGGAGACACTTTTACTGGTACCTTACCAATGACGGTATTGAATTTTTACGAGGATATTTACATCTGCCACCTGAAATCGTACCGTCTACACTTAAGAAACAACCAAGGTCTGAAACTACCAGACCAAGACCTGCAGCAACGAGGAGCGAAGGCTCCAGGCCAACAGAAGATCGCGCGGGATACAGGCGAGGTCCAGGTGGTGCTCCGGGTGGTGCTGGAGACAAAAAGGCAGACGTTGGAGCGGGTACTGGAGACTTGGAGTTTCGTGGTGGCTTTGGTCGTGGCAAAGCTCTACAATAATTTTTTTTATATAAAATAAATACTACATACAAGATGTAATGTTTTTTTGTCATTACAACACCCAACTAATAGTCCTATGAAGATGGTACATAACAGGTAATAATTTGAAAGCATAGCCAAATTTGTTCGTTAAGCTCTTACTGACTAATCACATCTATCTTAAATATAACTTACAACATTATGGAGAAAGTAAATAAGGAATGAATTCAGTTTCTTTAAGATTGTTTATTTCTTAATATTATAAAGCTGCGGTTCTTTAAATCATGACATTTTACAAATTTTATATTTTTGTTTTACGATGTACATTTTAGATGGAAGCAAGTATGGATTATTACACAATTATTATGTTATATTTCAAGCACATTTACCTTTGGAAATTATACCTAGCTATTCGATTACTAGCTAAATTTATCATATTCAACAAATTGAATGTTTACAAACGAAATCACAGATTTTCCTATATTTGTGCTTATACAACAAAAAACAAACATAAACAATCTTTATATGTAGTCGCAGACGTTTTCGTTAGTTATGCTTACACTCTAGTCCAAACAAATGTTATTCAAACAAGGTACTTGCAATTTTCATAAGAGCAAAGTTCTTTCATGTCAAGATATTACAATGCAAGTTTACACAGTAATCATAGGAAGATAATTGACCTTCATTTATACACTTTGAAGATATACATATATAAAAGATTTACCGACTGAATCTTAATTCAATTTCTCATACTTGCATTTGTAAGCTATCATATCAACATTATCAATATTATTTTTTGGTTACCATGACTAATCAGTATTTACATTGGTAACATTATTTATACTGGATATTACATATTTATATAAATTGCAAGTTACAAACAAATTATAGCACAGGGCTTGCATCACTTTAATGATTATAAACTTTAATGATTATAAATAAACTTTAACTTTAATCTCCTTCTGAAATGGATATATATGGGAATTATAATAAATATTCACATTTCTGGCAATATAATGCCAGTGATATGGGAGAAATTCACTTAAAGATTGCGGTGCTACCCTAATAAGATCAATTTCCTTTTACAACAAAAATTATTATTTTAGAAAAGTTTCAACTTATTTATATTACCATCACTCTTTCAAAGGCCTTTATATTCTCAAAGAGATGATCGATCGTTTAATTTTCTCCATACCTAATTTTCTGACCTATTTTCACGCATATAAATAATTCATCTAAGGGATTCTCAAGTTTAATCAACATGATGATATCTAAAATTTTCATAATCTTCGCATTTCCCAAAGCAAACAATTTAACAAGACAAATTGCTGCTTTGAATAATTACGAATACATTATTTAAAGTATATTGTACTAGAAAGAATCTACATATATATATATGTATGTGTGATGTGTGAATTTTATATATATATATATATATAATTCTGTTCAGAAAAATAATTTCTTATATCACAATGCTACTATATTATACAGAAGACATTGTAAGGATTTCATCAAGAGGCTGAGATAAGTATAAAAAAAATATATCAGCTGTAATTTTTTATACGATCCATTTTATATATCAAGTAGAACTCGAATTAGATTGGATCCTAGAAATCTTACTACTGCTAATGAATGCAATAGGAATCTAAGATCTATATACGAATATTGTCAAAAAAAAATGTATATCATTATATAAATTCTTGTTATTTAAAGTTCTATAACTCAGAGTCTATATACAGTCGATATGTAACTGTCTAACATAACATTAACAATTCTCGCAGACAGATCATCCCCAGAATTCTCAGTAACCTGTTGCAAACCTAGACAATATCTATCTATGCAATCTATGCCATCTAAGCGGTTGCACTCAAACAGAGTGCGCACTACCGCGAATTAAAGAACTGTCTCCAAGCGTTTTGCCGGAACAAGGCCGGAAAGTAAAAGACAACGAAAAGAAATCAACAAAGGATAATTCTTGAATCTAGGGCGGATATAACGCGACTTTAGCCATTATCGCATCTTACTGTATCGCAATTTGTGCTCCACAGTAGGCAGTTGCCGCTGCCGCTGTAGCAGATGAGGAAGACAGCAGTGAGGAACACCAGGCTGCAGACGGTACAAGGTTTGCGCTCCAGGAAGAAGCCGATCAGGTAGAGCGCCATAAACATGACGTGGGTCTGCAACAGCGCCGGGTTTACGGGTTTCGGTATCAGTAGCACAGGGATCAACCACTGTAGGCAGTACATCCTCTCTTTCTGCGTGATGCGGTCGGAGCTGTGCACTCGCGACGTGTTTCACGTCGGGCAGATATCTCATCTATGATAGTATCTTTGGGGAAGAGAATAACAACAACGTTAGAATACCAACTTGAGCGAGTCGATTGATCATACTGACCGTGTGTCGCGGACTTGGAAGTCATTAACTAACCTCATATGGGAGCGTCGCCGCTCCTGTGCATATCCGTCCGTCGTCACTCTCTCATCAAATTTCAATACACATTTTCGTCGTCATTTGTCGCATGACCATTCCTTGTACCAATAGTTTCGCACGATTTCGAGACTACCTGACGACCATGAACCAACGTACCTATGACGCCGTCCTCCGGCGAGACCTCGCAACTATTTCGATACGGTCCTTGGCGACTTCAGATCGCTCGCGGTTTCCTGCGTGCGCGTGTCACTCATTCTGGCTTGGTTTCTTTTAAATGCAATTTCTGTAACTCGTTCTTGTCCCTCCCTGTTGATTTCACCGAGTTTCAAATATATTTCTGTTTTGTTTCGAGTATAGAAAGAAAGTGCAGTTAGAAAAGCGAACGTATTCCCTGATTTGCCACCTCGTCACTATGTTATTATGTCAGTTCGGTCACTGACGAAGTACTAACAAAGACCGTTGGTCCTGCGGGATTTTTCGCACCAAACAAACCGCACTAACGCCTTCTCCAGAATATCGTACACATTATATAGAAAAGTCTCCGAACGGTCAAATATATCGAAAATAAAACATTTTAGATAAAAATGTTTCATACAAAAGTTGTAGAATTTCAAGTGATGCATTATTATAGTAATATTAATATGACCTTGAATAGTATTGTCAAAGTCATGTGAGGGTCACTTTGAAATTTTTAAGTGGGAGTCCTCATTTTTTATTATATCGTTTTTTTCTACCAATTGTAACGGAGAATCTTTTTTCAGATTCTCCTCCGTGACTACCGGGTCGGCGACCGTCGAGCCGTCGCCGCCCGAGAGACATCGCCGCGACTCCCCCCCCCCCAGAATAGCACGATAATCAATGCAGCGGCGATTACGCCGAAGCGGCCCGAAGAGCCGGCCACAGGCGCTCGGGGAGATCCCCCCAGACGATCCGCCGAAATATCGGTGCGCGAAGCGCGCGCAATTACGCGGAAATCTGGAGAGCGAGTAACCCCCTGATCGGATATAAAATCCGTTCTCTCGTCAAAATCGAGAGATTGTGTCTAGTCGTTTTCGATCAGCATCATTGAGAAATCTAGTCTAGATGAGTCATCTTCGACCAGCATCACCGAGAGCAGCGACCGAGCAAGGAACACTAGGAGAGATCAGGAGGAAGTCGAGGAGAAGGAAGTCCGGGCGTGAGTCAGTTGGTGAGTAAAGGGTTCCCCATACCGATATCGGCCGACAAAGGCACTGGGGGAACTCTGAGCAAGAGCCGATGCTCGTATACCGGTCCGCGGCTAAGAGAACCTCCTGGTTCACCGGATTCAATCAGGCACGCAGTCCGCCCGATTCTCTCGAGACGGCGACGTCTTCGTCACCGGCGAGTAGAATTTCTACAATTAAGTTTCTGTGCTATCACCGGCTACAAGTCGGTCCGTATTACCGCTAGAATAAGTTTTGTCCGTTCAGATTCTCTCGGTCCGGCGGCGATCTTCACCACCGACGAGCAGAGTCGATAGCATAAATTGTGCTGTTGCCCCCGGCTATTATCCGTCCCGTTATAAACATGCCTAGGATAAGTTGTGCTCGTTGATTTCTCTCGGCACGGCGGCGGTCTTCGTCGTCGACGAGCAGAAGCGATATATTAAGTTGTGCTACCTGCCGTTTCATATATTCGCTCATAGAATCACGCTGTGATAGTCAAACTTCTCCCAGCGCGGCGGTGGCTTCGCCACCAACAGGCGGATCCATCAGCTCTCGCGTTTGTGTTATCTGCCGGCCACGAGCCGTCCGTGTAACCCACTTACCGTTACTCCAACTCGCCGCATTCTGTGTGAAGGTGCACCGCACCTTCATTCGACGAGGCGACATTTTCGTCACCCGATGAGAGACAATTGCGAAATGCTGTGGTCGTCCAGCTACCCTCAGGAGCCGTTCCACGTAAAAAGCCATGAGTTATCCTCGTGAAGTGTTAGACTCAGCGACGTCTTCGCCACTAGTCTAACGGTAATTGTGCGTTAAACTCTGTGAACATTTAAGTCGCGGGGCTCCGACAGAACGCAGCGCACGGCGCCATAGAATCACTATTCATCTCGGTCACCAGTCATAAAGCATTAGGATAAGTTGTATAAAGATTCCTAGATAGTGTACATAGCCACATCACCAGATTTTGAATAAGAATACTGTAAATAATAAACTGTAGCTAGCCTGGCGATCATTTACCGGATAGTTCCGATACAAGTTACTCGTGGCCCGACATCTCTCCTCCACGCCAGCCGCCACCGTTGCACCCGGCCGCCCGACTGCCCGTCCGCCGACGCGGACGACGGGGCCGACGACGACGGGGCGAGACCGTCGTGAAGTTAGCAGACAAATTGAAGATTTTATAATTTGATTTTTTTGTATCATTTGGGAATAATTTAGGGAAGTATAGGAACATAGTCTCATACTTTGGGATACAATAGTTTATTAATAATTAATAAAAATTTTTACAGGTATTTTCAGGACTATATTTTGGCAGGAAAACAGGCTTGTATCTCTAGCCGTTTAGGAGATATCGAAGGTTAAAGTTTTCCAACTTGTTCCGTTGATATCTCCGATTCTACTGGGAGCTGAGAGATGTAATTTATGGAAAAATGTAGGGTTTTTAGATGATTATATTCTGGTGCAAAAACAGGCCCGTATCTCTAGCCGTTTAAGAGATATCGAAGGTTAAAGTTTTCCAACTTGTTCCGTTGATATCTCCGCTTCCACTGGGAGTTGAGAGTCGTAATTTATGGAAAAATGTAGGGTTTCTCGAGGACTATATTTTGGTGCAATAAACAGGCATGTATCTCTAGCCGTTTAGGAGATATCGAAGGTTAAAGTTTTCCAACATTTCTCCGTTGATATCTCCGCTTCTACTGGGAGTAGAGAGTCGTCAATGTAGTCGAAAATGTAGGGTTTTGAGAGGACTTTAATTTGGTGCCAGAACCAGGCCTGTATCTCTAACCGTTTAGGAGATATCGAAAGTTAAAGTATTCCAGCCCTTCTCCGTCGATATCTCCGCTTCTACTGGGAGTAGAGAGTCGCCATTTATGGCAAACTGTAGGGTTTTGAGAGGACTTTAATTTGGTGCCAGAACCAGGCCTGTATCTTTAACCGTTTAGGAGATATCGAAGGTTAAAGTTTTCCAACCTTTCTCCGTTGATATCTTCGCTTCTACTGGGAGTAGAGAGTCGCCATTTACGGCAAAATGTAGGGTTTTGAGAGGACTTTAATTTGCTACCAAAGCCAGGCCTGTATCTCTAACCGTTTAGGAGATATCGAAGGTTAAAGTTTTCCAGCCTTTCTCCGTCGATATCCAGCCTTCCTCCGTCGATATCTCCGCTTCTACTGGGAGTAGAGAGTCGCCATTGTAGTCGAAAATGTAGGGTTTTGAAAGGACTTCATTTTGGTACCAGAGCCAGGCCTGTATCTCTAACCGTTTAAGAGATATCGAAGATTAAAATTTTCCAACCTTTCTCCGGCGATATCCAGCCTTCCTCCGTCGATATCTCCGCTTCTACTGGGAGTAGAGACTCGCCATTGTAGTCGAAAATGTAGGGTTTTGAAAGGACTTCATTTTGGTACCAGAGCCAGGCCTGTATCTCTAACCGTTTAGGAGATATCGAAGATTAAAGTTTTCTAACCTTTCTCCGTTGATATCTCCGCTTCTACTGGGAGTAGAGAATCGCCATTGTAGTCGAAAATGTAGGGTTTTGAGAGGACTTCATTTTGGTACCAGAGCCAGGCCTGTATCTCTAACCGTTTAGGAGATATCGAAGATTAAAGTTTTCCAACCTTTCTCCGTCGATATCCAGCCTTCCTCCGTCGATATCTCCGCTTCTACTGGGAGTAGAGAGTCGCCATTGTAGTCGAAAATGTAGGGTTTTGAAAGGACTTTAATTTGGTACCAGAGCCAGGCCTGTATCTCTAACCGTTTAGGAGATATCGAAGATTAAAGTTTTCCAACCTTTCTCCGGCGATATCCAGCCTTCCTCCGTCGATATCTCTGCTTCTACTGGGAGTAGAGACTCGCCATTGTAGTCGAAAATGTGCTAAATTAAAAAACAAGACGAACGGGACGCGGACAACGATACATCATGCGTCTCCATACATGTCAAATTGTTTATTATAGAAGAGACTTTGATACGGCAATATATATTCGAAGATTTAACATTTAATACGTACTTTTATTTTTTCTGCTCCTCCCCCCTCTCTCCCGCTCTTTTTAAACCACCGGGCATAGTCTGGCATAGAGATGGCAACTGTCATGGCAGCACGGACATAAACCGCCTGAAAGTGGATGTAGCATGGACTTCCACCATATGCAGATTTTACCACTGAGACCTGAAAGTGGATGTACTATCGTAGTTCCCCTCTCAAAATGGATGCAGATGGCGTACTTTCCCAGTGCGGAAAGTCGGTGTCGCAGAAAATGTCGTATTGGCCGCTCTCAGGTTACTCTCTGCTGATAATATTGATTGCTTTAGCTATGTTCAAGACAATACAGCTAGCAACTATTGCCGATGCACAGCAAGGGGAAAGACAACACGCCGTTACAGAGGCCTCTCGGGATTCCTCCGCCAGCACGAAAATTTATTCAGGGCTGACAATCTTCAGTATTATCTCGTCGGTGATTCGGCTCGGTTTGATTCAAACGATTTCGGATGCCACCGTAGGTTATCAAACTGTCGATTTCAGTGAATCCATGTACCGAAATAAACCTGTCAAGGGATTCCAATCCCCTTTAATCGTCCTTAACCGTAATAAGCCACCAACAAGCGCCGAAAAAGCTAACGATGCATCAAGGAATCAGCAAAAAGTACCAAACAATTCTACCAAGCCGTTTAGAAGTAACTCACAAATCTTGAGTCTGTTCGAAGAAGCGATTCGGGAAAACGATGATAATTACGATAACATAGTAGAAACTAATCCGTCGAAGAAAGAAAAATCCAATGATAATCCAGCTGGCGAGAAGAAGACGTCAACTGTTGCATCGCGCTCGAAAGTGTAAGTTTCCAAAGAATAGATGTTATAAAAGAGACAGATTATTCCTTATTTACATTTAAATAATCATATTTTTTGTATAGTATCTTTAATGTGGTATATGGCAAAATATCTTCAAAGAAACACAAAACATGGGATGGCGATGGATTGCTAGAAGTGGCTGGGAAAAGTGCAGTGCTTAAGGTGATAATCATATAATTTATAACTTCTTGAATCAATAGATTGTTTTCATACTTTTTATTACAACAGGATTTGGATGGTAATGTTATTGGAAGAGCTACAGTTAATCCAAGCAATGCAGTAGAAGGTTCCAGATTAATCATAGCAAGCAAAGAAATAGAGGTGAGAGTCTCTACTGATGTTTGTTTATATAATATTGTATATATAAGAGAATCTGACAGTCAGATATTTTAGATAATAGATCAAGCATCTGAAGAGCTATCAGTAGTATCAGAGAAGCGTTCGGAAGAAACAGTAGAAGAGCCATTGCAGAAAAAATTTAAGGCATGTCCTGCATATGCATTTGTGCCTCCATTGCCCAAAAAAGGTCTCACAAAGTTTATAACAGAATGAAAAATAAATTTTATTAAGCATTGAAATTATTAAATAAGGAAAAAAATTTGCATTGAAGGATTGACATTAAATTGCAAACCTTTGGTGATGCCATATATGAATTCTACTGCTATATGGATAAGTCAGGAAGCTTCGCAAAAGGAGCAGGAAGTATCAGTTGACTCTTGTTTAGTAGCAATGCTCAGAGAACACCAACGACATGGCATTGTTTTTCTCTATGAATGTTTGATGGGTCTGAAAGTAGCAAATTATTTTGGTGGGATTTTAGCCGATGAAATGGGTCTTGGCAAAACATTACAATGTATCACATTAATTTGGACAATGTTGAAGAAAGGTCCATATAGCAAACCAATTTTGAAGCGTGCATTGATACTAGCGCCCAGTAGTTTGTGTGACAATTGGAAGAAGGAATTTGCAAAGTGGTTAGGCTGTCACAGAGTATCTCCGTTTGTTGTGGATGGGAAAAATAAACCTAAGGACTTCACCAGTCGACCAAGAAATTCGGTGATGATTATTAGTTATGAAATGTTCATCAGATGTCATATGGAAATTAATGAAATTGCCTTCGACCTGATCGTGTGCGACGAAGGCCATAGATTGAAGAATAGCAATATAAAGGCAGCAAAAGTAATTCATTGATCTTATTTACTTATTAATTCTTATGCCGATGCAAGTGTATAAATTTTCATATTATATTTTGTAGTTATTATACGAGGTAAACTGTAAGAAACGAATTATCTTAACCGGCACTCCTATACAAAATGACTTGAAGGAATTTTATGCATTAGTGGATTTTGTTAATCCCAGCATTCTTGGTACTCCAAGCGAATATAGAAATTATTATGAGGATCCCATCGTCGCGTCTCAATCTCCTCATGCGTCCGACGACGTTCTCAGTTTGGGAAACGAAAGGGCCATGGAGTTGCACGAATGCACCAAACGTTTCATCCTGAGACGCACGCAAGAAACGATAAATAAGTACCTGCCGTGTAAGCATGAGATGGTATTGTTTTGCTCTCTATCAAGTAAACAAGAAGATTTATACTCTCTCGTCACCGATGCCTGGTTCGACCGAATTTTTACACAGGATAAAACTATTACACACTTGACTATCATCACGGCGCTTAAAAAAATTTGCAATCATCCGAGTCTGTTCACGAACGATAAAGGAGGTGTGCTGTATGACGCTCTATCAACGCGCGTAACGCCGACGAAACACGACGAAAATTTTACAAGATATTGCGGAAAGATTACAATTGTACAGACGCTGATGAGAAACTTGAAGAACACTAACGAGAAGTTGGTGTTGGTTTCCTATTACACGCAAACGCTCGATCTTCTCCAAACCGTATGTAGTGTGGAACGTTTGAAGTATTTGAGATTAGATGGTGCCACTTCGACCACCACGCGATCGAAAGTTATTGAACAATTTAACACGAAAACCGATGAAAGCAGTAAGTTTTATGAAATCTAAGGCATGTATGAAAATTGACATATCAATTGTGACAGTGAGATGATAATTACAGAAATCCTCCTATTAAGTGCGAAGGCAGGTGGGGTTGGTCTAAATTTACCAGGGGCATCTAGACTTGTGTTATTTGATTCTGATTGGAACCCCGCGTCTGATATGCAGGCTATGGCAAGAATCTGGAGAGACGGGCAGAAGAAGGATGTTTATATTTATAGGTTTGCACAAACTTCATACTGTTATACTATGTAATACCTGGAAATATGCAGCTGTGCATGATTAAATTTGCAGATTGCTGACGACAGGTACAATAGAGGAAAAAATATACCAAAGACAAATCAGCAAAGCTGGTCTGAGTGAATTCGTGGTAGATCTGAATCACCTTAGGTCTTTAAAATTATCAACTGAGGAACTGAAGGTATATTTTTTACTGTAGGGCAAACTATATTATTGATTATAAAAAAGACTAATATCAAAAATCTTCCATACTTTAGGATCTATTTACACTGACAACCGATACGGTCTCTGTGACGCACGATTTGATGAATTGCTCTTGTTCTGGTAAAAATAATGAACATATATCTATTGAAAAGTTTCAAACAGACAATGGTAGCATGCGCGATTGCCAGTTTGTATTGCAGGATAAGTCGTCTACTACACAAAACTTAACTATAAATCAGTTATTAGATTGGCAACATTACAAGCAACCGATTCTACCCGATATTATGCAGGTAACATGCTCTACAAGAATTTATACTGAACAAAAAATTTATCAAAACCTATATTTATAACATTTATTTTGCAGGAAATTTTGTTAAACGAAGTATGCGATCATATAACTTTTATGTTTAAAAATTCCATGAGGCAATAAATTCCTTGAATAAGAAGTCATAAAAAATTCAACTATATATATATATTGAATATGTTTATACTCTTTAAAAATTGTCTTTATTATTTGAATGAATTTCTTTCATTCAATATTTCATTTTAGTTCATCCAAAAAATTTGAATGACATCGATTATTTTTTAAACAAAAAAAATCGATTTACTAATTAAATTTGCAAAGTAAACATTTAAATTGGATAGCACCAGATGGTGCTATCCTTAAACAGACCTTAAACACTGCTAGAGGTGCATTCGGAAACATCATTCGGATACTCTCCTTATTTACATGTTGGATGCGTGCTTACATTCGCAACAAATGTATGTACATGCATGGAATGACGCCCGCAATATTCTCATTATTACTAAAAATCTTCCTAAAGGATCTTGCACACTGAACGCGACTAGCGACGTGCTATGAGTGATATCTAATGAGAATTCTGTTTTAAGAAGAAAAAGCTTTCATTTCTTCTTTAACTCTCACTGTTAGTGGGGAAGTATACTTCCCACCTTTTCTTGATTCAATTTTGCGTTGTAAATCACATAATTTTGAAGAACTAATCGGGGATTTGAGTTTTCCAGATAATTGAATAGTTGTTCAACATACTCCAATAAGTTTTTCTACCCAATTATTCATTTGTGATTATTTATAACAAATCGAAGTTGAAAAAAATGCTTTTTTTTAGGGGAAAATCGATTCCTCGGAAAGTATTGAATGTAGAGGTCTGAAATTTTTACTAAATGTTTTTCTGATGTTGTACAAAAACATATTTTTTTCAGTATTTTTTCGCAGGTTAGATTTTTTTGGTAAATATATAAAAAGGGGACACCTCTCCGGTTTTCATTTTGAAATATGTTATAAAGTGTGAAATTCTGAATAACTTTTCTTAATATAACTATACGGGGGTCGCTTGTAGTTTAGAAGATATAACAAGATAAAGTTAAGGTAAAACTCCTATTTAGCGGATCAACTTCCAAAAAAAACTTCATGAATTGAACATGAAATACCTGCACTAGCATGGTAAAAAGTACATGTATGAGCGGGCAGGGGCTGCGCCCCATCTCACACCTCCCCCCACTCCCTCTCTCATATGTATCTGCTTTAGTATGGCAAACAGTATATGTGTGGAAGAAATATATGCTGTTCATCATACTAATGCAGTTACATACGGGAGAGGGGGGTGGGGAGCGGTGTGTGTGGGAAGAGGTGCAGGGAAGGGGCGCAGCCCCTCCCCCACTCATACATGAACTGTTGCGTATCTTGTTACATTACATTTAAAAAGCATAAGCTCACGATTTAATTTCAACACTGTTTCACATCGCAGACATTTAATATCTCCATGAATAACTTTCCGACTAATAAGAAAATCTATTAATTTATCATTATCCTCAATAAGACTTCGAAATTCGTGTAGTTTCATACATATTGAAAGCAAATTGCGAACTGTTTCAGATTCATGACGATTGCCAAGTAAAAAACTTTATAAATAATATAAACAAATACTTTTTTTTGTTAAAGGATAAGCAACGGATTAGAGAGTACAGCATATATAAACTTTGCACTATAAATAACGTCAGATTATATCTAGAATTTAACATCAAAATTTTTAACTTTATCTTGTTATATCTCTGAAACTACAAGCGACCCCCTATAGTTATATTAGGAAAAGTTCACGCTTTCAGAATTTCACGCTTTATAACATATTTCAAAATGAAAACAATCGGAGAGGTGTCCCCTTTTCTATATATTAACCTTTTTTTTATAAACAATAAATATTTCTAAAAACGACCGAAATTTGATTTTTTTACACTTTTTAGCTCTATTTTCCTAGTTTTTTCATTCTGTATCTATCAATATTATTTTACTCAAAAGATTCGTAATCAGCGATTCGAAAAACCCATGTATCATCAATAATAATCAGAATTTTTATCAATTTCGTACATTATGGTCGCCATATTGAATCCGCCATTTTGAATTTTGCAAATCTGATTTTAGATTCGTAATCAGCGCCCCAAAAAACGCAGGACTACCAAATATTTTAATAATTTCCTCAAAGTAAGTTAATTCAGTAGTGAAAGCGTTAAAACAATCCTTATTAGATATTACTTATTGTTCATCGCTATAATCGCATTGGTGTGAAAAGCCTTTACCTCGGCATCTCACTTGATGTATTTTCCATGTGGTAAGAGGACTAATTGTGGGAAGATAAGTGCTCTCATTAGACTATTCGGCAACGTTCCGAAACTTTTCAATAAAAATCGGACAACCCTATTGTCCATGACTGTGCAATAGATGTAGTAAACTTTAGACCTTAAGAAATTAGCCAATTCCAATTTATTTTTATAAGAATAACTGACTGTGGTTAGCCAATTTTTTAAGACTTATGACTTGACTATGAAATAGAATGAGAAAAAATATAGTTGCCTCACTCTAATTTATTGCATTAATTCAGAAGTGCAGCTAAAAAGAACAGACCATAGAATGATTTGTATCACAGAGAATAAAGCGGGAAAAGTCTTTGTTCGCTTCTGTGGCGGTTGAATGTGGTTCCTGTAACTGCGTATATTTTTTGATCGTGGGGACTGCATATACGTTGCCCCTGTTTTTCTCTAAAATTCCTTGGTTTGCAAAGAAGTGGAAGCCATTGAGCGTTCAGTTATTACTCTCATGGCCAAGTTCAGATCGTTTCACTTTCTCACCTCTTCGCATTTAAAAAGATTAAACATTATTGACGATGAACACTACGTTTGTGAAGCTTATAACTGGTATTTAAAACACATCTTATACACGTGCCCAAATTTCTCTAGAGAAGCTGACCAACTACTGATTAAATTATACACTAGAGGCTTTGACTCCAATTATGATCGATTGGCGGAAGAAGCCTTCAAGATAAATAATGTTCCTGTTTTTAAAGAATTAATGCTAAATTCTTGAGGAGTACACAATGAATGCTGTAATGAATCTTTTGGATTCATTAATTCCAAATACTTTATTCACGCAGATTACATGGGGTCTAGGGATTGGCGTCAGCCTGGGGTTTTACAGCGCACAGTCATTTATTGAATGAATGAGAATAAAGAGGTTAAGAAAATAAGCTTCCTTTCTTCTCTAACGAAGAACCGTTCAAGAACAGCGATAAGGAACACAGCTAGCGGCCATACTGTGACTGAAAAGAAACTGAAAAGAAGTCTTGACTTTATCAACAAAATTTAGTACGACCTATTTTATTCGAAAGAAAATGGAACATGGTGAAGAATTCTTTCAGCGTATATCTCTTTTCTACTTTGATATGGGGAAAAGTCTTACTGAAACTCATCAATTGCTCAGTGAAGTTTATGGTGACAATACTCCATCGAAAACAACTTGCGAAAAATGGTTTGAACGATTTAAAAATGGAGATTTTAACATAGAAGACAAACAACGTCCATGCCAAAAGTCAAAAAAGTTTGGAAACAACGGATTGCAAGCATCGTCAAATAAAAATCCATTTCAAACGACCAAAGAATTGGCAGAAGCATCAAATGTCACCGACGGAGATGTTTCCAGACGTTTATCCGTCATAGGAGAAACTCATAAAGAAGGAAGATTGAATGTATTAGATGATGCTGCAAGCTTTGCTCGTGTTTCTATCGCTACTTCTTTGTTCGCAAGGTATATGAAAAATAATTTTTTGTGGCGAATCATAACCGGCGGCGAAAAATGGCTCTATTACGATAATCTAAAACGTAAAAGGACACAGGCGAATCCGGACCAACCATCAACTTCGACGGCCGGACGGAATATTCACAGAGTAATGTTGTGTATTTGGTGGGATCTGGAAGGCATAGTGTATCATGAGCTACTGCAACCAGATGAAATAGACACAACCGACCGCTACAAACAACAAATGGAACGTCTGAATGAGGAATTGATGCAGAAAAGACCATCACTCGTCAGTAATCAAGGAGAAATCATGCTTTTGCACGACAATGTTCGGCCACATGTTGTAAGAACCTTTCAACAAGCAGCGATAGAGCTTGAGTGGGAGATTCTTCCACACCCAGCCCATTCTCCAGACTTAGCTCCGTCGCATTATCATTTGTTCCATTCGATGCAACATACCCTTGAAGACACACACTTTTCTAATTTACAAGATGTGCAAAAATGGGTCGATAATTGGATCGCTTCAAAAGATAAGAAATTCTACCAACATGGAATTCAACTTTTGCCAGAAAAATGGGAAAGAATCCTAGAAACTAATGGAAAATATTTGGATTAATGTATTTATTCATTTTGTCATTGAAATAAAAGCATTTTTCAAAAAAAAAAAAATCGAAAATTAAGTTCGACACCTAATATAAAATGCTTCAAACTTGCTTTTTCCTTAACAGTAAATCAACAACTATAAAATGATTGTAATATAAAGCCTAGTCATATGCATACATAATCATTCCATATAATTAACCTCAAATTGTAATCATTTTATAGTTGATTGACTTTCAAATTATAAGCTTAATGTTTGAGGCACTTAACAGGTATACTCTAGCAACTTGAAGCATTCTTCCATACAAACAATTTTTTATTTAAGAATGACATGTAAGAATTTTAAGTATATATTTTGCCTGTTCTAACATTACAATCTTATCATTACAAAACTTTTGATGACGAGTGACCAAAAGTTGTAAGAATTATTATTAAATACCTTCCATATATTATGCGTTATCTGTTTACACTGACACCAATACAATCCTTTTAATCCATGATTTAATGAATTGCTCTTGCTCCAACATGAATAATGAACATATGTCTACTGAACAATTTAAAACACACAGTGATAGTATATGTGATTGTTAGTTTGTATTGCAAGATAAATCATCCATTACAAAAAATTTAACTATAAATTACTAGCCAATTACTAAATTGGCAGCATTACAAGCAACTAATTACACTCGATATTATATAGATAACATGCGTTTCAACGATTGTGCTGAACAAGAAACTAATTTTGAAATTCATTTCTACTATATTTATTTTATAGCATGCTTTATCAAATAAAATATGCGATTACATAATTTTTATATTTAAAAATTCTATAACCGTAACCGTAATAAAACCGTAACTGTCATAATCATATATATACAGGTTGCGTGAAAAGTTCGCGGAACGGTATCTATAAGTAAATGGTAGAATTATAAATTGTAATAGGTTATATAGAATCACTCTTCACATGAACCTAGGTTAGATTTCATTTCCATTCTGTCAATTCTTTCTGTGTTTACAAGCCAATTGAAGTTGACGTGTCAGTATATTTGTTTGCAATGGAGAATTTGAAACAGCGTGCAGTGATTGAGTTCTTTGTTAAAAAAGGTTTAAAGGCAATGGAAATTCATTCCGAGATGGTAAATGTGTTAGGGGAATCTGCTCTTTCAAAAACAATGGTTTGTAAATGAGCACTTGAGTTTCAACGTGGTCGTACAAGCATTGAAGATGATCCACGCAGTGGACGTCCAAAAAGCGCATCAACACCAGAAATCATTGAGCAAATACATGCTATTGTTTCTGAAGATCCAAGTGTGACTACGCGTGAAATTGCTCATACCATAGGCATTTCAGATGAACGGGTACGGCATATTTTGCATAAAGAATTACAAATGAAAAAGATGTTTGGAAAAGTGATGCCGCATACGTTAACAATTCAACAAAAACTCGCTCGAAAGCAAATTTCTCAGCGTCATTTGGATCGTTTTAAGAAGAATAAAACCGATTTTGTGCGTCGTTTTATAACTATGAATGAGACTTGGATCTATCACCAGGATCCTAAATTGCAACAGGAACGTTTACAATGCACTAAAGCTAGATGTTCAGCTGCAAAGCAAACAAAGCATGAAAGATCGATGCCAAAAAAGGTTTTGGCATCAGTTTTTTAGGATGCTAAAGGGATTTTGTTAATTGACTATCTGGAAAAAGGTAAAACAATTAACTCTAAATATTATTGTAACCTTTTGGATCAATTGGATGTAAAAATTCGTGAGAAAAGACCTGGTTTGCAGCACAAACAAATCATTTTTCACCAACGCACCTGCTCACAAAAGTGTTTTGTCAATGTCTAAATTCAATGAATTGAAGTACAAATTGCTTGATCATCCACTGTATTCGCCAGATTTGGCATCCAGCGACTTCTATCTGTTCCGAAACCTGAAACAATTCCTCCGTGGAAAGCATTCTTTGTCGAATGAAGAAGCTATAGCAGCTGTAGAGGCATATTTCGCAGACCTTCCAGAAACACACTTTCACAATGGAATAAAATTATTGGAAAGCCATTGGGCCAAGTGTATCGAAGTTAATGGAGACTATATTGAAGAATAAAATCATTTGTAGAATTAGATATTCTTTATTTCAGTTTCATTCCGCGAACTTTTCATGCAACCTGTATATATGGGATATACTTATATATATTTATAATTATATATATTTATACTTGTATATATTTATATTTATATATATTTATACTTTTAAAAAATCACCTTTATCGAATTTCTTTCATCCAATATTCATTCTAATTCATCCAGAAAAGATATATCTAAAAATATTCTTATATTAAATCTTGCTTTTGTGCATTAAAAATTTAAGAATTCTTTCAAATAAGTCGGGAGACTCCCATCGTTTTTTCAATTCTTTTGCTTCTTCTGCATTAACTTCTAATAAAATTTCTCTATTCCATTTGGTTATCAAATATTTAGTCGCCAATATTGACTGAAATAAATCAATTTCATTAGTTTCATTACTACAATTTAATAGCATAATAGTATCAATACAGAATTTGAAAATATGGAAGAACAATACCTCTGAAGAGAGTTCAGAAATTTTGTTCAAGTAATTCCACACTTCTTCAAGTATGTCATGATTGTACACTTTGCTAACTAATCCATATTGTTTAGCTTCATGAGCACTCATTTGGTAGCCCATATATAACATATCTCCAGCCTAGCAAAGATTTTTACAGTATAGTATTAAAATCTCAAACCCAGAATTATTACAAAGAATGAAGTTCTGAATGCATGCTAAATATCACAAAAATATGAACCATACCTTGGAAAGTCCTAATAGTCTTGGGAATGTATATGTAGAACATCCTTCAGCAACAAGCCCCAAGGAACTAAATGGTGTTTGAAAATATGCCTGCAAGTTATATAATATATTTATACTATATTATTAACATATTTATTGTTTTAATATAATCTATAACATAAATCCTTCAATAGATACCTTATCTGAAGCATAAACCATGTCAAACAAGCCTAATATTGTGCAAGCTATTCCTATTGCTGGTCCATTTACAATGGCTACTAAGAGTTTTGGATACATAATCAGAGCATCAACAAATTCTCTAAATAACGATTTTTCATATAATTCCAATATATTAAATATTTAATACACACATATATATATATACACATACATACATACACACATAAGAAATACTTGGTATATTTTTGTATGAAAAGTATAATGAACATATTTATACTTTTCACATACTTTAATACAATATTCTTATGACTTACTTATATGCCACATTTGTATCCTCTGCAAGAGTAGGAGAAAATTCTGATATATTTATATCAGTGCCGCTGCTAAAGAAATTTCCAGTTGCTGTCAGTACAAAGATCAATACCTCTCTATTTTTAGCAGAATTATTTAAAAGTGCTGTTAATTCCTTGTACATCTGTAAGAGACTGATTGTAAACACATAGTACTAACTAAATATTTTCTATCTGTCCTACATGTTCAATATTAATAGATTTAGAATTTTTTTATATATTTGTATTTACCGATAGTGAAATTGCGTTCTTCTTGGTGGGCCTGTTGATCACCACTTTTTGAATTTTATTCGTCACAGTAGTTAAAATCAATGAACTTTCACCTGCCATTGTAAGCACTTTGCGATTTAAAATTCGTATCTAGCAAGCATATAATGTTATTCGTACGCTGCTCTTTACTATTTCCGGCTTATTCGTGATTCTCGTTCTTTTACTTTCGTTTCTTCCGTCACCTTCGTGTTGAATAATGTACTAGAATGTAAAAGACTTGAACTTTATACCCACTTACTTGTATAAGACTTGTATAGCACCTGATTAATGTGAGTTTTTACTAACTTTGCCGGCTAATTATTTCACGGAATTATCCAATCGCAGATGTCATTAATCGGTATTGGCAAATGCGATAGATGAATTCCGTTGAAATAACTAGCCGGTTAAGTTAACCAAAGTTGGTAAAAACGTCACGTAACTGTAACTTTGATACGGCTGATCTAATGATTATCGTTTATCAATCAACTTCTGTGTGCGTCCGTATCTTGCGTTTTATATAAACAGATTCTTATACATACATATTTGGTTCTGGTTCTGGTTCAATAAATGGCTCTGACCAGAGCTGTTACATTCTACCTCCTACGCCAGACATTCACGATTACGAAAGTAAAAGAAAAACAGAGATAACGCGTACGCAGTCCCCACGACCAAAGTATGCGTAGTTACCACATCCAACCGCCACGAAGGCGAACAAAAGACTTACATACATATTTGAATGGATGAGCGTAAGCTTTTGAGTGTCTTAAAAATGTGAACGAGTTAGTTTTATCATGATTTATTTATTATACTTATAAATATCTACATGTATCATATATTAAATACTAAATAATATGATAATGCTATATAATAAAAAAAAATGTCAATTAGTTAATGTAATGAATAAATCGTGTTTAATATTTTCGTATTTATATCATTTTTCTATTATTATTTTTAGTATAATAGTATAGTATTTTCTATTATTAATATAATCGTATTTTATATCATTTTTCTATTGAAAAATTTATTCAAACTTTTGTAGTCACCCAGTATTTTTTCTGTTATCTATTTTTGATGATAGGCAGCTTTAATGCACAGTAGAAGTAGTTATTAGTATTTTTAATATTGGCGTTACATTTACATACTATCATATAACTTGCTAATTTCCCGTTCGTTATTTTGTAGGAGACAAGTGGATACGTATTGGTAAAATAAAGACAAAAATATTTTGAGCTTATTGTTCTTCATTTATTTATCTACTGGATAATGATTAGTACCAATAAGAAAATCAGCCAAGTCATTTTTTTTATATACATTACTGTGTACTTGTACAATGTATTTAATACCGTATTTGGTTTCATTTTTATGATAAATATGCATCTCACAGGATTTCCCAAACTTAAGATAGATAAAAACTAGCTTCTTTGTTAGCTATTCTTTCTAAGAGAATACACTTTTTGTGTGTGTGCTTTATATAACTATTTGAAGATTACTCTCTTTACGCGATTCTAAGGAAGCTGCGCGAATACAATAATATTCCTTGAGAATCCGTCTACCTTTTTTAAAGGATTTACGAGAGTGATGTGTAGTTTAGGAAACCCTGATCTATTTCTTTATGTTGATTGTAAACAATTGTCTGGTGGATTTCGACGATACAATGTGTAATCATAGATTACATGGCCATGTTACTGTCTGCTAGACAATACTTGCTACAAAAAGCTATTAGCAGCAGTATTTCGCGTTACGCAAGCCTCGTGAAATATAAATAGTATATAATCAGATGTATAAATGCGAGCGGCTCGCAGCTGTAAATTATATTCAAACTCTTCATGGACGTGTTCCGGTTTGCATCTAACAATACAATTTGCGACATGAGGAGATGGAAGTAGTAGTATTACCAATAAACGGCTGGCGCAAAACTTTTCTTTTTCGGGTAACGCAACGTAAATATCATCTTATCTCTAACACAAATTACACATGAAAATTTATTCTCGTAATCGGACGTAGATTTCGATTCTCGATTTCGGACGTCGTAGAAATTAATCAATCATTCTCGCATTACTGTGAATTTGCACGTTAGTATGAGCTTTATAAATAAATATTGTATTCTTGTACTCTAGCGTGCCGTATGTGACGTCATATGTCGATATATACATCAAAAAAATAAGGAATGCCGATAAATTATACATGCGCACGAAAAGGACTGCGAACCGTAATATTAATTCGTACTGCTACGCGAAGGCTTAGGTACATTGAAATATTGAAGTTCAGAAAGATATACATAGATATAAATCATAAAGCTCGTAAATAAATATATCTCTCTAAAAAGTGTACCTTCTAGCACTGCATCTCATCTCGGAAGATTTTAACCACTTTCTACTTAACGTTTTTTAAAGATCACGTCGCTATAATTAAATAATCGTAAAATTGGAATAATCTTATTAATGTACATATTAAACGCACGGAGTAATCAGTGAAATATCGGCGCACGTCTTAGATCTTCGATTTATTACGGCTTCAAGACCTTCTCGATAAATTTCTTCACGTCGTGCATCTCCTGCAAAAAGTAACACAAGTTACAAAAAACATTCAGAATAAGAATGGTTGATTTCTTCGCGTTAATATGCTTGTTCTGTGAGAAGATTTAACGCTATATGACAAGTAGCTATCCCCATCGACAATTTTCCTCACCTCTTCGCAAGACGTATGCATCATGCCGTTGTAAGTTTTAAATTCTGTCTGCGTCATGAATTGTTTCAGAAGAGACGCTGTCATTTGACCCCACCTGTACGGCACGATCGGATCGCAGTTGCCGTGACATTGTAACAACGGTGTATCCTTATTACCTATCGCTTCCTGAAAAGGTGATTCAATATCAATGTAGTCCCACAAATATTGTATACACGTAAAACACGATGTACATACCGCTGGAAATTTAGCATGTAACGGAAGCCATGAGGACATGGCTATGATACCAGCTAAAGGCTCTGGGAATGTAAGGGCACTGAACATAGCTAGCGCTCCACCTTGACTAAATCCACCAAGGACAATGCGTTTTGTGGGTATCCCAGCTGCGACTTCCTCAGCTATTAACGAGTGAACCATCGCGGCAGCTCTGCGTATACCTTCTTCATCTTCTGGGCCTGTGGAGTCCAGAGATCGTAGATCAAACCTGCGTATATACAGGATATATCAGCAAATTTCTAACAATTTCGTGAAAGCACTGATTTGTAATTTTCTCTCGCACAAATGAGAAAACCAATATTTATTCCATCAGCTTTTATTTATAAACATACTCTATCTCCCAAAGTCTGTTTTCATTGAATTGTTTCCATTTAGAATTTAACACCTTTATATCTTTATCCTTACATGGAAAATTAATTACAAACTTACCAGGAAGGCATTCGAAACCCTGCATTAAGTGTTACCGGCATTGTAGGTCTGAAAGAATAAAGTCATATTCAGATATTACTGATTACATTAACTTGCAATCTGAATATATATCTAAAGATATTAACAATCACATACGCAGTAGGACAAATAACTTTGATGTGTGAAGATCGCACAGCAGCCATGGAACTAGCCCAACCATGTCTGAAAGTAATCGTACGAGTGAAACAGTATTAAACTAATATATCAATATGTTATATGGTCTCATATATCACAAATGGAAATTTACCTTGCATCATTCATATATCGCAAATAAAAACTTACCCTGTATCACCTAAGCCGTGGAAAAATATTATCTGAAACAGATGAATCTCTTAAAACAGGATAAAAAAATACACATTGATTGTTTTCAGCAACTTTTGAAGAAATATCTTACATAACATTCTTAAAGTTCTTATTTTAGAGTGCAGTTGAATACTAATGAATACACATCATAAAAAATAATGTCAGACAGTAAAAATCATAATGTTGACATAATGTGAAAACTGGTAACAGTTTTTACATTATGAAAACATACGTTCTCATATTATGAAGTGTCACATTTTTCAGTTTTTACGGTATAAAATGTTTTACACGATAGAAATATACGTTTTCTATCGCAAGAGAGGTAATGTTTTTTTCCGTTGTAACGATTGCGGTATTTTGCAGGCATCACTCCATCAGCGAATAAAGCAATTCGAGACGATACAAATGAGTTAAGGCGACGAATCCGAGCTATCGCCAGCGAAATAATCGTACGACAGAAGGCACAGCGTTACAGACACGTTATCGTAAAAATAATCCACTTATGATCAATTAGAATCACTGCCATAAGAGGTATAACCAAAAAAGACCTTATCTTAAAGAGGTAATATCTACCGTCGCTGTGTGCTTAGCCGTGGCTGAAATTATGACTGGACTCGTCATGTTTTGTCGCTTATTTGGACGGCCTGGAAGAGATCCAAACAATCGTGTAACAATTTGATAAAAATTGTAAATATAGAATGGTGGCACAGAGAGACGTGACACTACTCTCCGCTCTCTACATCGAGTTCTCCATCGAGTTTCTCATACTAGGGATAAGTAAGGGCGGTTGGGGGGGGGGAAGAGAGAAAGAGGGAGCGAGAGTGGCGTCACTCGCGCATTCGCATAAATATTTAAATATAATTATCAGCTATTTATTGCTTTCATTAACCTTCGTGATAATTTGATAACGACCTACATATGTAAATAAAATTCATATGATTTATGAAAAAGTTTTATAGTTTCACCAGGAAAGTGGTTTATGTATGTGTGCGCGCGCGCGCGCGCGTGTGTGTGTGTGTGTGTGAGATAATTTGAAATTACAAATTGAAAATAATGAATGAGCACGAACCTCTGGACAGCAAATTACCCATGGTTATTTAAATATTGCTTACTCCAAGACTTGTCGAAATATAATTTTGCGGATCGCAGATGAGATTTGTTGCTCCTTTTTTTCTTTTTTAATCATTAAAATACGGTAATTTAATACTAATTAAACAATGTCCAAAAAGAAAGCAAGTTATAATCAATTTCTAACCGTTAGTTCTCCCGTATGAAATTGCGCACATATCTGCTGCGTATATCTGTTTGAAAATTGTTTCTAATTGAAATTGAAGAATTTCGATTTGGGTCAAAGTCGTAATCTATCTATCCATCTATCGTATCTAATCTATAAAAAAAATCTGTTTAGACAGATTTTTAGCGCGTGCGAGCTGTCGCATAAGATATAAGGAATATCGTATAAAAATAACTTTTGTATAAAAGCGATATCGCAGCCGATAGCGTCAATATATGTTAAGATCGCAACAAATTTAAGAAAGAGAAATTACGCATTATTCAGGAAACGTATGTTTTTGATAACCGCTTATTAAATTAAATTATCCATTGTGTAAAAATATACGTTTTACATATACATATATGGGGTGTCCCATAACCTAATATGAGGAATTCATGAAAACATAAAACAGATTAAGACAAATATAAAATTTTGCGACAGTTATCGCAATAGTTATTAATTGCTCCGCGTTATGGCCCGAGCAGCTGCGACACTTTTCCAATCATCAGATTTTTGTCATTAATAATTCGATAATTATCGTGAACATCGCAAAATGGTACGGGACTTTTCGTCTTAATCCGCTTTATCTTCACGAATTTTTCATATTGAGTTTTAAGACACCCTGTATTTTTTCTTATTTTAACTCATCGCGCTGGTTGAAAAATTCTTTCAAAAAGAACAGACCCCGTGAATTCCGACCAAAGAGTGCAATGTGTGCAGCTAAGTAGAACAGACCTGCCGCTGCTGTCAAAACGCGCCTTAAGCGTGCTCCGGAGAATGCAACAGCCAATTGGACGGTCGCCCCGAAGATGTCGCAGCGCTGGGAGATTCAAGTCACCCATCAGTCGATCAAATGAAACTTCAACGGATCGACGCGTGTCCTTCATAATATATAAAAAAAATAAAATAAAATAGAATAGAATAAATAAAAAATCACAAATTAATAATAAAATCGTTTATTATTGGCTGCGTTCAGAAAATACAACGGTTACACAACGGTTGAATAATTCGTCAATGTTATTGGTCTGAATGTAAGGATCTAACAGTAAGGACTAATAGTTACTAAGCGCTCAATGAGCGCTTTGTTTTCTGAACGCAACTATTATCGCAATTGAGCGGTTGCGATACACCGGATTTCTATGCGCGTAGTCGCGCATGCGCGAATGCGATACGGCCAACATGGCGCGAAACTCCGACAGCCGCATCGCAGCCGTGTCTATCCGCTCTCGGTTGTGCATGGACGATGATTTTGAAACTGCCTCCTACGTGCTCACAGCCGTTGAAGAGCTGTCCTTTGTGCAATTTGCAGTGACCGTCGAGTGTCAGGACACTCTCCGTCCTGGTGCGAGATGCGAGGATAGCCTCGATGAAGCAAGCAGGTGTAACTTTGTCCCGATGTAATAAACGCAACCAAGGAACCCGTTCCCGTCAAGGTAAACGGTGTCGACAATCGCATACTATTATGCATTACGAGCACGTGTCGCTACTGCAATTAATCGATCAATGTTTGTTTCCAAACTTATTTTGTCTCTCTCTGTTTTGTCTTCACTCTCGATTTCTTACCAGTACGCGGTAAACACGAGTGTTCGCGCGACGCGTATAGGTTATGAGAAATCGCGAGAGCGCCGAGGAGCAATTCTCCCCGACTGATAACATCTCCCGTGTTGGCCTGTAGACGGCAATTAAGCGATAACGCGATTTACTCGTTTCTCCGCGTATACGTGCATCTTGTTACTCCGATGTCAGCGGTTGAATCCGCTCGCTCCTTTTGCGTAGCGATCGCCGTCGCAGTAGCGCTTGAGAACGCACGATCGTTAGTCTTGGAGTTTATAGTCAGCGAATTGTAAGGAGAAAAATCAGCAAGTATGACTCCGAGGATAGTCGTTGTCGGTTCGTGCATGATTGACTTCACCTGGTGAGTAAGAACGAAGCTTCCCGGAGCGGAGAAAAGGTGACGTTACGCGACGAGCTGTTGAGAAAACGTCTGAGATTATTGGTTATGATGATTGCATCACGCATTGCCGTGGCCGTAATGCGCGATGCACGATCGTTTGATTCTCTCTTTTAGTTTCTCCCATCGTCTGCCTAAGCCCGGCGAGACAATAATCGGAACTAGATTCGAAAAGAAGTACGGCGGCAAGGGTGCCAATCAGTGTGTGGCCGCTGCCAAACTTGGTGCATCCACTGCACTTGTAGCCTCAGTACGAATACTTGTGATTTCTCTTGCTCCTTTTTTTGTTTTTTTGTACGTAACAACTTGTGTCGTATCAGTGTTTAATTTTGTCTTGATTTTCCACCACAGTTGGGTTCCGACATGTTTGCGCAAGAGTACTTAGAGATTTTGAAAAAAGAAAATGTAGACACGTCTCATGTCAGGATACAAAAAGATAAACACAGCGGTGTTGCCCACATTACTGTCGCCGAGGATGGTATGTTTTTTTTCCTTCATAGTTATGTAATTATATATATTAAGCGTTCCTCGTGCGAGAATATCCTCAAACACTACTTTACGCTGTATGTGCAATTTAGACTTTAGACTTTTAAACATACAGATAATAGAGAAAAACATGAATCAAGCCCCTCGTTAAGATAATACGCTTTTATATGCAATAATGCTCCCCCGTCATTAAACGGCAATCTGCCGAGATAATCTCGACGACTTGTTCGAACCACGTTTTGCAGGCGAGAACAGTATCGTTATCGTGTTAGGCGCCAATGAGTCATTGACGCCAGAACACGCGGACTCCGCCGTTGATGTGATCAAAAATGCCAGCGTCTTGCTATGCCAGTTTGAGACTCCGCTGGAGGCCACGTTGCGCGCGTTGAAGTTACACCGCGGTCACGGTGCGTCCTCTCTTTATCTTCCGCTTGACATTACGGAAGAAATTCACATCTACCGCCCTCGGAGCCGAACTGTCGCAAGTTCAGAAAGAAATAAGATCTTCGCGCTGATTACGCGTTGCGTGAAGAGCAAATATGAAAATGATGATGTACGCACTTGTATTATCAGACGCGCGGAACTCTCTCGAGCGTCCCGTCGAGTGGGCGAGGTAGCCGTCGCTCTTTCAGCAAAACGAAGCGGAAAAACGAGCGCACTTATCTCTTTTAATTGCAACTTGCGATATCGCCGCTCCGAGCCGCCGATACGATACGGTATGCTCATACAAGCGTAACGCAGCAGGACTGTCGATTGTCAACGGAGCGCCCGCGATCGAGAGCGTCGATCCGGAGATCCTGCGGTCGTGCGATATTTTCTGCGCCAACGAGACGGAGGTACGTAAACAATCGGCCAGTGTCATTCCCAGCCGGGGTAACGGTAAACCGGCGGCCCTTTCGGGAGTCTCCGAGAGCGCCGCGTCGTTAATCGAATAATGCAACGCTCGGCGTACAATGAGGGTCACTGCACGCTTTCGCAGGCGGAAGTTATGACGGGCGTTCGACCCGTTGACCTGTCGAGCGCGCAGCAAGTCGCCGACAAGCTCCTGGCCAAGGGATGCAACGCGATCATACTGACTCTCGGGCCGCTCGGGGCTGCCTACGCGTCGACGACGAGCAGGATTGTCACGTGGATTCCCACTACCGCGGTTGCAGCTGTGGACACTACCGTAGGTATCGTGCGCGCATCGGACATCCCGGAGCCGTCCTAGTTTACGTGAATCTCATAACGAATCGATTTCATTCGAGGAAATTTAGAGATCACGTTATTATGTAACTGGCTCCGGAATACTTTCTACGAGTTCGACGGCCGAGAGCAACGCGTGACGAGAGCCTGCACACATGTACATATACATACACATACGCAGGGTGCCGGAGATGCGTTTCTGGGTGCGCTCGCGTACTTCAAGGCGTATCATCCACAACTACCGACGGACGAGTGCGTCCGAAGAGCTTGCATCGTCGCCACGCAGTCTGTCCTTAAATTCGGCACGCACGCGAGCTTTCCCACGAGAGGCGACCTCCCGGCGGACCTGTTCGCGTAGATCGAGCGGGTAATTATCGAGTTTCCTTTTCATCTCGCCGACGACTTGTCGCATTTGCTCGGAACCCGTTTCCCATATATGTACGTTTGGGCTTTTCCGAAACGTCGCAAGGTGTTTTTTATGAATAAAGGGATGCGAGTTTTAGCTGGAAAGGTGCGTGCACACCGTGCATACCCTTGGCCCCAAAATCCAAAGTAAAAAATGCAAAAATCCCCTCCGTTCCCGTCACAATACGAGACTCAGCGACAGCGAGTCCGGTCGCAATTCGTCCTTATTCTAAATAGAGATGTAAGTTTTCTTTGAAGTCTTCGTATTCGAAGCTTCGATACAAAATATTCGACGACCGACGTTTCGAAGCTTCAGAGCATCGAACCTTCGAAGCTTCAGTCTTCGAACTTCGAAATTTTGAGAATTCGAAGGTGTCCGGAAATCGCAAATTTGCAATTGTTCCGAAGTGCTGAGCATAACTATGTAGACATTTTTTTCTTAATTTAGATTACTAGAACATTACAGGCGGGCGCTATTTAGCTTTTATACTATATTAAAAAGAACATATTTGCACAATAAAAAAATAACTGCGGTTCGAATAAGTAGATTTTAAAGTCAATCAGTTTAGTAAGCTCAAAAAGCTGCAAAATCTCGTGAAGTTTAACCACGAACTCAAAATGCACGACAGTGCATGTAGTAAGGCGCGACGCAATAACCAATTAGCATCGCGGAAAAGAGATTTCAACATTTCAATACAAATTCGTTACGTTTGATCACATGCTTTTTTAAAAAAGTATATATTGCCTGATTTTTTATACTTTTATTATCCACGGAATGTAGAACATATGCCTGAGATGACGCCTTTTAAGCTGGCACAGCCATTTTAGCACAATCGCATGGGACTAGCACAGAAATTTAGTGTTTTTTTGTTGTTAATTTGTTGCTCTATCCCTAACTTTGTTACTCTAGTCATTTCGAAAAAATAGTGGCTGTGCTAGCTTAACATTAAAGTTAGTATAGCCATTTAAAAAAAAAACCAAGAACGAACACATTTTTAAACTAAGATTTTGTTGCTAACATGTTACTCTAATCATAACATTAACATGAAACGAGCAACAAATTTTTTCTAATAGTTCACTCTTGTACGTAAAATGCATCAATATATTTCAGGGTGTTGTTTAAATTTATCGTAATATATTGTTTAAATTTATTATATTGTGATATATATATGTTAATATTAATTTATTATAATATGTTAATAGAAAGCCAGACACAATCTCAGGAGTAAAAATATATGTTATATAATATATATAACTAAGGTACTATTAAATAAAAAATAATATAATCTAATAATGTTGATGTATATAAGTAAATGTGGGTTGAGATCATATAGTTTTTCTATTGGTTTGGCGTTAGGCGTCAGATCATTATATTCAATCCAACAATTTCTTGAATGTAAACAATTGTTCTCTAGGAAATTGTTGGGTCTAATATGATGATCTAGATAATTGTCTACATCCGGGAAATTGTTGGGTCGAATATAATGATCTGACGCCTAACGCCAAACCAATAAAAAAACTATATGATCTCAACCCGCATTTACTTATGTATGTCAACAATTAGATATATATTATTTTTTATTTAATAATACTTTAGTTGTATATATATTATATAACATACATTTTTATTCCTGAGATTGTGTCTGGCTTTCTATTAATATTAATATATATATATATATATATCACAATATAATAAATTTAAACAATATATTACGATAAATTTAAACAACGCCCTGAAATATATTGATGCATTTTACGTACAAGAGTGAACTATTAGAAAAATTGTTGCTCGTTTCATGTTCATATTACGATGTTTTCCGAAATTATGGAACGCAAAATAAGTTTAAACGAAAAGCGGAAACATGTTCTACTTGGTATACACATACCGCTATTGTTAAATTTATCTTTGGAGCAATAAATTTAGAGTTCGGATATCTTAAGAGCAACAAAATCAGACAACATATTAAGACTGAAATTGGGCAAGCACTAAATTTTTTTCGAATAGTTTACTCTTCTAGCCACACACCTATAGGTTCTTGACTATTGTTTAACACACCGATTTTTGTCGAAACGGCTGGAGCAACAAAATCGGGAATACAGCAACAAATTAGCAACAAAACCGTAGTTTAAAAATATATGTTCGTTTCTGATTTTTTATTTTTTTTTGGAATGTCTGTGCTAACTTTAATGTCAAGCTAGCATAGCCATTGTTTTTTTCGAAATGGCTGAAGCAACAAAACCGGGAATAGAGCAACAAATTAGCAATAAGAAAGCATTAAATTTCTGTGCTAATTCTATGCGATTGTGCTAAAATGGCTGTGCCTGCTTAATGGACATCCTGAGATGGCCTAGTAAGTAATGCGTGCATGCAGAAACAAAGAGCGCAGGCTTCGAAGCTTTGGAGCTTCCAAGCTGCCAAAGAGTAATAGTCCTGATTCTAAACTGCCACGATGTACGTATCGCGGCAGAAAGTCGATCAGTCGATCTGGGCAAAACAACTCGATTCGCGCGCATCGTAATAAGTCTGCTTGAATCGCTTAGAAAAAGCAACCGTCTGTTGAACTGGACTCTGCAGTTTTTTAACGATGTCGCCGACGACTGATATCTTCACTTTTTTTTTGTTGCCGTCCGCTGGCCGGGCGAAATCCGCAGAACTCGAAAATATGAATATACAAGCAACAGCGGCATTAGCATAAAGTAAACACCCATTAATTTTCGGGTAGTTAAATTTCTAATTTGCGAAACGAAGCCGAGAATCGGCGGCTCTGCTCGCAATCAGCTCGCTCTTTTCTTCCTTTTGTCTCATTTCTTTTTTTCTTTCTTCATCTCAAAATAAGCGACGTGACGTTCGCGTTTTGTTAAATGCCGAATATCGAAAGAGAGAGAAAAAAAAGAAACAAAGAAAAAGAATTCCAGAGTGCAATCTCATCTAGCGATCTCGACGTATTTTAATCTCGGAGCGGAGACTTTTTCGCTTGCAGATTAGCGCGTCTGGGTGTCAGAAGGTTGCAAACTCCACAAAACACAGTCCAGTCGGACTGACTGCCGAACGGGATGTATGGAAAATGTCTTTGGCCGCATTTTCTGCTTACCTCTACCTGTGTCACTTTTACCGCGTTATGCAATCTAATCTTAATATTATGTCTATCTACGCATCCACGTAACGACTGAGCTAGCGATACATCTCGTGCGTACGCACACACACGCACACACACACACGCACACGCACACACACATGCGGACGAGTTTCGGGGGTTTTCCTGTATCTAAATATATCTGCACGCACGCGCGCGCACATACACGCGACAAAAAGGAATAACGGCAGGTAAATGGTAGGAGTTAGCGAGGATTCCAAGCGCTTTCACGATACGCGCGTGCCCCGACCTTTTAAAAAGAAAGAGACGACACGTCTGGGAACCCCGAGTGCCTGATGATTCCACTTCAACTGGTTCACGCGAACGCGCGCTGCAACCACCGTGGCGTTTATTCAAGAGGGGGAGACCGACGGTATGGGTATAAACCGCGTTCATAAATGCCATTTTAAATATTTTCGCATGGAGACGGCGACTTTTAATTTTTTGGCAGCTGCTGGCGTGCTCGAATCTCTCTCTCTCTCTCTCTCTCTCTCTCTCTCTCTCTCTCTCTCTCTCTCTCTCTCTCTCCCCCCCCCCCTGCCTACCTCTCACATCGCGCTGTAGAGATTTAACCGAGACCAGTTAGCGGCGACTCAATTTTGCCGATAAAATCGCCGGCAACGGCGAGCCGATCGTAATCATCGCGGACGCATAACGAGCTTCAAGCCGACGGTGATGCCGCACGGCGGCGCTGGGGATGGCGAAGGTTTGATTTTCGTCCTGGAACTCCGGAGATCCGTGACGCGACCGAGGAACCAACGGCTGGCGTTGCTCCTCGTCCTCGGCGAGCAGCTCCGCGAAATTCCCCGTGGAGGAAAGAGCCGACGGTAATGATCGGTAGCAGGTGTGCTTTCGCTCGAAGGAGCCGGCGATTCGGCTAATCTGCAGGCGCAGCTTCGCCTGCGGCTGGCGATCGGTGCGCCTCTCGCCGGTCGGCGAACGTCGAGATGCAAGCAATAACGCACGTCAATGGGGAAAAATGTGTCGTGAGTAAACGGCAAAAGGGAAAGGCGTAACGCTACTTTCGAAGTAAACTCCTCCCCCTCTCAGCTCCCTTCCAGTGGGCTGGCATACTCTCGTTATTGCTATCGTCATTACCTTCTTCAACGTCATCCTCTTTATCTCTCTATCCTCATCATCCTCGTAGTCGTTATCGTTGCCGTCATCATCGTTATCATCAAAACCTTCTTCCTTGCTCCTGGACTTCAGCAAGGAACAAAAGCCGGCGAATTCGCCGAGGACGGTGTTCCGCGAAGCGGCGAGCGACCGCTGGCCTCTTCACTTTTTCCGCTATGGGTGGGCATACCGGTGGCGTGTGACGTCGATCTCCGAGGTGGATAGCAGGCAACGCTAACATCCATGTTTAAGGGAACAGCCTGCGGCAGGCATGAGCTCGTATGACGTCTGCCGAGAGGGAACCGTGACGTCAAAGCAGAGACTACCTTATCCTCGAAGAAGAAGAAGAAGGAGCCGCGGCCTCCACCGCCGCCGCCGCCGCCTCCGCCGCCGCCGCCGCCGCCGCCGCCGCCGCCGCCGTTGCCGTTGCCGCCGCAAAGCCGTGCGCGCGAACCAAGAAACTCTCCTCCTGGGGCCTCGGCCCCGGCCCCGGCGCCGGTACCGAGGGGCTGCACGAGGTGCGCACGAGGAGAGGGGGGATTAGTCACTTTAGAACATCACATTGGCACGCGCAAGCCCCCGTTCAAGTGGGGCAACAACACCCACGTGCGTTTCCACGATAGGATAAAAAGTCCTTCGGGGATCAAGGAATACTCAGTTTTAAGCAAACCATTAAGCGAGACGGCCAAGTAGAAGAGGAAGAACGACTCCTCGTGGCAGGCTCGAAGAAGCGGGAACCTGAGACTGAGACGCACGACTGAGTGCCGGCCGCCAGCAGAAGCCTGAAGAATTCGCGGGGACGCTCTTTCGAGCCAACTCGCCGAACTTCGACTGGACGGATCGTCACGGACAGGCGATCGTTCGGCACGGCCGGTCAAGTTCTCTCGGCCGAAAGACTCTTGGAATTTACGTCACACGTTATACCGAGAGCGGCAGGGCCGTGGTCAAAAATTGAGGATCGCACGTTGCGTCATCCCGCTTCTTCTTCTCGCCGCTGAGAGACAACGTTCTCGCTCTCTTTCTCTCTCTCTTTCTCTCTCTCTCTATCTATCTATCTATCTCTCTCTCTCTCTCTCTCTCTCTATCTCTCTCTCTCTCTCTCTCTCTCTGCGCCGGCTGCGCGTCTCGACGGCTTCAAAGGCAACTCGATAGTTCTCACTGTTCGGGAACGACCCACCTTAATAGCCGAGGAAGCAGCCTCGACTCGTCGTCGATAACTAAGGGCTCGGAGGAGGTGAGTCCCTTTGAAGTGGCTTCGTGCCGTAATCGCCGATCACCCAACGACCTCCCGCTTCTTTTCGTCGGGAGACGAACCGCGACAGAGAAAGAGAGAAGAGCCGACTTTCGAGCGTTCCTGTGGACAGACAAGATCTCACAATGAGTGTAACCGGCGTCGGACTGTGCCTGACTGTTCTTCTCACCTGTGTCATCGTCGACATGCTGGTCCAAGCCGCTAGCCTGAGGCGACATCACAGTCATCATTCTCGACCGCAACATGACGACTTTGAAGAACTGACATCGTTGGGTTTATCACCCAAACACTCAGAGAAGAGACATGTCTATCCAAGACATCGCGATAATCCTCGGGAGAGGCGCGGCTACCTGCAGGAGTCCGGGGCGGGCTTGTTCCCAAGCTCGGACTACGAAGACGTGGAGGTGCAAGCGCCGCTGCTCCACCGGCGCCGGCACGTCTCTAGGAACTACCAAGGGGATGAGTACGAGAGGCAGCACAGTGCCAGGAGGCTGCATCACAGGCACCCTGCTCCCAGCAATAGCTACCTGAGCGTGAACGAACGTCTGCGCCAGCTGAACGACCGTCAGGCCAACAGCCTGCCGGATTTCTTCGAGCTCGAGGTCAGGCAGGCGCAGAACAGCACTGTCTGCAACTACACCGTCGTGCCGGTGCCGGACCCCAAGGGCTGCAGGACCCCCAAGAACCTCGAGCACATTATGTGCAATCGGGCCGGCAGCAGCTGCTTCGACACCAACAGCCACTGCTGCATACAGACATACAAGAAGATCGACGTGTCGTACGGCGACGGCACCAGCGACGTCATAAAGCTCTACGTGGGGTGCGTGTGCGTCCGGCAGGAGCTACTGATTGAGACCAAGTTACCCATCGACAACTAACACCCGGGTGTGACCCGCTGGAGGACGCTGACGCGTTTCGACCGTGTTGATGACGCGATGGTGATGGCAATGACATTGGTGGTAACGACTACTTTCGGCAGGGAAAGGGGAGAGTAGCGATCGTCGTCTGGAGTTTTCTCCCTCGGTATTCGCAGTCAGGTCTCGTGTTCCAAGTTCCTCTTCAGGTCCTCCGTAGCATCCAACTAAAATTTCAGACATAATTTCTACCGATTACGGCTGCCACTTTGAAATCGCCGCTGGGGACCAAGAGAAGTACGCGTACTAGCCGGGGACGTTCATTTCTCGACGACCGCGTCGCGGAACAAACGGGGGATGGTATATACACTTTGGCACTAGTCCCTCGCGCAGGACGAATCCCGTGTCGCATCAGGCACGGCGATCAGTTGGCGCGCAGCGGACGTCTAGACGCCGTCTCGGCGATTCGCGGCAGGTGTTGTTATTGCCGGCGAATATAATCGCGACTGCCGCTCCGTAAATAAACGGATATTCTTCTGTGTTTTTAATTGTCATTTGCTCCCGCGCGTACGTAGGAACTCGTTTGAGGGTCGCGGCTTGTGACGCGCGTCTACTGGGAATTTAACAGGTTTACCTGACGTTTGACGTTAGAAGGATAGGAGTGTTGGTGCTACTTTACGTAGGAATAGATAATAACTATCGCATGCCTAGGTATTTTTAGATTCTCTCACGTCCGTGTTGCTAAACAATATGATAAGACGCGCAATCGGCGAGCGATCGTGCCAGGTAGTAGTGGTAGTGGTAGTAGTAGTGGCAGTCCGCTCGCGCGCTTCCACCGACGACAACACGTCCGAATGTAATTATTTCTTCCGCCGCGCGTTCATATCACGTGCGTTTAAATCGATAATCATCGCGTCGGAATGAATCACGAGAGCGCGGCCGGCGCGTGGCCGCGTATTGTCTATTTATTATTATGTATTATTTATTTCTCCTACCGCATCTGTATACATAATTATGCGCACGCGTAATTATACATGCAGATGCTCCGTCGTATTTGTCATCGTATCGTCTGTATTTATTGCACTATTTATTACGCGCATACGCTGCGCACCATTCTGTCTACTCATCTATTTATTTATTTATTTATTTATTTATTTATTTATCTATCCACCTGTGACGAGAGTATCTCGTCTACGTACTTGCACAGAGCGCCTTCGTACTTTGCGAGAGAGTCGAGAGAGGCGGAGTAGTAACGCGAGTACGAAGAACTGCTGTCACGATAATCGCGGGAAACAGTCCGTGTTCGCGAGATTTGCACATGATAATTGGGTGATAATGTGACGATGCCTGTGGTTCATCGACCAAAATGTATTACGCCTGTGCAATTTAGTATTCCGCCACGAAGGATCTCACAACTCGACAACTCGCGCGCGCGCGCGCGCGCAGTCGGTTCCTCGAATCGGCCACACGTACGCGACGTAGAAAAGATAAGAACAACAGTATTAATGCGAAGCAACGACACTAGGATATACAAAACTGTGAGATCCCGATGCCACATCGAGCGCGATATTTTTTACTTCCATAAGAGATTGTACAGCTCTGCGGAGAGAGGCGAACAGTATTAAAATAAATCCAAGTTTCTCTAATTTTAAGTTTCTTCCGTCTCTTTCGTGAATCCTCTCTTTCTCTCTCTCTCTCTCTCTCTCTCTCTCTCTCTCTCTCTCTCTCTCCTTCTGTCATGTGGAAACTGCGAGAGAACCAACCGCGCTCCAAGTATTCAGATTCATAATTCCCCGATCCTCCGGATCCCCCGCGAAGCGGGACGAAAACGCGAGAATCGCTCGCGAAAAGATCGGCACTGAGAAAAAATTGTTATTAAAATCAAACAAATATTTGTTCGAATACGACTGTGAATACATTTATTCAAATTAAGCGACTAATTTTTAAAATGAAATACAGAGGTTCTCTCTTTCTCTGAATATAAACTTTTTTCTTGAAAATATTTCCTTTAGAAAATAATTGCTTAATTTAAGTAAATGTATTCACAGTCGTATTCGAACAAATATTTGTTTAATTTTAATACAATTTTTTCTCAGTGGGCTTAAGCGAAGTAATTTCAAGTATCACGCCTCGGGAGAGTGTATCGATGTTCACGCACAAATTTGCCGCATAATCGCTGCTGAGTTACTCTCACGGCGGCGAGAGATTTTCAACGATCGTCTTGCCCACATATCCGTAATATTGCGAAAGATTACCGCTAATCAACGATACGCAACTTTTCCCTGTTTTACGTCACTTTATCTTTCTTGTCGCTGATCTGATCGATCTTTCCTCGCGTGAAAATTAATGTATTTTCCCGGCGATTCTACCGAGATACCTCGAGACACATGTCGAAACTCGAGACACACATCATCGACGCGTATGTTATCATTTTTATCGCGTCACTTCTATTCTGCTTTCTTAAACGTTTCGGAGCAGCGCGTTGCCTGTAGCGTGAAAGAGAGAAAGAGAGAGAGAGAGAGAGAGAGAGAGAGAGAGAGAGAGAGAGAGAGAGAGAGAAAGAGCGTGATCATCCGCGCGAAGATTATCGAGACTATCCCAACACAGGTCCATTACCTATATCTTGAAAGACACCTCGCTGTTGCGTCAAGTCGGCGACACCGTAAATCGTATCGCGTTGTCCGTTGTCGCGTTGTCACAGTCGGGCTGTCCGTTTATCCGATTATTAACATTGTATGCGACTGTTAACATTTATCCAGGTATCAACGGAGCGACATAATGGCTTCAACGTTCGGCGCAAGGCTGCTGGTACTCTCTCGTTATACGAATACTTCTCTAGATATTAACATAAAATTGACGTAGTCAAGCTGCCCATTTATCCAATTATCAACCTTTTGCCGCATAGTGGTCCTCCCAGAGTGCCATCTATGATCCAAGCTTGTTTTTCCAATAATTTAAATTTTTCACATACTTCTTGAGCATATTTGGTATTGTTTGACTACTAAAATGTTTCTCTAATTAACCGGCTTACGGTTAGACCCGAGTCTGACTCGGGGTAAGATTTATTACTTTCAGGTCCGCCATTTTGAGTTTTGTAACAACAACCTCAAATTTGAGATCAACATGTTTGAAAATTATTATAAAACATGAAAGTAAATATTTTTCTCCGCAGAAAAGATTTAGCCATTTTGATAGTAATTTCTGCCAATAAATAGAACCGCAAGAGGGTTAATGATTAACTTTAGGTCATTATTTTAAAACAATAAATTGAATAACATGTTTGTTAATAAACATAATAAATTTCTGAGAGATTACATTTGATTTTTTTTTTTTTTTTTTTTTGTAATTTGTTAACATATACTGAACACTAAAACTCTCGTTTTTAGAGGATAAATTCATTTACATGAAATTTTAAATAATAACGTATACTTAAAAATCATTATCTGGGGATTTTTGGAGTCGCTGAATACAAATCCGGTGTGAAATATACGAAATTCAAAATGACGGACCTAATATGGCGGACGGAATTTTCAAAATCAGTAGAATTCGCTTGAAACTTGTCGAAACGCGTGCGTTTTTAAAGTCGCTGAATTACAAACCCGATGTGAAAAATACAAAATTCAAAATGACGGATCTCATATGGCGAACATAGTTATAGAAATGAAACTAGCTGACAGCGCTTGAGAACCGGGCAACCTGACCGGTGTCAACCGAATCTTGCCGTATATATATATCCGTCATAGCTCTAGTATCTCGAATTTTCGATAACGAATTTCTAATTAGCAACCACGAGAATCCTTAAATAACCAATTTCAAGCGAATTCGGCTGATTTTGAAAATTCCGTCCGTCATATTGGATCCGCCATTTTGAATTTTGTATTTTTCACACCGGATTTGTATTCAACTACCCAAAAACCCCTGAATAACAAGTTTCACAAAATTATATTTATTAGAAAAAAACGTGCAACAAAATAATATTGTATCTAACTGTTAACATTTATCCAGGTGTTAACAGAGCGACACAATGGCCTCTACGTTCGGCGCAAGGCATTTCTCTGGACATTAACATAAAGTCGTCACAGTCGCGCTCCGACAAATGTGTCGCTTTGACGGGGTTTCCGCTGTTGCGAATAATCAATGATTAGTAAATCATATGACGTGCGCAATTAAAAGATTCTGACAAACCAGATGCATAAAATATCGAGGCGTTGTTACGTCATTACGTATGCATTTCCGGCAGAAAAGGAGCCCTGGAGGCTGAGATTCTTTCGTTAACCGGTTCGGACCGTCTGATTCAGAAGAAGGTGGAGCTTCCTCTTTACAGCATTCGATCCGACGCGGACATTGAGTTCTAATTAGCACCGACTTTCACAAATCAGTTCATGAATCGAGTACCCGCTGACTCACGACTGAACACGCGATGGAATACTCTTTCGGTCACTTGCCGAGTCTTTCTCGTTTGTCACCAAGTTCGTTGTCCCCTTGGCATCGCGGTAGGTCCATTCTGCTGCAACCTTCGACGACCTTGTCGTTATCCGCCTGTGATATACGGCGGAAAAGCAATGAGACGTCGCTTTCACGATAACGCCGCAGATTAGGCCCAGAGCGGCTTCTTGAAATGACGATCGCGCTCGAAGCCGTAACTCCCGACGAATTTCGAGCCTATGACTGTCCCTCCCTTCCGCCGGACGTGAGTTAATTGGATTCCTCCTGTTCGTGTTACAGGAACGCGATTCTGACGTACGAGTTCAATCAGAGCACGATTCGCCGCATCTTCCACGAAGGCGCCTCGCCGCCACCGCCGCGACCAAGAAGCTAATGACAGACCAGGGTCAAGCAGGGTCGGCCGGCGATGAGCGTGTTCCTCCTTCTGCGGGTGGAATCCTCGATATTACTCCGCAACCGGCAACTCTGACGTACTCGCGTAGTGTTGTTGCACGATTCACGCTGATTCACGGCAGATTCCTCGTACAGGTACGTCTTCCGACGCAGGGACTTCCCTGAAAGCTCCGGGGGGGAAAGATCCCGGAGGCCCCTGCGGGGCCTATTTGTATATACATGTGTTGCAACAATGCGTGTATCTTGCGTGTGGCGCGACATAATCGCCACGCTGGTACACGCTGCGTGGCTCGGGAATGCACACATGCCGTGGCGTGGAGCAGGGGGGAGAAGGATAGGAGGAAAGAGAAAAATGAGCGAGGGATGAAGAGAGAGGAAGAGCCGGGGAGCCGTGACGAGGGAGGAAGCAGGGGAGTTTGAGAAAGAGGTAGGTCGGTAGACGGAAGATGCTCGATTGGAGATATTGCAAGAATTTCCGATGTGTCATCGCGCGGAAACGCTGAATTTTAACAGAAATCTTGTCGCGCCGGCTGATGTATCATTCGCGGCAAGGTATCGCGCGACGACCGGGAAAGAAGAAGGTGAAACCGCAAAAGAAGCAAAGCAGCGGCGGCGGCGGCGGAGAAAGGAGTCGCCGCGGATTTCATTCGGACTCAACGGGTTGCGGACGCGCGCGGCATCAAACGACAGAAACGGCCAGGGTTGCGATGTCGGCTGATCGTACGCGACAGGTACTGAGAAATTGTGCTCCCCTCCTCCCCTTCCCCGCCTTTCTGCGAGGCGGGCTGAAGCACGCGGTTGAGATGGTTTCGGCAGAAATTCAGACGAACGCTCGGTGGCTCGGTAGCTCGATGAATCAGCGCGGCGCGGTTTCGCCAGCAAGCTCGCGGAGATTTGCGGTTTTTAATGCGCCGTGCTCTAATGCAATAAAGTCGCGCGCGCGCGCGAAAAATCGTGCTTGTTTTTGATAATATTTTGTGACGAACTGAATAAATGTGCAGGAATGAAAATTTTAGGTATAGTTATGACATATGAAAAATAGAAAAATTTTGTTTATTAACAACGATATATATAGCTGAAATATACTCTCCTTTCTTTTTTTCAAGTTATCGTTTTTGCAGAAATATCTCGGCTCTCGGTGGTCCGATCAGAGCGAATTTTAGCTAGAAATCTTAAGGGGGCTTATCATTATCCAGTGAAGCATTATAAAAAAAAATCGAACAAAATTAACGAAATGGCAGCTATTATTAGGAAAAAATTCAAATTTTTCAGTTCTTTTACAATAAAAAAATTAATATTTCGAAATGAAATATTTTGACGGAGTTGTCCATGGTGCATCTGAAAGCCAGATGAACAAATATTATTGCTTTAAAATTTCAAGTCGATACGAAGCTCAGTTTCGGAGAAATTACTGCAAAAAGTTGAACAATAAAATTTCGAGAGAAACGCGTTTAAAATTTAAGTGGACTTATATTTATATGAATATTTGTTAATAAACAAAATGTTTCTACTCTTCATATGTTATATAAATATATCAAAAATTTTCACTCTTGCACATTTATTCAGTTCGTCACAAAATATTATCAAAAATAAGCATGATTTTTCAGTAATCTGACCCTCCAGTCCCCTTAAGTTAATCTACACTTTTTCGTACAAGGATCTTAGCTCAAGCAGCCAAGCAGGGGTCAATCATCTGCACTTGCTCCGAATAATGACACGATACGTGCAATATCTATACGCAAGTCAATTAACTACGATGCCGTCGGTAAT